AATAGGGTTCATCAGTTACAAAAGGTGTAGTAAACTTGTCATCATAAAAACTAAACCCTTTGGCAGAAGCAACGTTGAAGAAAATGTAATTACCATTAGTACTGAAAGCCATTGCAACACCTCCATAAGGGCTCTTAAGCCACAATGAAAAGCTGTTGGAAACTGTAAGATTGACTGTCACAGTAGAAGCGAGACCATTCTTCTTTCCATCGAAATAAACTGATTTACCACCTGGGAATGGTGAATCATTGGAAAAGACTGGATTTGAAGAAGCACCTTGATTTGGATTGTTAATCAAGTGGAGAGAACCAGCACTATCAGCGAAAGTATTATTGAAATAGTAAGCATGGGCAAGATATGGAGTCATTGGTGCTGTGAAAAAGGAGGAACAAGAGGCTCCAATATATGGTTTTGTACAAGTGCAATTATTAGGAGCAATACATGAACCGTGTCCAGAGCAAACCGAAGCATTATTAGCAGCCAATCCAAAACATACTGGGACACAGTTAGGATAATTGGTAAAACCATCTTGGCATGTATTACAATCAGAACCATTGTAAGTGGAACACTGGGAATTAATGACACGAATTTCAGCATCTAATAAGGCTATTGCTGAAGCAACTTTGGACAATTGCTTGCTTCTCAAATCAATAATGGTCTTTAAAGATGGTGCTGATGAAGAATTACTAGTAAAGAAGGTGCTGTTTAACAAGTTAATAGTATTCTCTAACTTGGTTTTGGTGCATGCCACAGCATCTCTTTCCTTTTGTAAAGAAGCTAAATAATCCCTCAATCCACCTGTTGTTTGTTGAAGAGTAAGTGTTATATTGGCTAGTAAGAGGAAAACTACTAGCAGCGCGCAAAACCTTAGCAATTGAATCATGTTGTTGTTGGTTGGTATTAAGGAAGATCGTACTTAATCCTGTGAGGAGTTTTTTTTGAAAACAGTGGTCCTTTTGATTGGTGCTTGTTTGGTCGCATCTTCGTTTACAGTAAAATCCACTGTAACGGATAGTTTTTTAAGGAACTGTATTGGAATGGATTGTTGAGGCTTTCAATATTGTAGATTATTGTTTATACGACTTGATAAATTGCAACCAAATCAATATGGTTGGATATTAAGCAGCGGATATCGACTTTGAATGTGATTTTGTTGAATAAAATTGCATGAAGTTCGATTGTATGTTGTCCCTAGTGTCAGGACGGTCCTTTATTTTGTCGATCTAAAATGAGGAAATCGCTCCCCACAAAACAAAAAACAGATGGACCAATTTAAAATAAATAATTTTGGTTTGCTGTTTTGTCTAACAAAATCAAGATTGTTTGGACCAACATAACATTAATGATTGTATGTTGTCTAGTCTGATGGTAACAGTAAAAATGGAGCCTGACATCAAAATAATAATGATAATTTAAATGGAAAACTTAATGTATTCGTGAAATTGAGCAGATGATCCAGGATAAAAATCTTGTTGAAATTGTAAATGTTTTGCTTCTTCTTGAATTGTAACAGAAGATTTAATTGTTTGAAGAGATTTGATAACATCACTTTTCGTTGGTTGTGATAGGGCATTAAGACTAATATTGAAACTATTATTGGTAGCCATTAAGGCATTTCTAATAATGTTCATCTGTGAATCCCTTACTACACACATTAAATCCGCATATGAATATCCATCACATTTTGTGGAAATCTCCTCAATTTCATCATCTTGTATTGAACTATTTCTAAATGCATCTCTCAATATCTCAATCCTTTTCTCCTTATCTGGAAGAGGAATGTGAAATCTCCTCTTAAATATTTTCCTCACAGCTGGATTAATATTCCAAGGTGTTGAGCTTATAACCAAAACAATTACCCTACTCTCACGATCATACATGGATTGGAGAAATTCTTTCAAAACTGAAATTTCCTTCTCTGAATTACTATTCCAATCACAAAATTCCAAATCATCGATTACTATAATACTTGGTTGACTAAGTTTTGCTTTTTCAAATACTTCTTGCATTGAACGTTTAAAATCATGATCTTGAGTGTAGATTACTTCTGCTTTTATCCTTTCATCGGTGAGTATTTTCTTAGTTAAATAGGTTTTACCCTTTTCCGATCAAATCAAAATATTAAATTTAATATTACTCTCCAAATGATCGTGATATTTGCTTACCACTCCTGGACATCCGTGAATTAATATTTCATTCCAAACTTTTGCATCAGGATATTCGAGAGGGAGAAGAATACTCTCAAGAAGTTCTTCTTCAATGCTAAGTTTTTTCTGTTGCAGCTGTTGTTCTTCTTCACTCACAGAGGAAATTGTGGAATTGTGTTGTAACATTTTTTTGTTGTAATGTTGATTGCATTCGTACACATGATTGTTTATTAATAGTTTGAAAGGTCGACTTGATTAAATGATGGAACAATGTAGTAGCACCATCGAGTGGAATTATTCAATGGAGGTCTTGAAATTATAAATGTGATTGAATTTGACTTCTAATAAGCTTAGTTCTTTGATTGCGTTTTGGATCAATGAATCAATGAGTTGAGTTTTTTCATTGGATTTCTTCTTGCATAGTTTCTTATGAGCTGATTTTGCTTCCTCTAAACATTGAATTCTATCCTTGAGAGCTCTTGGTATCCTTTCTTGCTTAATATACGAATGGGCACGATCATTTCTATCATTAATGATGGATTGAACATCTGAAAGCTTGAATAATTCTCTGAATTTCCTAACTCTGGAATTTTCGTCATCCACCATTTTGTCTTCGCATGCTAATACTGACCTAATACAATCGGTGAATATCTTATTGATGTGATTGTATTGATCCTCGATTGAAATCTTTTGTTTCTCTAAGCAAAGGGTACTTTTAAATGCTTCGAATCTTCCAAGACAAGTAATAAGCTGTTTACACAAATCAAAATTACCAGAATCAAACAGCTTAAAGAATACCTTAATTATATCAATATCTCCTTTCAGAATTGCTTTAGCAACAAGGAGAGTGGCTGCATTCTCGGAGGGTGGGGCTGATTTCTCCCTGTGTTTCAGTACAATCCCATTCACAGTTACAGGATCCTCCATGGTAATGGTTGAAATCAAGCGAATCATCAAATCATCGTCGTTACAAATATGAGGAATTATTTCTTTACATTTGAAAGTATTATTTTCCAATGCGGCAACCAAGTCCAGTTCTGTAAAATTAGTAGTTGATTGATCTGGTTGTTGAATCTCCTTATCAGCTGCCCATGCTGTCTCTTTCGTATCTTTTACATGTGGTTTTGTAGTGCGTTTCTTCTCCTTTCCAATAGGCTTTGGGGCTGTAGTGGAACTCAAATTAGCAACCACAGTTTTCACTACTGTAGTATTTGATGAAGAAGCAGATTGATTCGAAACTGGTAAAGGTATTCTTGCAAGTACAGTTTTGACTTGGTCAACAATATTTGTATTTGGAATATCTTCGACAAGGTTGACAAATTCTCCAATACTATATTTGAAACCTTGATGACCGTGTAATTTCTTCTTTTCATAAGAAATATCAACATCATAATAGAATTTCTGTTCAAAAACATGATACAAATCAACTCTTTCATCAAACTCCCAACAATGAGAATAAAGTAATTTACACCAACTCTTCAAACATGTTCTCTTCACCCACATTCTTTCCAAGTCTGTCGATCTTTCAACATGATATTCAAGCAGCCTCTCACTCCTATCCACTTCACAATTTCCTCTGTAAATATAATGATATTTGTGATCATCTAAATAGACTCTTGCACCCAAGTTATCTGGATTAAAATTATCCGAAATGACTTCATAAACAGATAATAATTGATTCTTGAATGGAAAATCTACTTTGATTTCTCTCGACCATTTTTCAACAACTGAATCTCCCTTGAGCATGTAAACAATAAAGGCTTTGTTGTAGAGGACATCCATCATGTACTGCTTTTTAGGATCATAATTCGGAATGTGTGTTTGTGCTTCAGAACGGAATTGAGACATTTTGTTTAATTTTGAAAAAGCCTAAAATTTCTGTTCTTCAAGCCCAAAAATATTTTTTTCAAAACAAATCTTTTTGTGGAACGTGAAAAATCACATTTCCTTGTTGTTGGTTGGGAATTCAAAGATAATGTTGATCTTTATTCATTTTGTATTATTAAGATTTTCAGTTTTTTCATGTTAATTAGGTGTTGAACGCCTTCATTTTCCAGAAAGTGATTATTTCTAATACAAAGCTCAGTTAAATTTTCTAGTTGACTGATTGCTTTGGCACCTTCATCCGTTATATAATTCGAGCTAACATGCAGAATACGCAATTGTTTCATTTCACTAATATATTTGGCTCCTTCATTACCAATTTCATTTTCGCTAATGTTCAGCTCACTTAATTGTTTTAATTGACTGATGAACTGAGCTCCTTCTATTCCGATATAGTTTTTTGTAATAGCTAATTTTCTTAATTCAGATAGTTCTCCAATAAATTTAGAGCCCTCTTTTCCAATTCCACAGAAAACAACTTTTAATTCTCTTAATTTTTTCAGTTGACCAATTAACTTTGCTCCCTCCACTCCAATATAATTATAACCAATGTCAAGAAAAGTCAAATGACTAAGTTGACTAATAATATAAACTCCATTAATTCCAATACTATTACTACTAATATCAAGTTCAGTTAATTGTTTCAATTCACTCAAATATTTTGCTGCTTTATCGTCAATAAAATTGGAAGAAATGTACAATTTTGTTAATTGTGACATTTTCCCAAGAACTACCAAGAATTTATATTGATTTAAAACCCCATAACCAACTTTAATCTCATAAATACGATCTAAGTATTTACTTTCCATCAATGACTTTAGTTTGGTAATTCGATCATTAAATTCAATTAAAAGTTTCGAATACATTCCAATAATTCTTAACCATTGTTTAGAAATTAAACAACAATTCAGCAAGATGAATTTACCATCATCAATAAAAGATATTATCTCACAACACACATCATCAGAAAAAAATTGAGCTGCAGCAACATTCCGAAAAGTAATTTCCTTCATTTTTTTTAAAAAAAATATAAATCGAAACTAAATTCTTTTATCCATTTTAGATAGTAAAATATTGTAAAAATTACCTTGATAGCAATTTGCCTTAATATTAGTGCTGAGTGAACTTGCTTTCATTGTAACGCTGCATTAATAATGAAATTTAAAAATTATTTTAAAAAAAATGCAAATTCATTTTCAATGCTGCCAACAAACAGAGAGTCCACTTGTAGCCTACGACCAAAGCAAATCGGAGGGTAAAATTCTACTAGATAAAATTAAAGGATGGAGAAATGAGCAACATGAGGTTGAATTTTCTCATTTTCTTGCGAGGAGAGATCGAACCTTTGCTATTACTCGTTCCGATCATCAAATTTATTGGATCACAAGATCAATGTGTCATAAATTAGAAAATAGAATGAAGGTTTATTTTGTTGCATCGTCATATGGACATGTTATGTTTCTGACTGATCCGATAGATCAAAATACAGGAAATTGTGTGGCATACAATCCTCATGGATATACTGTTCATCGATTACCTAATGGACATTCCTATACAGTTCCAAAGAAATCATCAGTAATTGGATTTCGTTTACATGGAAGTGCTGAATTATTTGGGGGTGAAACTAAAACTTTCTCACTTGATTTATCTGATCCTGGCATGCTAGAATTTCTCCATATGCAAGATGTTGAGAAATGTTTAGATATCAATGAATATGTTGTTTACATGAGTTGTGCGGCATATACGAGTATTTTATTAACAAATCATGGAAGATTGATGATATGTGGTTCTAATGGATTTGGTGAATTAGGATTTGATGTAAAAGACAATAAGACTGAAAAACTTGATGTTCATCCAATTCATAAACAAGACCCAAACTTGTTCTTTACTAAAACAGCATGTGGAGATCACAATATTGTTGTTATTACTAAGGAAGGGTTAGTATACGTAACTGGTTACAACTCTAGTAATGAATTGTAAGTATTTTTTTATTACTATATAATATTGAAGTTTCTTAGAGGACTAAGCTCAACATCTTCTGTTTTCCAATTACAACCATCAAAATTGTTTAATGAATACGCTGCAAAAGATCCATTCATTGATGTTGCTTGTCACTATTATGGAGCTATTCTATTGGGCAAATCAGGATCTGTTTATATAAGTGGAGGAAGTCAAAAGCATGTAAGGAAATACTCAATTCCGCCATCTCATGACATGTTTTCTCAATATTTAAATGTTGGATCTAATTCTAATAGTTTATTCGCTATAGCTAACAACGAAACAAGCATTTTATTGACACAATTTTCCAGAGAAGGAGATAATATTTACCATACTGCTCATAATTATTGTTATGATTCTCACAGATATTCCTCAACAATTACTGGCAGCGAAAATAATACTATGACTTGTATATTATTAAGGAATGAAACCATCAATACCAAGTTCCAATCTAATTTAGCACTTCATTTATCATTATACAATGGTGAAAATGAAAAGACCTTTAGTGATTTAATAATAAAGGTCTAGAGGATTTAATTCCTAAACTAACCTATTTAAACTGGAATTCATTCACTAAGTACCCACTCTAATAAGGGAGCTACAGAAATTATACTCTTAATACTCTTTGATAATCCAACCCAATATGATTTTCAATGGATTACAGTAGTAACATGTAGATTGTGCGTACTACAGGGCTATTAGAACTATTTTTCCAAATTAATCAAGATTACAATCAGCACAATTATATTTGATGGTTACAGAATGCAATACAGAATATCCATTCGTAAATTCTTGAATCTTATCAGGTAACGACTTCGAAAACAATTAATGTCACAACCTACTGTGTTTCGTTGATCTTTTGAAAGATTCCATATTTAGAAGCATTAGCCACAATAACACTTACTATTGAAGAGTTTCAAGTCACTACTTGTCCAACTGAATCCAAATTCAAACAACAATATTTGACTATTGTTACTCCTTAGGAAGGGATGACAAACTAGCATCGGTTCACTTACTATGTGAAATTTATTCGAGTGTTCCAAGTCTTACCAATGAATTTCCATGGTTTTTTTGTACGCATTTTTCAATTATTACATATTCAAGAGGTATTTCTAAAGCAAGAATTTCTAACAAATTATTACGAGGGCTAGTTTAGTTTTGGTCTAGGCAACCACAAAAAAACAATTTGAATCCGAATGGCATGCATGAAAGATATGGTGCTCGCTTCGCACACGACACTCAGACAGGTTTCACATCATGTTGTGCTTGTGATATTGTTGTTTCTTACTCTCTTTCTCAAAGAAGGCCTCTATGCCTATCAGTTCTCCACTCAATTCACAAATAGTCAGCTCGTGTGGAATCATATCGACTCTCAATTTGTCAACAAGACGGAAAAGATTGGTTTCATGACCTTTACCTTCTCTTCTACAAAGAATACTCTAGCATGGGAGGTGGTTAATCCTTCAGTGTATCCCATGCCACAATTCGACACTTTGAATGAGACATTGGTCTTTGCACATTTTCGATTAATTCATAAGAACTTATTGGGCAATAGTGGAAACAATTTATTCTTGCCTTCTTCAGAGTATTTTGATTACAAAGTGAAAAGGAATGAAGATGGTCTTGATTTGAGCTTTGAAAAACTCTGTTTAAACTTAAATATTAAGGAAATATCTAGTGCTACTGATGTTATCGACATTCCAGAATTATACAAAAACAAGTATTACATGCAATGGTTTACTTTACAATTGAACATCACTCAACTACGAATGGAATTATCATCATTGGTGGCCATCAATGAAACTTTTACAGTTGAATACTACACTAACAAATTATTGAATGAAGTCAAACAGGGTGACTATTCCTATTCATCACTCTTACTATTGAATTCTTCTATTACTCAGGCTTCACCAATCAAAACTTCTTCAGATCCAGTTACTAATATTTGTTCTTCAACCTCGCCTGTGATAGCATTTGCTTGGAACTCATGGAAACTGTGGTTTGTAGTTGTTTTTCTCCTTTTAATGCTAGCTCTATTGATCTTCTCAGTTTGGAGGCCTTATATTGTTATTATTGTGATTGTTGTCATCTTCAATTTGGCAGGTATTCTGACACTTGATCAAACACTTGCAGGGTTCGCTAATAGTGGTACACTTGTAATTGGTCTATTGTTTCCCATTGTAAAACCTCTCACTCAGAATTCTTTGGTGTTGAAATTTTCCAAATTTTTATTTGGTTCTCCCATCCAATTCAAAAATATGAAAAGCAGCAAGCTTCTTCAACACTTATCATTGTTGATACCTACATTGAGAATGTGTTTGGTTTTTTCATTGATTGGAGCTTTTGTGAATAATACACCGGTTGTGGTATTGGGTTTACCTATAGTTATGGAATGGGCCAGGCAACATAATGTTTCCCCTTCAAAGTTTCTCATGGCACTTTCCTTCATTACTTCTGGGAGTGGATTTTTAACATCGATTGGAAATTCATCAAACATTGTGGCGAGCGGAATATTTTCAACATATGGCTATGATGCATTGACATTTTATGAGTTTTTCTATCTGGGAAGTATTTTGTGTGTTGTAACAATACTCTATCTCATTACATATGGCTTGTGGATTGTTCCAGATGAAATTAGAGGTGAATCAAAAAAAATGAAAAGAACCACCATTAATTTTGCTAAAAAAGCTGGTAAAATACTTCACAATTCAAAAACCAGATTTGAAGAGTTTATAGCTGTTGTAAGAATGAATGAATTATCATCCCAAGATCCTCATACAAAGCCATTTATGCTGTACAGTAACTTGTTGGGAAAAAATGAAGCAAAAATTCTGAAAACGTTAGATTTGGATAGCATTGAGCTTGTCGAAGTTATTAGAAAATGTGAAAAGAAAGCAGAAGAAACTATTTCTCAAATCAAACCAGAAACTTCAACAGATAATATTCAAGTATCCAACTCTGAACATACTAATGAAACTCCAAATAATGGTGATGAATCTCCAACAAGCTCAGACAGTGGATCAATAGAAATTGACATGAAAAAAATCGAACATGTAAAGCATACGATAATTAAGGATACAGATGAAACCAAAAGAATCAAACCAGTTCCTGAAGATTTCCTTATTGAAAAAGATGACATTTTAATATTCAAAGGAAACGCCAAATCTATTTTGAAACTTCAAGCCATGGTATTAGAAATTGAGGATTACGAAGAAGAAAGTTCGCCTAAACAAAATACTGACCGAGTAACAACCTTCAACTCAACAACAGAAGAGGAAACAGTGATGAAAAATTCTCCATCTCAACTCTCCTTAATGAGCAGCTCCTCCCAAGATGAGTTAATCCCAAATGGTAGCAATAGAATTGATTCTCCAGTTGTTGGAGGTCAAAATGATATTGTTGCCAGGTTGCATTCCAATCTTAAGAAAAATCATCCAACCAATGAAAACTCTCAAAATCCAACAAAAGAACAAGACCAGAAAGAAGATAAAAGTGCAGACCTGAGTCAGCTTGAGTTCTTTGAGGTGGTTATTGGTTCATCGAACCCGTGTGTAGGGGAGAATTATGAATTCTTTGAGAAAAGATATCAGGTAACAGTATTGGCTATTAGAAATATGTTTTATGACGAGAAACCATCAGAAAGCTCGGATCAAGGTTTGAGAAATTTTCAAGTGTACACAGGTGATACCATTCTCTTATTAGGTAAAACGAGATTTTATATGAATTATCATAATTCCACAAGAGAATTCTACATGATATCAAGATTCTCTGAAGTTTCACCACAAGATAATCAATTCAATCAAAGACCATTCCAACTCAGAATTCCATTCACAAATAAGGTCTATCGTCTATGGTGGTGGGAACATTGGATTTTCTTATTCTTTTCAGCAATGATTGCCTGTACGATTGCTGGATATTCAATGGTTCAATGTAGTTTAGTGACATTTTGTGTTGTCATTATGTTTGGCTTGATTTCTCCCACAGATGCCATTGAAAGCATTGATTGGGCTCTTGTAGCACTTGTTGGAGCATCTTTTGGAATTGGAAGTGCTATCACTCAGAGTGGAGTTGGTCAAGGAATTACTCAAGTATTGAAACTTGCAAATGTGCCACATATTTTATTACCTGCTTTCATAACTGCAATTACCTTAGTGGTAGCAAATGTAATTACAAGTAGTGCTGTGGTGGCAATATGTATCCCAATAGCTGTAGCTATTGCTCAATCATATGGATTGAATGCTAGATGTTTTGTAATGTGCGTCATTTATGCATCTCAATCAGTATTTACATTTCCTTTAGGATTTTCTGGAAATATGTTAGTGATGGGTGTTGGAAATTACAAATTTGTAGATTTTGTGAAGGCAGGGGTTCCCCTTACAATATTATATTGGTTGATTATCAGCGTGCTTGTACCTGCTATTTGGGGATTGGATATTCCAAACTTTTAACCAAAGTACAGTTAACCAATACATTGGAGATTAAAAGTTAAGGATCATATTGATCATATATGCAATATTAGATCTTTACATAATATGATATTGGAATAAACATGTCAAAAGAATATATTATTCTTTATTTTCCTGTTTTTTAGCCAGTCTCTTGTTCAATCCATTTCCAGAAATTGTTGTGAAGAAATTACTATCAATTACACTAATTTCCTGCGTTCCCCTACAAAGTGTTGTTCTGATTTTGAATTTCCCTTCCTTTTGAGAGGAGAAACCGAGCCAAACCTCTTCAATAATCCTTTGTTTGTATTCATTCTTGACTTGAACCTTTTTCAAGTTCTTTAGATACTGCAATTTTTCTTGGCCTTTCTTTAATTTGATCAAATCAAATTTCAATGTGTAAACCTCTTGATCCTTACTATTTGGGCTTAGTTTTGGCGATGATTCAAATTCAGGTATAATCAAATCTACCTTAATGGCCTCCACATACTTATCATAAACTATTCCATCCGCAACATTCTGAATAGTTAAATATTCAGAGCTATTTGGAGCTTCTTCAAGAAGAATTTGAGCTTTCTCCAGTTGTTTAACGTTGGTCATCTTATTCGAAGTATTGTAACTAATAATTTTGAAATCATCTTGTTTTTTAGATTGATTCTTTCCAAAATTAGTTTCTTGAGTAAACTCAATTTTTCTAATATTTGTTGGTGATCCACTACTACTATTCGATTGGAAAGCATCTGATTGTTTTCGTTTTTTAGACGAAACACTTGTTGAAGAAACTAAAGGTGAACCAGAAGGAGTGGAAGGTGATGAAAAACCCATATTAGTGTTATTAGTACTAAGTACTGGGAAGTGTATTGGAGTGGTTGGAGTACTTCCTGTACTATTGCTTTTCCTCGATGATGATGATTTACTTCTCTTCTCACTCTTGACTGTTACAATGTTTGATGGTTGAATTGATGGTTGTGATGAGGATGGTGTGGAAATAGGAGTAGTATTAGAAATTTGTGGTATTACTGTTGCAGTTTGTGGTATTGCTGGAGGAGGTGATTGTCGAGCATCCAGTGTACATGATACTTGTCCACGTTCTTGAAGAAATTGCAGAATAGTTGGTGAATTAGTTTGACAAGTGTCATTATTCGAATTACTAGTATTAGTTGTGGAATAAGTAGTAGTATTAGTTGTGGTCATTGGTGTTGTAGTCGTTGGAGTGGAAATAGGAGTAGAAATTGGAGTAATATTATTATTATTGGAAACTACATTAATTGGTGAAATAGTTATTCCTGCTGTGGTTGTTGAAGGTTTAGGAAGTTGTTGATAATTTTCATCAATTACAAATCCATTAGTTTTAGCTTTATCAGATCCATCCGATGAAGTAGAAACATTATTAATATCATGATGATGATTGACCAAATTTGAATTATTTTGATGATATGAATTATTAATTGGATAGGGTGGAGATGATGGAATTGAGTGATAATAGGGTGGATAATGTTGTGGATGTGGTGGTGGATAGTTTGGATATCCATGATGATGATAATAAGGAGGATATTGATGAGTATTATAATTATTTGAATAATGATGATGAGGAGGATATGGAGGAAGAATATTATTATTGACTGCACTACTCGACATTACTTGAGAACTTGCGTGCATAGTTGGAGAAGTTGGTTGACTAGAAGGTGAAACTATTGCCGAATTATTTGGTTGTGTTGATTGTGGAGGAGGTGGCTGAGGATAATATGATAATGGAGGTGGAGGAAAGTTTGTATATCCATAACCAGTAGGAATTGGTTGTGTTGCTATTGGACATGTTGAAGGATTTTGTGTTAAATAGGATTGTGGAAGTGGTGGCAATGGAGGATGTGGATGATGATTGTACATGTCAATATTTCTTTCAATAATTAAATTATTAATATTTGAAGTGCTAGTTGATGCCTGATGAAGTATCTGGTTTACTGCATCATCACATGTAGAGTCATTACCCAAATCTGATAGTAAAACATTGTCATTCAAATTGGTATTATTATTAATATTAGTATTGACTTCCAATAGTTGTCTCAATTCTTCAATAAAATTGGGATTATTTTCTGATATATCTGGCAGTAACATCCTATTGTTGCCTCTCACACTTTCTTCAAGGTTAGTTGAAGTGGATGTGTTGTTGTTGATTGAGGAGGAGATAAAGTATTGTTCTGCTTGTTCTGTTTGTTGATGGATTAACGATTGTTGGAGTGTGAAAAGGGTTACTTGATCTGGTTGAGTAGTTGTCATATTATTTTGATTGGCAACAGTTGCGAGTATTTGTTGAAACAACTCATCAGGAACGCCTTGTTGGGAGTTATGATTGTTTTCGGATGGTATCGAATCAATATTGTTGAATGAAATATCTTCTTGGTTCGTGTTCTGGTCAAAGAAATTGTTATTATTGTTTTGCATGTGCATGTAATAGTATTGAAAGAGTTCAATCATATGTTATTGAGTTTTGAATATTGTTTGTTGGTGTTTTTTTGTTGTGAAGAAAATCTAATACTTTTTCACACAACAATCAAACAAATTGTTTCCTGCAGCAAGTATTTTGTGTTTGCGTGTTTTTCATTTTTCTAAACTAGGTTTCGATTGTCGCATTCGGTTCGCCCCTTACGAAAGTTTCTCCAAACTGAGAGTTGAAGGTTGTGAAAAATGATATGATGGATCGAATGAGGGAAATATACTTTAACCCTTTGCTCATTCATTGATTTTTTACACAGTGCGTGTGCTGGCTTAATGATTGCATGTTCTATTAGATTCGAATTATTTGTGCGTAAATAGTTTCTTTCCTGTTTACATGCAACGTTGACCTTTTAGAGTATTGTTTTAATTGGCCCTTTTCCTCCAATGATGATTCACATTGTATGAGATAATAATCCAAGTGAACGATGATGTCGATAAGGTCATGTGCTGGTGTTCATTCAACTAGCCTTTAAAGGTATTTAACTTCGGAACGCATTTACAAAAGAGCCTACCACTTTAGTGGGTAATAGGAAAGTTGTACTTTACCACAGACCATGTTGAAAAACACAGAGACTCTACATAAGAAGGAAGTGAAGTAACGCAATCCAATCAACAAAATAGTTATTCGTAATAATAACAAGATGACTGTTGTTTTTTTTAGGCTCTCAATTAATTGCACGTTTCAATGTGGCGGGAACATTAAAAACATTAAAAAAACCTTAAAATCATTATCGTTACCAGCATCATCACGTTTAATACAAAATGGGCGGAAAGATTTCACGTGAAGAGATGAAGACTCTCCGTAAGGAGACTCGAGGAAAACTCGATCAAAAGGAGATTCAAAAGTATCATAAATTTTGGTTTGATCTTTACAAGGACGGAAATATGACCAAGGAAGGATTTGTAAAGTTTGCACAATTGGCACTTCCGAATGTATGTAATTGATGATCAAATTTTAAAATATTTATTGTTTAATAATAATTTATTGATGATATTATTATTTAGTGGGATGGACAAACTGATGTTGATTATCTTTTCAGAGCTATGGATAACAATAATGATGGAACTGTCACGGTAGGTATTTTATCAAAATTTGTGAATGATAATTGTCGTTATATAGTTCAAGGAATTTTTATTATTCCAATCGATTACTGCTCCATCAGCTGAACCATTGAATCCTATGGAATTAATTGATCTTGCTTTTGATATGTATGATGAAGATCGTGATGGGTAAGTTGTCAACTAATCAATAATTATTTAATTTTCAATAGATTTGTCACTGTTGATGAAATGCGTGAGTCCTTGCACAACATGTTCAAGGCCAAAGGTATGAATGTAAATGATCCAAATGTAAAGAACCAAATTGAAAATAGAATTAATAATTTATTGAGTCTTGCCGATAAGAATAATGACGGAAAGTTAACTGTAAGTAATTTTATTAGAAATTGTATGAAACTAAAGTTTATAATAGAGAGAAGAAATTTTCACCGCCTGTGAAAAGGATCCACAAATTGTTGCCATGTTTTAATTTATTTGTAAATAATATAATTGTGTATAAAGATTACATTTACAATAATGTATTCACTACAACAAATATTTCAAATCTTTTGTTGTTATAATGGATTGGAATGTTTAAAGTAATTAATGATTGGATAATGTTTGAAAATAATTGAGATGGTTTGCCGAATCTCTTCGGTTGTAAAATGTATCTCTCAATTTTTACTGACCTCTTACAAACAGCTCAGAATATATGAAGGACTAAGTCGTCTTATTATCTGAGGATCTTATCCTTAATCCTCTTATTAGCCTCCGATTTTTAACTCCTACTTCCTCGGAGTCATCATTTCATGCCTTTCAACTTCTCTCACGTTTCTTTAACAAACAACTCAAAAAAAATATTTCAACAACAAGAATGGTGCGCTCATCATCTCTCATTGTGATGGCAATGATTCTCATCATTGCTACTGCCAATGTAATGTCTTTAACTCCAACTCCTGTGAGAAATGTTCCTGGCTTTGTTGGCGATATTAAATTTGCTCAGTATGCTGGTTTTGTTCCAGTCAATGTTACTGCTCAAAGAAATTTATTCTACTGGTTTGTTGAATCACAAAATAATCCAAGCACTGATCCTGTTGTGTTGTGGTAAGTATTAGCATCAATATCATGCATTTTCAATAACTCACATTATATATTCATTGTCATCCAATGACTCTTTTGAATAATAAACAGGATGAATGGTGGTCCTGGGTATGTTATATAGTAATTTGAAATGGAGTTTGGATAATTTAATTATTATTTTAATAGATGCTCATCATTGGGTAAGTAATTTTGTTGAATTTTGTTGAATTTTAACATGATGATTAAATTCTAAAACTAACATTCTAAATTAAATAATAGATGGTTTTGTTACTGAACATGGTCCATTCCTTTTGAATGATGGACAAACACTTCGTGAAAATGAATATTCATGGAATAAGAGAGTTAACATGATTTATTTGGAATCACCATTTGAAGTTGGATACTCATATTCTGTTCAAAAGGATTTAGTTTGGAATGATGTTAAATCTGCTGATGATGTTGTTAAATTCTTGCATACTTTCTTCTTTGAATTGTTCCCTCAATTTGCTAAGAATCCATTCTACATTGCTGCTGAATCATATGGTGGTCACTAGTAAGTTATCAATTATAATTGAACTATTTACCAATGAATCATTTTACTCAACCTTCAAATGAATGAATTGAATATGATAATTTTCACTTACATACAGTGGTCCAACAAGTGCTGTTGCTGTTTTACGTTCTGGATATCCATTCAATTTGAAGGGTTTCATTGTTGCCAATGGTATTATGGATGATCGTGAAGATACCAACTCTATTCCAATATTCATGTATCAACACTCTTTAATTTCCAAGTCTGCTTATGATGAAGGTTTGGCCAAGTGTAGAGGTGATTTCTATGCCAATCAACAATTGCCAGAATGTGCTGATGTCATTTCTAATTATTATACCTCAATTGTTGGTATCAATCCATATGATATCTATGATAAGTGTGTTGGAGATGTTGGTCCATTCGATGCTGCCACTTCTAACACTGATATTTTAAAGCAAAATGGATGGTTCAAGACTTTGACTAAGAAGCAACCATATGACACAAAGATTCATCCACTTTTCACATTGAGTCAAAGAGTTGGTTCAGGTGGTAAGTTTTATTATACATTTTCATGATAGCTCACAATTTTTCATCAATTTTTTTAACACTCACAGCTCCATGTTTGGCTTACAAACCACAAGAATATTGGTTCAATCTCCCACAAGTTAAGGCTGCTTTGAATGCTAACTCAATGCCAGCTGGTCACAAATGGCAAATGTGTAATGATGTTGTTAATGGAAATTACAATAGAACTTATTCTTCAATGATCCCATTCTATCAAGAATTACTTTCTAAGGGTATTAGAGGCCTCTTTGTCTCAGGAGATGTTGATTTGGCAGTTAATTCATTGGGTTCTCAAAACGGTATCTATGCCTTAATGAAAACAATGAATGGTTCCATTAAAACTCCATTCACTTCTTGGTCAACCAACAAGCAAGTCACTGGTTTCTATCAAATTTGGAGTGCAGGAAGTACCACTTTAACATTCAAGACTGTTAAGGGAGCTGGTCACATGATCCCAATGAAGTATCCAGCATTATCTCAAAAAGCCTTTTATGATTTCGTTTTTGCTTAATCAGCTTAATTTATTAGATAAAAAAAGTAATTTTAAATTTTCACTCAATATTATTGAATTTTATATTTTAATACATGTAAGACAAAATCAAAATAATAAAACATTTCATTTGAAATTTTTCAAAAAACTTTAAAAATTAAAAAAATGATAAACTCACAAAATTCTCATCATCAACAACACAACAAGAATCTTCCTTCATCCTCTTCTTTAAAATTTCCAATTCAACTACCGAGTAGTTATACAACAGCACCCGAATGGGCTGTAGGATTAGAGGAAAAACCAAAATATTCCTATCATTTACAAGTGATCAAGGAAGGCGAATTACAACCCGAAACAATCGACATTTCAAAACAAGGCTTTTATGTGTTTGGTAAACAAGAAGATTTAAGTCATATTGTCTGTGAGAATATTACAATATCTAGACAGCATTGTATTATTCAACATGCAAAGAACGGAAGAGTTTATTTATATGATTTAGCGAGTGCTAATGGAACATTTTGGAATAACAAAAAACATCAATGTAAAGCTCGGAAATATATTCCTCTGTGGCTTGGAAATTCATTCATGATAGCAATGAGTACACGATCATATGTATTAAGTGTTGGAGAGGAAGATGAGGAAGCAGTAAGAAAATTGGAAGATGAATTGAAGAGAAAGAAAACATCATTGGAATTGGAGGAAATTAAAAAGAAAAAAGCAGAAAAGAGAAAGAAAAGCTATGATAGTGATGGTGAAGAAATTGTGGAAGATAAAATACCAGAAGATTATGATGCCAATGAAGACAATAGAAATAAGAGACTGAGAATTGAAGATCAATTGACAAGTGAAATGTATGAATTTGATGATAGAGAATTTTATAATTCATCTAAAAAGACAGAAGATAATACCATTTCAATAATTGATACTAAACCTACTGATATGCAGGGATTATTGGATAAACAAGAACAAATCAAGCTTCAATTGGTTGGTTTAAGAAAAGAATTAGATAAGGAAATTGAAATGTTAGAACAACAGAAGAATTCTTCAGTTGAAGATGAAGAGGAAGATGAACTAGAAAAATACATGGCTACTATCAAGACCAGTCTCATTACACAAAATACTGAGAAGAAGAATAAGATTGAAGAAGAAATTAAGAAACTGGAGGATGAATTGGTTCAGGTTCAAGATCTCATTTCTAAAACAAAACCTGTGGCAGACAAGAAGCAAAATAAGAAACAAGCACAAGATGCTGAAATAATGAGAGATCGTCTCACTAGGGATATGTTTATTCAACAACAAAAACCTGCCATGAATAGTTCAGAGTAATACATGATAATTCTTTTTTGACAATGTGGTTGAAGATTTTACATTAAATTCCTCATCATTCCATTTGATAGAAACCAAATAGCTTTTCAGATTTGAAGAATAGTCATGACCTTCTCTTATCACACAAAAAATGCAACAACGCATATCAGGAGATCTCATCACAGTTATCATTCAATTTCTTCCGATAGATGATCGTTTTAGATTTTGTAGAATTAACACAACATGGTTTGGAGCTATTCAAAGTTTACAAAATATGTGGAAAGATGTTTTAATTAATTTCTTACATATTGATCGAATTTATTGTGGAGGATTGAATGAATGCATGGAGGAATATAAAAAATCTTCAGTTGAGTGTTGTGAAGAAGATTGGATGAAACTGGCTCAGCACGAATTTTCTAGACTTCCTAGGAAGATTCAAAGTGGATCCAAAACTCTTGACTCATCCCACTATGGAAATGTTAATCTGGTCAGGAATTGGACGTCACCATTTTCTCTAGATACTGGAAACAAATTTGTAATTAATTTTCCTGAATCTATTTCATATTATGAATTTTCTTACGATTTGAGGAAGGAAACAGGAAAGTCCAATAAGAAATTAACCAATATATATACAACTTGTTTAGTGTATGAATTGTTAACATTGGGTGATTATGTTCCAAATATTGCTCAAGATTTAGTCAAGGTCTTTCCGTGGATGAGCAATGTTAGTTTGCATAATTTTGTTAGGCCTATTTCGTTTGCTTCTGTATTATTGTGCACTTTACAAAATGATAACAGAGATAAATTTCAAACATTAGTTGAAAAAGAGGTGATGGATACCATACTTCCCAATGATATTATTTATGAAAGAGGACGTAATACAATTATTCGCTCATCAGATATTACTCCTGGTTTGGTATTGGATAGCTTAAAAACTCAGGGATTATCAAGCATTGAATTTGGTCCAAATATTGATATACCAAGTTGTGAGTGGCTACCACTCTTCAAAACTTTTACAAATGGATTGGAAATTGAAAAAAATCATAAAGCAAGATTGAACCTTGCTTCAACATTCCTATTTTCATTGTACTATCAAGATGAAAACTCAATTCTCTCAGGACGCCAAAGCTGTGATGAGCTTACAGTGTTTTTTAACATTGAACCAAATGGAAGAGTTGTAAAACTTGTGAGAAGTGAATCTAGGGAATATTATTAAATATTTCTCTCAAATGAAATTGAAAGGTTTTTATTCGTAGACCCAAGTAACAAATTTAGTAGAGGCTTTGACATTGAAATTGAAACTCCATCCTGAAGGGATGTAAATACAATCATTTGTTTTGATTTCAGTTTCTGTATCTTCTCCAGATGGTGAACTTAATTGAACCAATTGAGAATATTGTGATGTATCTGCTATCATACAGACAGTAAACTTGTTAGAATTTTCTTTTCTTCCAACTCTTATCAATTGATCCTTCTTTGGATTAGCAAACCAAATTTCTGAGTTGACTGTCTTTAAAGTTGAAAATTGGTCCAAGCTTATTGGGAAATCATATTCGAATTCGTGTTCCTTCAGGTTTGGAGTAAAAGGAACTCTATAAACTGAGGAAGGTAATTTGTCCATGTTAACCAATGTAATTGATACTCCTTTCCTTTTGATATATTTTGAAAGTTGTTTCTTCATCTTGTTGAGTTTCCTAATGAATTCCTTATTGGAGGTAAATTCCTTCTTCCATGTTGAGGAGGAAATCCACTTGTTACTATACTTCTTCAAAACAATTGGTTTTGATTGACTCAGATAGTTTTCAAAGTTTTCCCTATATTTCTCAGGAGAAAGTGTTAAAACCAACTCAGCTGGTGGTACAACTGTTTGTGAAGCAGTAGAATCACCACCTTGGGAACGAGAAAAGACGCTCGTAATCCTTTCCCATAAAGAAGGACCTGAAGATGGTGCCTCCTGTTTTTGTACTTCTGGTGACGCTATCTTTCCTTCTTGTGGTGTTCCTTCGTTTCTAATAATTGGGGGCACATTAACTGATGACGAATTGAACATTGGAACAACAAACATGACCAACAATGCAATCAGTGATAAAACCAACAAGATAATCAAAGAATACTTAATGATTGGTGAACTTGTCCATACTCGTATGTGATTAATAAATCTTCTAATTAGTCTTCCCAATTTTGAGTTAGCAAATTTGGTTTTTCCTTCCATAGCTGGTTTAGCTATTGGTGAATCATCAACATTGTCTTTTCTATTAATCACACCACTGGAACTAGCAGTTGAATTCGATTGACCAAACAAATCCAAATTTCTGTTTAAATCTATTTTAGGTAATGTTTTTTCCAAATCACGATGATTATCAACTACTTCAAACCCATTATTCTCATCAAAAACATTACTATTTGATGTTGTTGAATTTGTATGACTTGTTGTATCATTATTTGATGCAATATTTGATGTAGCAAGTGATGAAGTTGTTGCCTTTGATTTAACTAATTGAAAGACACTTGATTTACCACTAGTTGTCGATGTATTATTGTTCCTTCGAGTTCTAACAGTTGCATTGGCTGATGTTGGGCTGAGTAATGAAGCATCCAATGATGATGCATTCTTCTTTGTTGTAACAGATTCGGAAACATTTGATGCTTCATTATTTGATGATGAAGAAGAAGGAGAAGATGATGTGGTTACAGTACCATTTGTTGTTGTTTGTTTTGGCTCTTCCATGTCTAATTCGAAACTCTGGGCAGCCATATTATTAATTCAAAGATTTTAAAAATCCACAATGATGAAAGGCAACCAATTATTCGCTTCTGCAATATCTATTATTGTGTGTTCTTTTTTTTACGAAGGTAATGCAGCACGAATCAATCGAAAATATTCGAAACAACAAAATGCTGAGGTGGAATGTTACGTAGTTTCGTCCCTTTTCACAATCAAATGAGCGGTCTTTTCAAAAGGACAATTGAGTCACTGAATACTTGTCGTCCAATCCAAAAAACTTCTAATGGATAGTAAAATGATGTTAACTTTCAAAATTTCTGAATTATTGTTTAAAGAGTTCCAATGAATGGGTTGTTGTCGTGTTGCATACAAAGTTTCAATTTGAAAAAAGCCTCTTCAACAATGCAGCACTTCAAATCGATCTATTTTTTTTTGATTGTATGAAAGCGCGCCTTTCCCAATCATCAAAGCTTCCCGATTAGGTTTGTTGTAAGGAGAGAGCGAATTAGAGTTCATCTGTGTGTAATAGAGTACTTTTCGAAACAATATTATCATCATCATAATGATAATGATAATAATTGGTGTGGTGTTAGAGAGTACTTTTTAGTTACTTGAAATTTATTGTTCATCCTAATATCTGTAGATTGAGAATCTTTGCTCTTTCGATTGGTTGTGTGAGATTTCGAATAGTTTGGAGGGAAAATTGGGGTTACGATAGGAAGTTTAATGAGGGGAAATTCTCATCTCTTTAAGCATACTGTAATTTTCTGTTTGATAATATTAAAAAAGAGTGTGAAAAGTAAAATGGCAGATAATGCAATCATTATAAATCCAAATGATTTGAATTGGTAAATTGCATTCAGAGCTAAAACTTCTTTTCCAACTAGAAATTGGACGAATACTTGGAATAAATTAGCCAATGCAGAGTTGAATGAAAAGATGGCTGCAAATCTGGTCAATTTGAGACCTTTTGCAATTTGTGAAAATGCCAAAACGTATAAAAATTCAAATAAGCAATGATAAATGACAAATAACAAGTAGGCAAGAAATATTGGGCATTTCCCATTCCAACTCATTACTAATAGACAAAATCCACAAATAAAGCATAAACTAATTGCCATTAGTTTGCCTTTCCATGATTTGATCCATTTTCCTAATCTGGATGGAATCATTGTAATGAGACTTGCACATGCATAGGCAACTGCTGTAAGAACACCATTGAAAGTCATGTCCTTGTTGAGTGTTTTGAAGAATGCTTGATAATAGGAGAGTGCTAACATGTGAACTGCTATTCCAATAATACAGTAAATACTCCAAAATACAACTGAATAATCATCCGTATAGCATTTCTTAACTTCCATTACAAAATTGAAAGCTCTTTTGAAGAGATTAATGAAAAATTCTTTGATTTTCAATCCAATTGAATGACATTTTGAATGTTCATGTTCAGATTCTAACCCCAACTCATCCACAATTGAAATTAATTCATCCTCAGGTGTTCTACTTTCGTCAGAGTGGAATTTTGATTCTTTTGGTTGTTCTGACATGGATCTGACATAATTCTTTGGTGATGGAAAGTGAAATACTGAAGTGTACAAACATGGAATTGTACATGCAAACCCAATGTAATATAAAACATGAATTGGGACACCTAGATAGAACAGAGTTTGACCAACGATAGCTCCCAATACTTGACCCAATAGGATACATGTTCTTGACATACTTGTCTATTTAATATTATATTATACTCAATATTGAAATAATTTCCAGAAAACTTACTAAGAATTGATAAGAAGATGGCTCACTTGAGTGATAAATCAATGCCAAATAAGTTTGATCAGTAGAGTATAATACAGCAAGTACAATCTCTGAAACCTGTAACATCCAAACTAAATCTATGCTACTGAAATATTCAATAAACATTGTTGAAATTAAACACAAAATTCCAAATGTTAAAATCCACTTGTGGCCCAACCATTTCTGTTCAGACATGATACCAACAAGTAATTGCACAACTGGCATTGAATAAGTCCATATTGGAAAAATGTCAAAGAGTACTGCTTTTAAAGTAATCCCTTTGGAAAGTAAAAATTCAACAAGGAATGGTTGTTGTGGATGTACGGTTCGGAAGAATGAATAGATGGCAAATGGTAAAATAATTCGAAGAGAGAGTGATGATGGTAATTTCTTTGTCTTTTTCTTGAGAGATGAAGATGTATAGAGTGGTGAATTCAAGAGGAGAAGATCTTCTTCGGAATTGTTATTAACTGAAGTCATGTCATGAGAGAATGAAGAAGAATAGGTGTGTAATTTGAATGATGATAATTTTTTCAGATTTTTCAAGTTGCTGACGTTAGTGTTAAACATTGATTCGACCATTCCAAAAAGAAACTGTGAAAATATTTGACACACCTAATTACAATATAAATTACAATGGTTTTTTAATTTAAGCATAATAATTCAAAGCAACCTTCTTCTTGGCTTGGACAGCAGCAACACCTTCCATAAAATCTTCATGCATAACTTGGGTGGCATCTCTCCTCAAAGCAATCATACCAGCTTCAACACAAACGGCCTTCATTTGAGCACCATTAAAGTCTTCACAACAACGAGAAATTTCTTCCCAGTTAACATCTTCATGAACTGTCATTCTCTTTGAGTGAATCTTCAAAATTTGTACACGTCCCTTTTCGTCAGGAAGAGGGAATTCAATCTTACGATCGATACGACCTGATCTCAATAAAGCAGGATCCAAAATATCGATACGGTTAGTAGCAGCAATAACCTTAACTCGAGTATCTTGTGAGAAACCATCCATTTGATTCAACAATTCAAGCATAGTTCTTTGTACTTCTCTGTCACCTGACTTGTCAGAACCGAATCTCTTTGTACCAATAGCATCCAATTCGTCAATAAAGATAATAGCTGGAGCTTTTTCTCTAGCCAATGCAAAAGCATCACGAACCAATTTAGCACCATCTCCGATAAACATTTGGACCAATTGAGGACCAGCCAATTTCAAGAATGTAGCTTTAGTTTGAGCAGCACAAGCACGAGCCAAGAGAGTTTTACCTGTACCTGGTGGACCATAGAGCAACACTACAAAGTTTTTAACAACAATGATTACTTAATCAAAATTACTTACCTCCTTTTGGTGGTGAAATACCAATTTTTGTGAATCTATCAGCTTGATTCATAGGTAATACAATAGCTTCATACATTTCCTTGATTTGGGCAGCACATCCACCAATATCACTATAATCTTCCTTTGGCTTTTCATCAACTTCCATAGCCTTGACACGAGAGTCATATTCAGAAGGAAGTTTTTCCAATACTAAGAAACTATCCTTGTTGACACCAACTAATTCACCTGGTTTAAGATCTTCGGAATCAACCAATCCTATAACTGGCAAATAAATAGTTTGTCTTGTACTAGTTTTTATGACTGCTGATTTACCCTTTCTTTCTTCATCAAGATCAACACTCGATCCGTCTTGTATAATTTCTTCATTTTCATCAGTTTCCAAAATCTAGAAAACAAATCAATAACAATATTAATTAATCCGGATTCTTGTTAATCCACTTACCTCTACCACAGTAGCGACGAGATATGGTAATTGTTTGTTAAGTTTAATCTTTTCTACATTTTCCTTTATCTTTTCTTTCATTGTATTTTCCTCATATTGAATACGCTTTTTCTCATTCCTAAAAACGTGGATTTCATTATCGATCAGTCTTGATCTGTGTTCAATTTCATCGGTGCTAGCACAAGCAATGTCTTCTCCAAAAGTTTCTAAAACTTCGTCCTTGGTCCACTTCTTTTGTGATGATTGCATTTTTTATCTTTTGTTTGATGTATTTCTTTGTATGCTGGTAAGAGTTTAAAAATAACTACTTGTTCCTGTGCAGAAAAAATTCCATCCATCTAAAAATAAAAATCAAATATTAAGAAGAGATTAATGGAAGAACATCCAAAGTGTTATTAATGTAGTAAGGTGAAAGATTGGAGGATTTTGAAGAATAAAATCTAATACAATGAGGAATGATGAAAACAAGCAAAAGAATCATAAATATGTTGTAAGCACATTGATCAAGTAACACGTTTTGAAAAGACTGAATCTATATTTATTAAACGTGATGAAGAATAATAATCAAAAAAATGATTAATAACCAACAACAAATCAAACACGAAGAATTGCAACAAGCTATGAAGAATTTAGATTCAGTTATTCAGTCATGGAATTATGACATGACAAAACGAGAGAAGGAATTCCAAGAATTAAAAGAAGTGTCAACAAAATACCAGTTCGGAGAAGGTGAAATAATCAAATTAAATATTGGAGGAAAGAAATTTAATGTGATGAAGGAAACACTCAGCCAGAAAATAATCAGAATAGATTATGACAGTGAGGAGGATGGTGAGGATGAAGAAAAAAAGTATTATCCTCCACATTTATTTTCTGCACTTGTTTCTGGCATGCACAATCTCACAAAAGACGAATCAGATTACATATTTATTGATAGGTAAGTTTACATTGGAATATAGTGTCTAATTTTAAATAGGGATGGAAGATTCTTTCCTTATGTATTGAATTATTTGAGATCTGGAGGGTTTTTGAATTGTTTTGTTTTACCATCTGACAAACACATTTTGGAATGCCTTTATGTGGAGGCTAGATACTACAACATGCAGGGATTAGTGGAGTTGATTGAGCGTACAGTTACTGGAATTGCTAAATTGTACCCAGAAAGTCCTCAATTATCCAGAAAGAAATTTGAAAGCAAAATACTGTCTGATACTCAATCTAAGAGATTATATACCGAGATTTTGGAAGGTATTGAAAAGGGAATTCCACGACTTTTATTCAGAGCATCTGAAAATGGATTTACAGGATCTGATTTCCATTCCAAATGTGATGCTAAAGGAAGAACTGTAACCATTATCAAATCAACAAATGGTGCAATATTTGGAGGTTATGCAGCAACAAGTTGGACCAGTAACTCTTCTTATTGTTTTGATAGTAATTGTTTTCTGTTTAGTATTATTTCTGGAAGTGGTGAGGAAAGATTTACAAAAATGAAAAACGATGGAATTCACCATTCAAACACTTATTCTATTTATTGTAACCCTAACCAAGGTCCTTCATTTGGAGGAGGACACGACATTTGTATCTCAAACAATCCAAAAGCACAAGAAAATTACAGCAATCTTGGTCATTCCTTTTCTCTTACAGGCCAAACTTATGGAACAGCAACAATTAAGAGCTATCTTGCTGGTGCTTACAATTTCAGTGTTGAGGATTATGAAGTGTTTGCTCTTCAATAAATTGGAGGGAATTAATTATAAATATAAACAAGAAAATATTGTAAAAAGGGCGAAAATACTTTACAAAAAAATTATACAAAAATCATCTAATGCAGTACCTTATCTTTTGCTCATAAATAGAACTCTTTTACCTCAATATTTATTGATTGACATTAATAATTCAATTTTTGTAGAAGGAGCGAATTCGCACAGTGTGCCATTCGAATCTCTATCGAACATTACAAAAATAGGTTCTGCGGGGTAATGGAAAACTGTTAAAAACAGCAAGTCCCCTTTATCAATTGCCAAATCAACAAGATGAAAAAAACCACACAACAACAACAAATTATCAAGCAACTCATTACCAAGCTGATCCTCACAGAGAAGGCTTCAAGAAGAGGATTTTCCAAGAGTATCATTCCATTGCTGAACAATCAAACACAGAATAATTTTGAAGATAAGACAGAGTTTCAATATGCCTATAGACAATGCGATAAGGAAAGAGAATTGGCACCTTTTTGCAATATGACAAGTAAGACTCTTAGCAAAATGACTTTCAACCATGGAAATTACTTTAAAGCCACCATTCCGAATCAATTATACTCTCAAGTTGAAATAAATCCAATTCAACATCAACAACACGAATTGAGATTCTCTGTTCAATATAATGAAGCAATTATGGAGAGAAGAGTTAGGGAAGAGAGTATAGATGCAAATATTGACTTGTCTATTGTGTATAATTATTCGAAAATGACTCCAGCATCGTTATCTGTTTCTACTTTGGTGGAGTTTGTTGAAAACACATCAATTAATAGTTTAGTTTTGTCTTCAGGTTGGTTGATTGAAGAACTTCGTATTAGGTTGGCACAACAGGTGCAACTCCTTGATGAAATGCCTCATGGTCTCAATCTTATGCCTTCCATACGGTAAGTATATTTTCCATTTATAGCAAGATACCAAGAAATAATAATATTTATAACACTGTAATGTATCCATTTAATAATATTTCCCTAAATAGTATCGTCAGAGATTGGTACTTGACCAGTTTTAAACAATTGTATCAAATCAAAAGCAAGCCACGAAATAGAAGTGAAGAAATTGAATTTACCAATGTGATTAGAACCATCTACGATCGACACAATCCAACAATGGTTAGTGTTGCAGGTGGTGTTGCTGAATTGAAAGAAGAATTGAAAAAGACCATGTTAGAATATATTGATTATACCAATTATTCATCATTGAAGGATCATTTAGATTCATTCTATATCAATAGAATTGGTATTAGAACTGTAAGTTATTTTCTATTTCTTTTTGAATAATTAACATTTCGAATAGTTATTGGAACATCATTTGTCTCTTCATGATCAAGTTGAAAATCCAAATTGTAATCTTTCAAAACTGATTTGTAAAAATACTAATCCAATTCTGGTGGCAAATAGAGCAATTAAAGATGCTCAAGATTGGTGTCTTGCTCATTATGGAAAGTTTCCACAAGTAATTGTCTCAACAAGTGGAAATCAAGATGATTTATTATTCCCATACGTGCCGAACCATTTACAATTCCAACTTATTGAATTGTTAATTAATTCCATGAGAGCAGTTGTTGAAAATCACACAGATTCCCTTCCACCTGTTGGAATCTTAATGAGCAGTTCTCAAGATGAAGTCACCATTAGAATTAGTGATGAAGGAAAGGGAATTCCAAGAAAGGATATGCCTCAATTGTTCTCCTACTTGTATTCTACTGCTAGTGTTAGAAAGGAGATAGTCAATCAAGATGGTAAACAGGGATCTGTTGCAGGTTTTGGATTTGGCTTACCTCTCGTCAAACTCTACTCCAAATATTGGGGTGGTGAATTTAAACTCAATTCAGTTTCAGGTTATGGAACTGATGCTTACTTGTACTTTACAAAGTAATATTATAATATTTGTAACATTAGAATGTAAATAAAATCCATCATGTAAATTATCTGGTAATTAGCTCTTTGAACTCTTTCTAAAAATTTTACACAAATTGACTCCATCACAATTTTTCACAGAGTTGAAAGAACAACAACAAATGGAGTTTTCAATCCTTCCTTTGTAACACAAATTTCTCCAAATATAATCTTTTCAATAAATTCCAATAGTTTATTGTTCATTACAAAAGAGAATCAAGAATCTCTTGAACGCATGAATGGGTTTCCATCAAGTCCATTTTCCTTCAATCAATTCATTTTGGTGAGGAATTTTAAAAGCAACTTTAAAAAAATGCAAAAACAACAACAACAATTAATGAAACAAACATTGAAGGCAGCAGTCTCCTTGAAGAAGATTAACAAATTTGGTACTGTTGTTGGTAATGTTGTTCATCTCTCGGAAAATAAGAGAAGATTTACTTCATCACTTATTAATGGAACATCATCTTGTAGTAGTAGTAATAATAATAATAGCTTTGATAAGAGAGTGAGAGGAATTTATTTTGATTTTGGTGCTACAACACCAACAGATCCTAGAGTACTTGATGCCATGCTTCCGTTCATGACAGAAGTTTATGGTAATCCACACTCTAGAACACACGAATTTGGTTGGGATTCTGAGAAGGCTGTCGAATTGGCTAGAAAACAAGTTGGTGATTTAATCGGAGCAAGTCCTAAGGAAATTGTATTTACAAGTGGAGCAACAGAATCGAATAATACTGCATTGAAAGGTGTTGCTCGTTTCGTAAAGGATAAGAAGAAACATATTATTACAACACAAACAGAACATAAATGTGTTTTGGATACTTGTAGACATTTAGAAGAAGAAGGATTTACAGTAACATATTTACCAGTACAAAAGAATGGATTAATTGATTTGGCAGAATTGGAAAAGGCCATTACACCAGAAACTGCTTTGGTCAGTGTCATGTTCGTTAATAATGAAATTGGTGTGATACAACCAATCAAGGAAATTGGTGCTTTATGTAGAAAGAACAAGGTTTTATTACACACTGATGCTGCTCAAGCTTTTGGTAAAATTCCAATTAATGTTGATGATATGAATATTGATTTAATGTCAATCAGTGGTCACAAGATTTATGGTCCAAAAGGTATTGGTGCTCTCTATGTTAGAAGAAAGCAGCCAAGAGTTAGAATTCATCCACTCATTAATGGTGGTGGTCAAGAAGGTGGTCGTAGATCAGGTACATTGGCTGCTCCATTGTGTGTTGGTTTGGGGGAAGCAGCAAGAATTGCTTCTGAAGAAATGGAAAGAGATTTAACTCATGTCACTCAATTATCTCAAAAACTTATTAGTAGCCTTAGAACTAGATGTGAACACGTTATTTTGAATGGTGATGAAAATTTGAGATATCCTGGTAATGTTAACATTAGTTTTGAATTTGTTGAAGGCGAAAGTTTATTGATGGCTTTGAATTCTGTCGCTTTATCATCAGGTAGTGCTTGTACTAGTGCTTCCCTTGAACCAAGCTATGTATTACGTGCTTTGGGAGTTTCTGAAGAAGTAGCTCACACATCACTTCGTTTTGGTATTGGTAGATTTACAACTGAGGAAGAAATTGATTTTGTAATTAACAAGACTGCTACTGAAGTATTAAGATTGAGAGAACTGAGTCCACTCTATGAAATGTTCAAAGAAGGTGTTGATATTTCCAAGATTCAATGGAATGAACACTAAGTTTCAAAAGTGTAAATAAATCAATATTGTTAAATCATTATGAAAGCTTCAAATCAACTATAATTCTCCGGTAAGCATTACAAATTAACATTACAATGAAAAATAGGTGTTCAAAAGTGAGCTTACTCTTGAACGTCTTCTTATTGAACGTTGAAACGAATAAGTAGAAAGTTGAGGACACAAATTTTAGAACGAACGGACAATGAGAAGACTGCTATCCAACGATCACAACAATTATGCTGATCATTGCGTACTCATATTACCTGACAATATATTTGCACAACATGGTTGAATTACTTTATCAGTACCTTATTATCGTTATCATCACTCAATGTCCAACAAGTGTAAGATGATGCTATTATCTAATTTCCCTCCAATATTTTTGCCATCAGGATTGATCCGCCTAATATTAAAATTCTCAAGAAAAAAATGTCCACACAAGAGGCAACATCAACATTATCGGCAATGGAATCATTGTCTCGATACGTCAACATCTTTAACAAACTTGCCGATATTCTTGTTGGAGAGTTTCAAAATCACCCATATCGTTCATTGATTGATGTTTCAATTATTGTTTTAATTGTTTGGTATTTGATGAGCAAGAGACGTTCAGCTGTGCCACCACAAAAACTTTCCAAGAAACAAGAAGATGAAATTATTGAAGATTGGGAACCTGTACCACTTGTTCCAACCTCTGATGATAGCAATGTTGATGCTACAATTAATGCTATGAAGGAACATGAATATGTCGTCACTTCAGTTGCCGATGTTGAATTCACTGTTGAAGGAAAGAAGGACAAGGTTATTAACTTTGGTACTAATAACTTTTTGGGTTTTATTGGTGATAAGGATATTCATGAAAAGTGTAAGGATACTGTTCGTGAATATGGTGTTGGTAGTTGTGGTCCTCGTGGTTTCTATGGTACTATTGATGTTCATCTTGATTTTGAAAAGTTGTGTGCCAAGTTTATGGGAACCGAAGCTTGTATTTTGTACTCTTTCGGTTTTTGTACAGTCAGTTCTGTTATTCCAGCATTTTCCAAGCGTGAAGATGTTATTCTTTGTGATGAAGCTTGTAATTATGCCATCAAGACTGGTTGTCATTTAGCCCGTTCAACTGTTGGTTACTTTAAACATAATAATGTTAAAGCTCTTGAAGATATGATGAAGGAAATTGTTGCAAATGATAATGGTGCCACTCCAAAGAATCGTCGTTTCATTGTTGTTGAAGGTGTTTATGAAAATAATGGTGATATTGCTAATTTGAAGGAAATTATTGCTTTGAAGAAGAAATATGTCGGATTTAGAATTATTCTTGATGATAGTTATGGTGTTGGTGTTTTGGGTAAAACTGGTAGAGGAACAATTGAACACTTTGGTTTGGATATTAATGATTTTGAAATTGTTTGTGTTAACATGGAAAATTCATTCGGATCTGTTGGTGGTGTTTGTGTTGGATCTAACATTATTGTTGATCACCAAAGATTATCTGGTGCTGGTTACTGTTTCTCTGCTTCTTTGCCTCCATATTTGTCAACTGCTGCTATTGAAGCTATGAATAAGCTTGATACTAATCCTGATAGCTATTTGGTTCCACTCCAAAAGAATGTTACCCTCCTCTCTGAAACTCTTAACAAGAAGATTTCATTCAAGAATTCCAAGTTGGTTCTTCTCCATGAAGATAAATGTCCAATCTTCCACATTCGTCTTGCTGATGATCACCCTGCTAAGGCTGCTTTACTTGAAGCTAAGAAGCAAGTTGACCAATTCAAGTCCAAGAAGAATAAGAAGCAAATGGCTCAAGCCAGTATTCTTTTCTATGAAGAAAGAAATAAGGTTCAACAAAAGTTCAAGGATATTGTTTCTAAGGCTATTGACCAAGGAGTTGCTGTCGTTTGTCCAAATTATACACACAGAGAAATTACCTTACCTGAACCAGGTTTGAGATTATCAGTCTCTTCCAAACATACCAAACAACACCTTGAAAAGTGTGCTGATGTTTTGTCTTCTCTTTTTGCGGAAATTTTGCCATCAAAGATGTAAAATATTTATTTGTTAAATAATAATTAAAAAATTCAAATATACAATAATAATTCAAGATACAATGATGTGTTATTATTAATATAAGAAATATTAAGAATTTATAAGAGCTCCTTCTTTCACATTGTATCATTCACCTCAGTACACTGTAGTGAATAGATGAACAAACATATTATAATATTAATTAAGGTTTATGAGATGATTATAATATTAAAGTATGATCACTCAATTTTTGAAACATTTTTACTTAAATATTACTTGTATGCCCAAGCGGACCAAAAACTGGATATTAAACCCCTTCAACTGTCAAACAACAAAATGGTTAATTATTATTAATTGCGAGATAAGATTCGAGGGATCATCTCAAAAAAAAACGATGCATTCCAAACGTACATTCTTATTGGCATGTTGCTTTGCCTTGATGTTGTGTTGTCAACTTTGGGCTGCATTCGTGCATGCTCAACAATTAGACGAAACTTCTACCTCCAAAACTTCACAAGCTTCCAGAAGTACAATTAGAGAATTCATTCTCGATCCAACTACTCGTCAAGTCATCGATCAAATGAAAATTGCAGTCAGCTCTGAACAAGAAGTTGAAATTGCTGAGAATTTCGTATTGATTGCTGCAAAATTGAGAGAAATTTATGAAACTATTCCAAAAGAAAGATTTGACGAAAGTGAAATTATTCAATTGAGAGAGGAATTATTGGAACTCATTCAATTCTTTACCAGAAAAGCCAATCGTCCAAGTGTTGACATGATGAAATATTCATTGATTCAAAGTGCTACCGAAAGATATGTAAACGAAACTCAAAAGAAAAAAGATCTTTCTAAAAATAGTGAAGAATCTGATGCTGAATGGATCACTGCTGCCTTGAATATTGCCAGTAGTGTCATGAATATTGCAAATGACATTGGTACTTATCATGAAAAGATTTCCAAAGTTGGTAATTTCATTGCTAATCAAGTTTCTAATGGTTTGGATAAAGTTGGACTTAAGAAAGCTTCTGGATGGGCTAAAGATTTAGGAAATGGTATTTCAAAATTCTCAAATGAAAAGATTGCCCCAATTGAAAACAAAATTGCCAAGAAAATTGCACCAGTTGTCAAATCAGCTCCATTCCAAGCTGTCAGAAGAACTTTAAATGTTGTCACTGGAGTTATGAGTTTGAAATCTGGATTAAACCTGTTGGGTATGGCAAAGAATGTTAAATTACCAAAGAATTTCTCAGCCCTCAAGTCATCAATCAAAACAACCACAAAAGCTGCCAAATCACTTTTCAAGAATAAGCAAGCTCGTAGTCGTTTCTCAAGAATTGCCAAATTGACTGGAAAGAGAGCATACAGAACTTTCAAGAAGGCAGATTTAAAGACCAAGTACAAGACTGTTAAATCCTTATATGGAGGTGCTAAATCTATTAAGGGTGCTTTGACTTTTAAGAGAAATGAAAGAAAGCCAAGACAATCCAATAGAAGAAATAATCAAAATAACAGATCTAGACAATATGGAAGAAATAGAAGAAACCAAAATGGAAGAAGAAATAACAGATCAAATGGAAGACAAAGAAACAATTCTCGTTCCACCAATAATAATAGAAGAGGCGGTAGAAGAGGTGGCAACAGAGGTGGCAGATCAGTCAATCGTAACAATCAAAGAAGAAATAATAACAGATCACGTGGAGGACAAGGAAGAAGAAACAATGGTTCAAGAAGAGGTGGTAACAGAGGTAATACTTCAAGAAATTCTCCAAGAAGACACAACACTGGTGGCAGATCTCGTCAATCCAATAACAATAGAAGAAGAAGCAACTCTAGACCATCTTATGGAAATAGAGGAGGTAGATCATCTTATAGAAATTCTTCACCAAGAAGATCTTCACCAAGTAGAGGATACTCTCGTGGTGGTGGATCTAGATCATCATCTCGTGGAGGTGGTAGATCATGATCTCGTGGAAGTGGTAGATCAGGATCTCGTGGTGGTCGTGGAGGAAGACGTTAAATAAATTCTTAACACACTATTCTCTACTGATCAATGAAAAAACGAAATAGAAAGGAAAGTGATTATTTATTTAAGCTAAAGAGAAGAAATAACTGCAAAGATACAATAGAACATAAACAAATAATTGACATAACCAATGCTGTTAACATCATTTGTCTTTGGTTGAGTTGAATTACCGAATGAAGCAGATGGTTGAATTGGTTGTGTTGCATTTCCAACTGTTAATTGATTATATGGTTGAATGTCATATTTAGTGTCAAACATTGAGGATTCTGCCTTGAAGGTAATAGTTTCATTCTTCAAATTGGCAACAGGTGCATTCACTTTTGGAACAAATTCAAAAGCCAAAGTTTGTTGGTTTACCAAAACAAAGTTGACCGAAGAGAAGAAAGTTGTCAAGCTTGAAGAACTCATTCTAAACAAATTGAAATTAGCAGCAGAAGACTGAGTTGTGATATTGCTTATAAAGTTCTTATCCCAGGCGTGATTATCATCCAATATCTTGACATGAATTAAAGTAGTTTCAGATGTTGAGAATGAAGATGTAAAAGTTGAAGGTTGACCATTTGTGATGAAACTTAAAGAAAGTTGAGTAGCCTTCAATTCCAATGTAGACATTGTAAATCTACATTTTCTATCAGAGTATAACATGATAATGGATCCATGTTGAGAAAGTAATGAAATAGACATCTTCTCTCCCTTCAAAGATAATGAACTACTAGAAGCATAAATTGAATTCGAATCTGAGAAAGAAGGAGAAGCAACTTGACCCTTCTTATTGACATACAGATCAATATTACAATCATCCTGGGTGGTAACTTGGAAGATAAGACCCTTAACGTTATTCAATTCATACTTGTAGTATTTTTCGTAAGCAATGTCAATGTACATATTTCCAGACACTTCTGGATCAATTGTGAGTTGACCAATGGCTCTTGTATTAATTTTAGAGTAATCAAGACTTTGAGCAATTTCTAATTGTCTTGTAATGGCTAAAGTGCTTTCAATGGTTAATTGAATATATCTATTAGAAGTGTCAACTTTACAAAGAGAATTAATTGTTGCAATTGGTGAAATCAAAATTGCACCATCAGAAAGAATGACAGTTTCTAATGTGGCTAAAACCTCTGCATTATTGGACATGACATGTGCTTTAACCCAATCCAATTGGACAACTTTACCATTAGTTGAATCAATTACTCTTAAAAAGAGGTTATTCCAGTCAATTGAGCTAGAACATGGAATTGCAAAGGCACCAACTTCTGATGAGGCCAATTTCTTGACCAATGAAGGGATACCATTTAAGAGTTTGTGATTGTGAATCAAGTTAACATTTACAGATTCTGAGCTTGTTCTATTAGGTGACAAGTAAAAAGTGTCAAAAGTCGATGGAATTGGAATTGAAATTGGTGAACTTCCAATTGAGTATAAACCACTATTCATATTCAATGATTCATCAATAGAATTTGAGAAAGAAACCTTAGCTGACTTGGTGGATGAAAGTTTAACATATGGGAAAATGGAATTCTTTGCAACTTGTTGTTCAATCAACACATTTGTAGATAAACTCGAACTAGTCAACTGAGAGGCCATATATGGATCAAATCTAATAGATTCAATTATTACTTGATTAATAGGAACCAATTGAGCTACAACAATTTGAATCTTTGGAATGCTATTTCCATAATTATTTTCCAATGAGAATGTGAAATGATGAATTCTGGATGGTAAGATTTCAACATTTCCAGTTTGTGTTTCGATATACTGGTACTTCTTGCCCTTGGTTTGGTAAATATTGTAATTGGAAATCCAACCTTCGTATACGAGAATGTCAAAACTTCCTTTGGCTTGCAGAGTTACCACATATCTATTCGAAACTGTTTCAACAGCTTGCACAAATGTATTCAAACTCATTGTATCACGAATAATCTCAGACAATCTGACAGTTGTTTTTGGATACACCATTCTATAGGCAATTGCATTTACAAAGTTGATATTAGCTCCAGAATATCCATAAATAGTAAAGTTTCTTGGAGCATTTTGAGAATAGTAATAATAGTAACCATTTTCAATCAAGGGAATAAATTGGAATGGAAGACCTGTGATAGAACGATCAGATCTAAATGCCACAAAGTTATTGTCAAGGAAGGTCTTTTGGTGGTCAAAGTCAAATGTCGTAGTTGTTCCTATTTGATAAGAACCTGTTGGTACATCCCTAAATCTGACAACTCTATCAGTAATATGAATATATGCAGAGACAATTCCACTTTCAAATATTTTAGTTGTAACTGTTGGTGCACTACCATAAACATTTGACAAATTAAAAATCTTAACCAAAATGTCAATATTAGACCACCAATGATCTTCAATTATCTTCACACTAATATAATAGTTTGGAGTGAATGTAAAGGTACATCCAAATTTACAATTAATTGAGTCAGTTGAGTATTTGTAACCACTTGGTGGAGATGTACCAGTTGAGTATTCGATGAAGTAATAGTTATCACTTGGTGCAATTTTAATTTCAAAGTAAAAGCTAACCATATCACTAATACCTTTCAGTGAAGGGATAGCATTTCCAGGTGAGTAGACAGAATTGCTATCTACTGCTTTGTATGAAGAACTTTGTAAAGAATAACTTCCACTCAATAATGGAATAGCTGTCTTTTGAATGAAAGTCAATTCTTTGTCAACTTTGAGAATTTCATTGTTGATGGTAACATCGACTTGATAGGAAGATTCTACCTTACCAAATAATTGATACTCTGATAGGGATGCGGCTAATGCTTGAGCAGAGAGTTCAGCAATCAACTTGGGTTTGATTGCAACAGTTGTTGTAACCAAACTCCAGATTGTAATGTCAAAAACAGGATAAAGAGAAAATGTAGTGGTAGAAGAAGCTTCTAATCTTAAACCAGGAGAGCTGGATGACCATTCGAAACCTGCTCCAGTTCTAACAGGTCCATAACCAGTACCAGAAGCATATTGATAACCAAAGTATTGTTCATAGCTCGCCTTAAAGTTTCTACTATATTCCAATAGACCAGAAGCTTGAATATCAAAGCTGTAGGCCAATTTTGGAACAATATCGACCCAGACAGGGATACCATAAATATTAAACTTGAAATTGATGGTTGAAAGTGTTGCTAGAATATCACCTTTAGAATAACTTAAACTTTTGCTTAAAGATGCTTTGAGTGTTGCATCACCTTCAATCTTACCACCAATCAATGCTTGTGCTTTAGTGATTGAGAGCCATGACCATTCAAATTCAACTCTAAACTCTGCATTCATGTAGACATAACACTTTTCACAAACAACCTTGAAATCTCCATAACTGGTTGAAGTTGAATAAAGAGGAAGAGATTCTTGTTTGACAGAACCTGTATTGACATCATAGTTGAAACCAACAGCGTAGAGTCGTTGTGTCCATGAAGAACGAGAATTCTTCTTTGCATCAGTTGAGTAGAGGGAAGTGAAATTCTTGTCAGTTTCTCTGGCAACAGGAGTTGACTTGTATGAAAGTTGACCATTCAAGAAGAGTTCGTTAGTCTTTAACATTCTAACATTGAAACTGATCTTGACCATTTCTCCTTGTTCTAATAAGATTGATCTAGACAAGACAAGGAATGCGAGTTGATCTTCTTTGCCATATTGGTCAATTGTGGAGCTGCCAAAACAATTCCACTTCTTACCAATAACCATACGAGTACCTGGAATCCACTTACGAGCAGTAAAGTGTCCATTAGCAAAATCAACTTGAATAGAACCATCTTCTTTACCACATTTGACATCCCATACACTTTCTTCTTGATCAAGAAAGGCGACACCTGTCAACATGTTTGCCTCAAAGGAATATGAATGAAGTGATCCATCTTGGATGAAGTTGGCATGTTCATTCAATGATACATAATCTACACCTTCTACGAATAGCTTTCTAACATTTCTTATGTTAGAATTGGTTTCGTGTTGTTGGATTAGTTTTCTTGAAACAACTTCAGAGTGTGAATAGTGCTCAGTGGAGAAGGAGTATGGATCCTCTTCTCTTACACGATGCAATTGCTGAATAGTTTCGTATGGATGCATGGTTGGTGGTGTGAAAGGAATATTCTTTGACTTTCCAATAAGAATATTGAAAGAATCATCAGAATTGGAGGTTGTGCTTTCATGACTAAACATGCGCTTTCTTGCAAACTGAAGTGTTGTATCAGAGTGTACAACTCTCATACAAGCAGCCAAGCAAACAATGAATAGAACAAACACTATAGTTTTCATTGTTTAGGATTTTTTTGAGATGATGATTAAAGCAAAGCAAACTTTGCAACAATGGATAAAGATTCTATGAGTTTTGAATTCCTTACGCAAATATTTTGAATGGTCTTTACATTTTGTATGGAATGGTACAACAACTGAAGAATTGACAAAATTGATTGGCTGAAAAATTGTAAAGTGTTAAAGGTGATGGACGAATCAAGGGATTAAAGTACTTTTTTATCCTTAATTGCTCTTGTTTAGAGGGCAACAAGAACTGAAAATTTCTTTTTGTTCAAACTTGTCATCAATAGGATTTTTAAAAGTAAATTCTGTATAACTCTACAATGTTAATCATTTTGTAAGAACCTGTAAAATGGATGTACTAAAAGGGGTAGTAATCGAACAATTTGAATAAGCTATGCTGAATTATTCATCAATTTCATCATCACTATCTGTTAACTCAGAAGTAGTAATGTATTCCTTCCATGAAAAATTTGAGAATTTCATATTCCAATCCTTTTGGTCTGGTTCTGTAATAATTTTCAAATTATCTCCTTCCTTCACACTACAATTATAAATACTTGACATTGCATGATCATAACAATTATCAATTAAATAAAAATCATATCTATAATAGGTGATTTTGTAGAATTCATAAATAAATGTTGCAATTGAATGGGTGTTGATAAAACAATCCTTATTGACATCTATGTATTGATGTAATAGAAGAAGTTCAAGAGGGTTATCATTCAACGACAATCTTTGAACATAATCAAATCTCATTCGTTTAAATCCAAGCTTTAAATAAATCAATTGTCTCACTTTTGGATCCATTACTTCATTTGGGGAATCAGAATGTTCACACTCAACAATAAATGAGAGAGGCAACTTGTACAGAGTTTCTGAAATATAATCATCCACATTCAGGCCATTAACATTCAAATATTTCATTTGAAGATTCAAAATTTCTCTATCTTTCTCATTCACTCGTTTCAGTAAAATTTCCAAATTTCTATTCAGAGATTCTTCTTTCAAAATTTGTTTTGAATACTCCATTAGCTTGTTTGTCAATCTCTGCCCTCTGTAATTTTCATCCACAACTAAATAGCCCAATAATCCACAATTTGACATTGGATAATACTCAATTGTGGCAGCTGCTGCAATAGTTCCATAATTATTACTTGTTTCTTGTTTGCACCCTAAATCTTCAAGAAATAAAAAGTGATGAAATCCACAAAAACCATCATTAAATGTCTTTTCTGATAATAAATAAATAAATTCCTCAAATTCTTCCAATTCTTCTTTCAGTGGAAAATTAGGAACCAACAATTCATCATAGAATTTTTGTAATAATTCACGAATTTCCGGTTTAATTTCTTCTACATCTTGATAACGAGTAGTAGAGTGTTTTATTGTTGATTCTTCCGATGTGGTGACAAAATACTCTTTGTGTGCATGATTTGTAAGGTGATGAAGTTTAAACATTTTTTAATAATTAAAAAATTAAAAAGTATAGAATTGAAAAATTAATAAGAAATTATTTATTTACGTAAGTGTCTAGCACAGAATTGTTCCAATCTATCATAAGCTTCAACGAGGTCATTCTTAGATGGACAAGTAACAACTCTGAAAAAGTTCTTCATTCTGAAACATTGACCTGGTAACACGATGAGACTTTCTTCTTTCAATAAAAGTGAGGAGAATTCAACATCGTCATTGATTTGATCATCAAACATGTCAATATCAATGCCAATCATACAATACATGGCACCTTGTGGTCTAATGGCTGAGAGTCCCTTAATATTTGAAATTCTTTCAGCTGTATAGTCTGAACTTTCTTTCAATGATCTATTGAGATTCTTATAGAAGGATGGTTCAACCTTTTCGAAAATATAAGGTAAAGCACCTTGTACGAGAGTATTGGCACCCAAAATTAATGTAGTCAATCTTTGAATACCATCTCTGAGTTGATTCATGTAACCCATCTTGTCATAAATGATAATCCAACCAACTCTATAACCTGGAACAAGGAATTGCTTAGCAATACCACCAACACTCAAAATTGGAACAGTATCTGTCAATTCAGCCATGTGAATGAACTTTTCAGTTTCATCGAAAATCATGTCAGCATAAATTTCATCAGCAATAATTGGAAGTTTGAATTCTTCAGCAAAATTAATGATATCCTTCAAGTGAGCAGCATCATAGACAGAACCACATGGATTGGATGGATTATTTACAAGAATAGCTCTAGTCTTTGATGTAACAAGTGATCTAGCATGTTCCAAGTCAACTTTCCAAGCATCATTTGACTTGAGATTATAATATTTGGCTTCAATACCTTTGCTACCGGCTAAAGTAGTATAGAGTGAAAAACCTGGTTGTGGAAGTAAAATTTCATCTCCTTCATTACACAATGCTTGAATGCAAATATCGAGAGCACCACTGGCACCACTACAAATAACGACATCCTATTGTTTGTTCATCAAATGATGCAAGTTCAACATCAACATCATGATATCATTATTAAAAGAGAAAGAACACTAATAAATACTTACAGACATCTTGACTGAATGATTCTTTAAACTATATCTTGTAGCAACTGCCTTTCTGGCATCATCTCTGCCCATTGATGGAGCATAACCATTACATTTGCCTTCTTGAACAGCTTTAATGATAGCTTCTTCGACCATCTTGTCTGTCTTTAAATTACCAAATACTGTTGGGTCACCAATAGAAAGTGAAAGTTTGCTCTTATTTGGATTCATATCTTCATCACGCAGTTTATCAACAATTTGTCGGATTGGATTCACAGTTCTCATCGAGGATTCTGATGGTTTAATAGACCATGATGATGATGTGGTGTAATTGCAGCATCTGTAGGCATTTGTTTACTTGTTTCTTCGTTAGTTGTAGTAATTGTTGTGGTTGTGATTGGGGTTGCGGAATTAATATTGGACAATGATGTATTATTCATGATGATTAGAGTGTTGTTGTTAGGGGGAAGTAAAATAAATTAATGGGGAGGTGAGAGTGCGCGCCGTATTGAATGAGCAAAATTGGGAAGGAAAACTTCGAGGTGGGTATTTGGGATTTTTTTTTGTAAACTCAGTCTCAGATTCATGCTTTGAATTGTTTGTTGAAGATTTTCCCGCTTTTTAACTGAGGACCTTGGTTTATATTTAGGTCAAATTGACTGGTAGTGATGGATATTCAAAATACAAGATGCATTGAATTAAACGGTAAATTAAGAGTTTGAGGAAATTCGATTTGAAAATTCATATGTTCAATGTTCCGTAATAAGCGAATTTTTGAGGAAAGGTTTCTGAAATTAATAGTGAACGACAGGAAACAGAATTAAGAGTCTGTAAAAAGATGAAATTTTTTTACTATTTCACAGAGCTTGAAGAAAGTTTAAATTGATGTTTTTCTCAATACAATTCGTTTTCTGTTAGATTCCATTTCTTTAAAATCTCTTCCAATTCCACTTTCTATGCAAATTGCTTTCCATTTACCATCAAATTTCACAAAAAAATGGCGCAAGTTCTCATCCACACCAGCTGGCCATCAAATAGGCTATTTTTCTTCTGTGTGCTGATGATAACAATTATTTACTTGGCACAAAAAGCATCTCCTCTCGAATCAAGATTGGAAACTAATTGTCTTGATTGTACTGATAGTGCAATCGGAGGTGGAATTTGGTGTGCTATGGAGAATCGATGTGTTTCATCTGCCAGTGAATGTTATTCCTCTTTCTATTCAAAATTGAATTCTAATGATGATGGTAATAGATTGTCATTATCCGTGATGATGAATCGGATGAAATCTTTTGTGAATATTCATCCTCAAGATGAGAATGAACAAATTTCCGTATTGAATACTAATGAAAATAGAGAAACAGAAGGAATACAAGATTGGAGTAACATGTTTTGGTTTCTGAAGAATTATACCATGATGAAGGTTGTGAGTAATGATACAGAAGAAGTGGATGAAGAATTTGATGAAGAAAAACATGAACCAATGGAATGGATATCGAGAATTCCACAACATTGCATGGATGGAGTGATTGACCATCCAAGAAAGTGTCCAAGATTTAATGGTAAGTTATTTAGAGTGAAGAAATGTTAAATATTTGAATAGTTTCAATTGCTAGAGAATATTCTCGTTCAACGAGAAATTTAGTGGAACCTATTCCAATTCAACCACAATTGATTTTGGATTCTGTAGATTTATCAATTAAGAATTCTATATATGGAAATACTAGTTATCAGGCATTTGTTGGTGCTTTCTTTCCAGATCAACAATTATTTAAAAAGCAAGGATATTTCTTTTCTTATGAATTTCATGTTCAAAGAAAAGGAATATTTAAGGTAAAGAAGGGAAAAATTACATTTACTGATCTTTCAATTGCTGCCTCGACTAAGGAGAATCATAGATTGGGATTTGGTGTGATGGTGGTGAGTGGATTGAATGGAAGTCTGACAACTGTAAATACCTCAATTCAGTGTGGATTTGTAACATCTTCAAAACCAATCTATGTAGAATCTGTTACCATGTACTTTTTATTGAATCCTCATGTATTCGTAGCCCTTCCAATATTCCTTATTGCTATTTCATTAGTTTATATTCAAGTGACTTGCTGCTCAAAGAAATATCACCTCAATGATGACATTATAGAGGCAGATACGATAGCTTTGGATGATGACTTACAAGAAGTACCAAAGAAGGAGAGTAGGACCTTTTTCACATTGAATTCGAATAGAGATATGGAAGATAAACCATTACTGGGTAAAGCTGTCCAATTTTTCAAAAATTTAGCAATTCACATTGTTGAATCAACAATTTCCTTGTTTAGCACCTCTGACAGCGAAATTGTAAGGAAATGTGGAACAGATGTCTATTACTTTTTATGGTTCCAAAAGTATCTCATTCTATTTGTTACAGTTTGTGGAGCCATCTCAATGATAATACTTTTGCCAATTTATATATTGAGCAAACAGTACGATTATTCATTTAGAGATTTTTCAATGACCACCATTGCCTCTATTAACGTAAAGACCAGTATATTGACAATTTTATTTTTCATTATGAATGGTGTTATTCCAGTAATTGGATTTGGTTTATTGTGGAAGATTAGAAGACTTGCCAGACACATGATTAAGGCAAACAACAATTTTGGAAGCCTATACACTGTGATGATTTCAAATGTGGACAAGACTTTGAAAGATAAGGATATTCTCTTACGTGAGTTGAGAGCCATGTTTGGAGATAACTCAATTGTTGATTGTCACATTTGTTTTGATTATTCAAAGATTAATGCACTGGAAAAGGATATTGAAATCTTGAAAACAAAATTGAGTCTTTTAGACGAGAATAGAAATGTTACTATTAATTACATCAAATCCCTCCATTCAAAACTTGTTAGAAACATGTCTTTACAGGAGTATTACACGAGTGAAATTGAAAAATCGGAAACCAAACTCTCTGAACTCAAGAAGGAAAATGAAATTTGTGGAACTGGTTTTGCCTTTGCAACATTTTCATCCCTTAAAATGGCTCAACAAGTTTGTGATGAATATGTTACTGACTTTATGGGTTTTATGGTCTCTAAAAAGTATATCCTAAACAAATTTGCAAGAATCAAGAGTTATCTAACAAATAGTCCAAGTGCTGTACCATCTATTAGAAATAGCTACAACTTTAAACCAGCATGTGAAGCTGTTGATGTAATGTATGATAATTTGCAATGTACTACCTCAGAGAGAACTCTTACCAATATTGTTTCCAATGCTCTACTCACATTCATTTTGATTATTGCGTATGCTATTTTAATTTTCAATAGTTCAATTCCTTGGTACTTTAATCAAAATAAGTCGGAAGTTTATGATTTTGCAGACGGTTCAAAATACTCAACCAATACTATATTCAATTCACTTCTTGTGTTTTTTGAATTGACTCCTGAAATTATTTCACTCATCAACGAATCTATCAAACCAATTGTTGAAAAACTTGTTGCTTGGGAAAAACCTAAAACTAGAATGCATGAAAGGAAATCCATTCTCAGAAGAACTACCTACTTTTTCATTATGAGTACTATCATTTTCCCATATGCTTGGACTTATTACAAATCTGTTTGGAGAATATTTAAATCATTGCCTCCATTCAATAATGAGATTTACTTTTTCAATTTTATTGGAATTGAATTGATTATTACCACTTTGGTATTGGCATGTACTTCAAAAGGTTTGGATATGATTTTCACCTCAATTTCAATGCTGTATGATTATTGGAGGACTGGAGAATTACACAGACCTAAATTTGATTATGAAGCTGAGTATAGCATCAAGATTACATTACTAATAATGTGCCTATTTTATGGAACTTGCATGCCACTAGTTTATATTGCAGTAGTTTTATACTTTATATTCACATATATTGTTGAAAAGTATTTAATCATGTATTGGTATGAAAGATCAATTGAAAGTGATGGAAAGATTCTCAATACTGTTGCAGAAAATATTGGATTTTGCTTTATTCTTTCACCATTCTACATTATTGTCCTAATGCCAGTTCTACTGAGTAGAAAAATGACCTATTTGTTGGGTATTCCAATAGTAATTCTAATTATTATTGAGCTTTACTTTTTGATTAGAAAAACAGCTAATAAGGAAAGAGATGCTATCATTATCTCACTCAAGGAACGCTCAGAACAATCACACAAGAAAGAGGACATTGTTGAAGAATTGGACACCACTCCAACCAATAACACACCAACCAATATTCAAGACGCTTCAGAATATACACGTAAAAATATTGAGGAGGATCATGATTTTATCAAATTGGAACAAAATGATTGGTTTGAGCATTCACTCCAAGATAAAAGATATCCACCAACCTTTGATAAATTACACGAAATTCTCAACACTGAGGAAACGAGAATTTTTGAAGAAGATTTGAATTTGGATGTGAACAAATTGTCGAGACAGTATCGCCATCCTTATTTGAGAAAGTTACTGAGGTTTCAGTAGTCAATATTTAGTCATGATAAGTTGGTTTCTTGATATTTTTCTTTCTCTTTCTCATTCCATTCAATTATTCCAATTTCTTCTAATTTCCAAATAGTACAATTTAGGTTCTAATAAACATTATTCTAAAGTTTGTGATCTTTCCCTCAGTAACTTTCTCAAATACTGTAACTGTGCCACTCAATCCTTAGCCACATGTTATGGTACTTTACCTTCCAGTAGTTCAGTTTGTATTGGTAAAAGAACATGCACAGCTCAATATATTTGCTCATGTTTCCTCCTCAATTGCTATCAGATTTATTTGCGCAAATATTAATAAGTAACAATGACGATGGTAGTTGTTCCTCTACTTCATTATTAACAACAACTTGATGCTATTGTGTTTTTAACTTGGGTTATTAGTCCTTCTTCTTCTCCGTCACTCTCACAATCTTTTTCCTCCATACTATTTATGAATTTAGTAATATCATTAATACGTTGCATAATTGCAAGATGGTTACATTTTGATGTTGTAGTAGGTGAGGAATCAAAAGAAGGGGTATAATGAGGGAATGATGGTGATGGTGTGCATGACATTTTTTATGTTTCATTACCAACTTTCACGATTAAGGCCTTTCCATCAAGTACTGGAAGAACGCCTGCCTCCTTCCATGGTACACATTCTAAATGATTAAATTTTGATTCGTGCGAGCAAACATCTTGAGCTGTTAACATGTTCCTTTACCACTACAAACTGACCTACTGGAAGGTGAAACACCAAAACATGTGCGAATAAGGATTGAGTGACGGTTACAGTACTATCATAAGTTAATGAATTTGGATGTGAACAAGTTGTCGAGAGCGTATCGTCATCCTTTGTGAACAGTCAAATCATGATAACCAATAGGAAAATGTTTACCTGATGGAATCAACCATGCTGAACAATTGTTCCAGATTGAAAGTTTTTCCAAATCTGTGATGATGATTTTAGTGAAAATATTGAATTTCACTAAAATATTACTAATATAATAAATAACAATGATGATGGTTGGTAGTTGTTCCGATGATCATATATCTTCCTCAACCATTCGAGCCATTCGAGCAACAGCCAATCTTCCTCTTCTTCATTATTAACAACAACTTGATACTATTGTGAGATCTTGTGCATTTAGCACCTTATCAAATCCAAAAATCATTTTTTAATTAAATTATAAAAAATATCAAAATAACGAATCCTTCATCATACTTTGATCATCATAATTATGAAAATAATTAGTACCAACAAGTGTATAGAATGTGAATGTTCAATCTCATCCTGCAACAAAATACATTGTAAACAACTCGATGGAAGGACACACTTGTTTGTGCTCCAAACAAAAATTTTCGTCCAGTATTAATAGATTGATGGTTGCTGCTGTATAAAAGGGACCATAAACTCTCCATCAAAACAATAATCAAAGAAAAGCAATAACAATAATCAGTGTAAAGTTGTAGTACATTCAGTTGAAAATGGGCAAGAGAAAAGCAAGTAGTAGTATTGGCAATAATGCAAAGACGGTCAAACTTTCTCAAGTAGTACCATCATCATTGCCTGTTCAAAATAGTTCCAATGACAAGGAGATTGTCTACCCTGCTAGTTTTAATTCTACTTCAGAATTAATGAAAAAGGTCAAGGTACTCTTTACTTCCAATCGTGACGAATGTGAGAAGGAATTATCAATTCTCAAAGAAATTAAGGGAATGTTGGATAATGTCAAGGTGTCCTACTTTAAAAATATTACTAAAGGACATCCAATGAAATTAGCTGAAGAAAATCTTAATTCATGCATTGACAAGATTAATCAAGTAATTGGTGTTGATGTTACTTTTGTTGGTAGTTCTGGTTTAGGTAAGAGTAGTCTTATCAATATGATTATTGGAGAACCAATTCTTCCTTGTGGTGATGACATTGGTCACATTACAAGATCAATCTTGGAATTATCTTATGCTAAGAACTATGAAGTAATAGTACAATATTGTAATGAGGAGGAATTCAATAAGAGAAGAGCCCTAGCTCCAAAAGAGTTTGCTTCCATTACCTATGAAGAAAAGAAAGATTCTCATGAGACAGTAAATAGTGTCGGGGATATTAGAGAATTTCTTGATAAACAATTTAGGGAGATGAAAGACCTGGATTTGATCAAAGTTGACAAAATTCTAGGTAAATTACCTGTACAATTGTTACAAGACTTTAATTTAACTATTCGTGATACTCCAGGATATAAATCTGGTACATTTAGTAGAATTTATCAACATTTCATTGAAAAATCAATTACAAAGACTAATATGATTTTATTTTTCAGTGAAGGATGTAGGGGAGATGTTTCTACAAGTATATTTAGTGATTTTATTAATCCTATTTTAATGAAAGCTCACAAGAATCCACCATCAGTTAAAATGCTTATTGGAGGAAGAAATATCAGTGATGAAAAGGTTATGCAATTTAAAAAACTCAAAGAAAAAGTTTCACCAAACAAGATTGATTTTGCTAAATTATTATCCATGTATACTGATATGGATCTTGAAGATGTAATTCAAAAGTTGGAACCATTTACTGTAGATTTACCAGTAAATGCTCAATTACCTACACTCCCTGTTGGTGAAGAGTTTAATATTAAGAACTTGAGAGAAGTTTGCATTTCAATTATTAATAGATTTAATACTCTTATTGTTCCTCATTTGGAATCAAATGAATTTGAATCTCAAAAACAAGATTTTCTTGAAAATTTCATGCATGGGCTTGTTGAAGAACAAGGTAGAATCTTACATTCAGAGAGAAAGAATATTATTGAAATTACTTGTGCACTTGTACCATTATTAATGTCAATTTGTGTTAATAACTTTTCAGAAAAGCAAACTCAATATTATTTAAGAAAGATTGAAAATGATTTATGTGCCTATATGTATGATATTACTCAAAAATTCTCTGATATTGCTATTGAAGAATATAATAATGATTGTGCTATTGAATCTTATGATTTATATATGGATAAATTAAGAAAGTCAATTTCCAAAAGACTTAAAGATACTATATCATTTCAAGGATTTAAGAAAATTGCTTTAAATGCCATTTCTGAAGTATCAGAAAATTATCCATCAATCACTCTATCCCATAATAGAAAAACCCTTTTACTTTCTAATATTGAACAAGTTTTAACTAGTTGCAAACGAAATATTACAACAGTTTGCAAGCAATTGTATGAAAATTTGACTAGTAATCCAATTTTTAGAAAAGAGTTCCAAAAGAACACACATTTGAAACAACACACAAATATTAAGAATGAAATCAAGACTAATATGATAGTACTGACTAATTTTTTCAATTCTTTATTTGATAAAAATAATAATGCTAAAGTTAATTTAATAGTTGAAACAAAATTCAAACTTACCGAATTATTTGAACATTACAAACATGAAAGTCAAGATGATGAATATATCTATTCTATTAATTCAAACTTACCAATTCCATCAAAAGAATCTATTAATCATACATTCAAACTCACTCTTCCAACTGAACCACTTAAATATTGGACAAATCATGATGAAAAAGAACCATGGAATCATCTCTCAAACTGTTTAGCTACTAATGACTCATTATTGAAAGAGAAAATATTGAGAAATCCAAGTAAGATGAACAGAGAATTAATAGTTGATTTCAATGGTACTAGAATTGACTTTTCAAATCAAAACAAGATTCAATTATATAATCTACCAGTGATTCATAATTTGAGTAAATTCCAAACATTATTTACTGGTAATGACGAATTTATTGCACCAATAATGATATTTGCCAAAGATGAAATCAAACAAAACTTGATTTGCAACACCCTTTCAAAGAATATCAATTCAGATAATTTTTTGGTATTTATATTTTGCCAAGAATCAAATTGGAGTTCTATTTCTAAACTCGTTAAAGATAATTCATCCTGTTATGTTATTAAGGTTAAGAGTAAGAAATTTAATAAGGGAATATTTGAAACATCAGCTTTAGAAATTTCAAAGCATTACAATTTCCCTATTTATCATACAATGACACAATATACAGGAAGAGTTCAAGAATATGTCAGTGATCTCAAATCGTTCAAAACAGCTTCATTTACATTCATAAGATATTTACGTTTTTCTCAAATAACCATGAAGAAAGAACTATTAGAAATTGATGTAACAAACTTGAAGAAAAATATTGGACAATTCTTGGCTAGAGTGAGAATATTTATAACTAAACTCACAAGTAATGATTATCAGTGTTTTTTCGATGATACTTTTGAAACTTCTAACTTGATGAACAATAATTCAGATTCAGAATCTTTCATGTTGAAATTGAGAGAATTAGATGAAGCAACTGGTACTTCCTTTGCTGAAGACTTTCTCAAAATTAGATTAGCCACAAATAAGGCACGTTTAGTGCTTTGGAATGGATCCTCCAATATGGTTAAAGAGTTTAAAGTATTCAATGTCAAGAAAAATAATTATTTCATTAGTTATAGACATGATTTAAATTCTATCAATACTTGTTATACTCCATCAATGGTTAATGCTTTGGATGATCAAAAACTTTTTGATTGTGCTTGTTTAGAAGAATATTGTGAACAAAGTTTGAAGAGTGGATTATTATTTTCAGGAGCTGGTCAATTCATTTGTTATGGATTTAAATTTGAAAAGTTTAATGATGACGATTATGAAAGTGAAAATGAATAAATCTCAAGATTAATCACTTGTTAACACATCAAGCTACTGTTCAATCAGGAGGTTCTCTTTTTGCTAATCAAAATATGACTATTGATTTGGATTTCATTCAGGTTGGACAGCATTGTATTGGGATTTGCCACAAGTCCGATCACCAGCAAGATTGCAATTACAATCCTCCACTTGGATTCTATTGTACACTAGCAGACCTTTAGGGATGGATAAACTTAAAACTAGCCTACCCTTGATAAATTTGTAATATAATAATTGGATAGTTTCTTAATAATATCAGATATTCAAATTACAGCTGATTGATTCACATCCAAAAAGTGATTTAACGTTTTCACGTTTATGGAAAGAAATTCATCCTCAAAACCAGTCATGGAATTTGGAAAATGAAACTCTTACCATGAATAATAGTTTTAAGCTTGTTTAAATTTGGTATTGACAATTTGCTTTTAATGCATTTCCTTTGACAATTGAACTGAGAATGAAGCAACACCTTCTCCTTATCGCCCACCATTGAAACAGTTGCAGTAAATTTAGAGTAACTATTCACAGTGGAGGGAATAATGAGATTTTAATGCTTGAAACTTGAATGGTTGAGGTGGATGTTTCACATTTACTACCACTGTATCCTATGAAACATGAGCAAATATATTGAGTTGTGCATGTTCCTTTACCGATACAAACTGAACTACTGGAAGGTAAAGTACCATAACATGTGGCTAAGGATTGAGTGGCACAGTTACAGTATTTGAGAAAGTTACTGAGGGAAAGATCACAAACTTTAGAATAATATTTATTAGAACCGAAATTCTTCTATTGGAAATTAGAAGAAATTAGAATAATTGAATGGAATGAGAAAAGAGAAAGAAAAATATCAAAAAACCAACTAGAGCAAATACCAAAAATAGTAAAGGAAGTAAGGTTGATAATGCTGAACCTGCTAAACATCCAGAACTTATCATGACTAAATATTGTACAAATCTGAGAAAGTAATATTTGAGAAAATACCACAATCCACCATAATTCTTATAATAAATACTAAACTCATCGTCTAGATCATCTTGCAATTTAGTTTTCTTCTTTGTTTTGGCTTGCTGCATGAATTTTCGTCCTAGCTTTAGCAAACTCTTCATTGGTTGATTGTGTTTTTGAACCCTTTCATTTTGCATAATAATTGGTTGTTGTTGTTGGTTTGGTACCAAGATTGAATTATTCGAAACTAATTGTTCGTTACTTGATTTTTCAATAGGGAACTCTTGAATGATTTCATTGTTTGTTATTGTATGTAAATTCTCTCGTTTCGGTTGTTGAACAAAATACTTTCTGTAATATTGAATTGATTTCTTCTTTTTCAAAGGAGAAGAAAGGTTTCCGATAGTAGTTGAATAGTTTCCACTCGAAGCTATTGTATTAGAAGAAAAAGATTGAGAGGAGGGATTCATTTCCGTTTGTTTTTCTTGATGTTTCAAATTTGTGAAACTGCCAACAGTCAAATCAATTTAGAAAAGGTAACAGATGAGGAAGTTGTTAGGAAAGAAGTATTAGCGATAATGGTAGAGTCTGAATTTGAGAGTTGGGCATAAAGAGAGATGTTGATTTTGGACCTTTTTCTTTGAATTTATTAAACTTTCTAATTTTATTAATAATATGAGAATCGTGTTTCGTATAATTAAAACGGAATATTTAAACAATTACAATAACGTTATTAATTGAGATTCATTGACAGAATGATAAGTTTCTCTTTAATACTTATTCCTTAATAGCTAATTTCTTTTTTACTAAACCAAAAACTTTACAAAAAAGATAAAATTGAAAAGGATAACAAATTAAAACTAAAATGGAACGAATAAAATCTAGCCCAATGCCACATATCCAAAATGACTAGACCACAGTCTTAAACTGCCAGATATCAAAATAATCGAATCCAAATCTAAAAATGGCAATAATCTATTCTTATCATAATATTGTGTTATCTCTCCCTCAGTCAACCTCTTACAATGATATTGATAGAAAATTATCTTCTGTAATATTTATTATTATTTTGTGTTGTTAAGCATTGGCCATGGTTTCAAAGTTGCACACTTTTGAAAGAGATCCTCAAGCTTGATAAAACACCAACACGCTCAGCACCATAACGCAGGTATTCAATAAAATTCGCGATGTTGTTTGAGAGCGGGAGACATTTTTGTAATAAATATTACCCTGGTTTACTTATTATTTTTTTTCTTCTCTCTAAAAAAAGTCTCCATTTTGGCTTGATATATTTGAGTGACCAACCAAGCGTGAGAGGCAATTAGCGTGCACATCAAAGCAAGTTCAAGTGGAGTAGCTTTTTTTAGTTTAGAGCACACAACAACGAACGTATTCAATACGAACAACATAATCTCTTGATTTCATCAATCTTTATAGTTGTGATCATAACTAGTAAATAGACAAACTTGTACATATTTAAGAACCTTTCCATGATGCAATTTACTACAACTGTTCCTTTCAACAAGATGGAACTCATCAGAGAATTTCACCACCAACAAATTCACTTCCGTAAACAAGTCTCCACTCTTAAAGTTTTACTTGCTGGATCCGAGAATGATAGCAAGACTCCAACCACTACAACCTCCACAATTATTGTTGAACCAACTACTAACACAAGTACCTCCAATAATACAACAATTCCCTCCACCAATAATACTAATTTCTCCTCTACTAACAATGACATGATGCCAGTTTCACCAACAACTGGAAGAACCAAAAGACCAACAAATAATCATGGTTCTAGATGTCGATCCCCATACAAGAAAGATTCTCCTTCCAAAATGAAAACTACTTTGGCAAAGGCTGCAGTCCTCAAAACCAAGACAGTGAGACAAGCTTTGGTTCTTCTTTATATGGTGCTGAGAGTTTCGAACAATACACTGAGCTTAAAAGAGTTAGTTTAGATTCTATTAACAAGTTGGGTACATTGAAAAACGCAATGGAAAATGGAATCAAGGAGTTGTCAAACTTGTGGGAAATTTTAACCGAGATGGATGAAGAGCAACCTGGTTCTCTCTTCCTTATGGATTTTGAAGAAGATGGTGAGGAAACAACTCCTGCCTTCTCCATGTCCAATAGCCAAACGAGTTCAAATAAGGTGAATTTGAGAGCACAAAGAATTCAAATCTGTGACCAAATTACCAAACTCATTAATATTGAGAGTACACTTTTGAATATTATAGAATCACACCAAAATATGCTCGAGAATAACTTTGGTTACTCATTGCCAAACAATAAGGAAGATGATCCAACTTATACAAAGAGTAGTTCTTCCTCCAATCTTTTACCATCCACTAAAAAGTTGGCAAGTACAAACTTTAAGGACATTATGGATTATATAGATTTTGCAAACCACATTCAAAGGACAGTATCTTGCTCTACACTTTTTGAAAAGGCCAGGAAGTTAATAATCCCTGATGAACAAGAAGCCAACGAGTTTTGTGCTGTGCATGGAGATGTAACTGGAATGACTGGTGCAAGCCCTGTTATCAGGTCTCTTCCTTCAGCTACATTCCCAAATAATACAGGAACTAATCCAAATGTAAAGTGGAGAGAATTTATCAAGTTGGAAAAACTCAATAAGAAATTCCAAAGAAAGCTGAATGAATTTGAAGGTGTTATCGTGCAATTTGTACAAATGAAACAACAATATAAATAAATAACAAGTATTAACAAGTTGTTCGAATGAAAATTGGTGATATTCTTTGTTTACATTTTCCCCTTTCTCTCAGCCTCAAATGTCTTAAAGTGCGCACGCTTCAACCAAAAGGACCTTATGTTGTGCTCTACTTCAATCAAACAAGAAAACTGCGCTCAATTATCCTCAATGAATTGCTACGGTACCTCGGAAAGAGTCTATTGGAAAATAGAATTAATAATAGACATACATTAGCACTTCTAAAACGTTCGGTTTGAAGAGGTATAAAAAGGAGTCCTCAACACTATTCTCTTCACAATATTCCAATAACAAAAAAACTGCCACAACAACATGTTCAGCGCAAAACAAGTAACTGCTAGTAAACATTTCAAAGTTTTCCTTTATGAAAACTCCTCAATTCAACCACTCTCTGAAACAACCTTGAAGGAGGAAAAACCAAAGAGTGTCCACAGACTCATTTTGGATCAAAGTGGCATTACCTTTGAGGAATTCGTTCAAAAATTGAAAACCAAATCCATTGTCACAGATACCAATTTCAAACTCTTCTATCTCGACGATCAAAATGATTGGGTATCCTTGTCAGATGAAGAAGATTGGAAGATTTTGAACTCAATTCTCGCTTCTGAAACTGTTATCAAGATTGTCTGCCAAAATATTGTTCCAAAGAGTGAAACTGATAACAATGATAGTCCAAAGGATCCATTTAGTGAAATTTTCAAGAATTTCAATTTGCATGGTGGTAGAAGAGGTCAAGGACATTGTCCATTTGGTGATGCTCGTCCTCAATCTGGTTGTCCATGGTCACGTGGTGGTTGTAGAAGAAGAGGTGGTATGGGAGCTGGTTTTGAACAATTTGCTCCACTCATTGAAAATGTTGTTGGATCCTTGTTCAATAATCCTAATAATGGTCAACAACAACAAGGAGCCAATCCATTCGATTTGTCATCATTGTTGAATAATCTCTTCCCAGGAGCAGCCCAACAACAACAAACTCAAGAAAATGCTCCACAACAAGAAGAATCAAAGGAATCATCCAATATTGCCAATTCTCAAATTCCACCTCAATTCAACGGTTGGAATGATTTGATTAAGAACTTTTGTGGAAATTTGAATGATAAGGCCAATAATGGATCTTTTAATATTCCACACTTTGGCATTGTTTGTGATGGATGTGGAAAGAGAAACTTTACTGGATCAAGATGGAATTGTGCTGATTGTGGTGATTTTGATTTTTGTCAAGAATGTTTTGAAACTAAGGCAAATGATCACTTTGATGGATTCCACAGTTTCAGCCAAGTTGAACCAAAGGCCAAGAGTTTCCTCTCAAATTTTGTAAAGAAGATGGAAGGTAATCAATCCGAATCAGCTCAACAAGAAACACCAACTCAACAAGATTCAGTTCCAGAAACTCAATCCCATGAAAGAACTGAACAAGTTCTCCCAGAAGAAAAGCTCGATGAAGAATTATACCCATCAGTTGACAATGTCACCACTTCACAACTTCTCTCCAGTCAATTGGATTTACCAACTGCTCCTGTTGAACAACCACAAACTCCAGTTGAACCAACACCAGTCGTTGAATATGCAGTCGAGCAACAATTATTAAGAGACATGGGATTCGTTGATGATCAAGCCAATACTAGATTGTTAAAGAAGCACAATGGTAACATTCAAAAAGTCATTACTGATCTCCTCTAAATTGTCTCTACAATCTCTGTAAATATATCAACTAACTATCTATATCTTGTAAATAATAAAAACTCATTTCCCAAAAACATTAATCTTACTTGATTAAATAGTTTTACAATAAAAAAATGAGTCAAATCATAAAGAGAGGTTATCAAGCTAAAGGAAAGTAAGTTTTCCTTCATTGTGACGAAGAACACTTTCCGAATCAATAATAGATGCCAAGGTGTAATGTTCCGACAAACCATTATTCGAGTATGTGATCATCACTTGTTAATAATTATTTAAATTATCATTAAAAGGCAATGAGCAAGGTAGATTTTACATTAAATTAATTTGGAAATATTAAATTAATATTAATAATTTAAATAGTTTGGAGTGAAAGGAGGAGCTAGCAATGATAAAAAGGATAAGGATTGTGTTTGGATTACCATGGAAGGAGAAGAAACCATTATCACTGAATTAGCCTCAAAATTAATCAACACCAAACCACTCAATTCTTGGGGAGCACAATTAACTCAATTGAGTGAATTATCCTCAGACAAAGTAATGGAAATTGAAAAACATCAAGTAACAACAAATAATGTCGATGAATTCAAATGGAATAAGAATGTGCAATTCTATCTATAAATAATCCGATTGATTCCATTGAATTAAATATTCTACTCGTTGTATGAAACTTGAGCTTTTTAGTTTTTTCTTGTTAGCCTTGGTTTTGTCTTTTTGGCGCCAAATCAAATACAAAAAAAATAGCGCAAAGGCTTGTTATATTTATTGAAGGAGGTTTTTGTTGAGAGAATACACAATGGTGCAATTTGAAAATTTAATGATGAGGTAAGATTTAAATTAATTTGGTTGAGTATTAAATAAATATTAATGTATTCTTATATTGATGTAGTGATTCGGAAATGAATCCTTTGGAAGCACAAAGACAAATCAACAACTTGAAAAATTTTGAGATTAAGGATATTGGATCGGAAAAGTAAGTGTTTAATTGAATGATGAATGTGACAATATTATAGATGGATGAAACAGAGAGAAGTAATTGAAATGCTCAATATTCAAGCCCATCAAGATGCTGCTCTGAATCAAGATGAATATGTTGCACAAGCTTTTATTTCCAATCAAATGGTTGAAATTCTAATTAAAGAATTAGTTAGTGTTGAAATTTGGAAGAATAAGGTGGCTTCACTCATCAAGGATGATTTAGCTGATGCAACAAAACAATCAATCAAACCATATTTGATTTTCTATCATGAAGCTACATTGTGTAATTTATTGGAATGTGTATTATATCATAAGGATGCAGTAGTTTATTGTGATGAATCGCTAATGATTGAATTAGTGGACTATTGTCAAAGAAAAATGAATTTCCTCGTGCATAAGTAAGTTCAAAACACTTTTTTTCATAAATAACTTTGGGAATAGTAAGGATTTAATGAATAGACAGGATCAAAAAGATTTATTGAAATTAACAGATATTGATATTTGGGAGGATCAAAAGAAAGAAATTGAATTCAATTGCTGCATGTATTCACTGACAATTTTCAGATTCATTACCGATCAGTTGAAGGAATTGTCTCCAGGAATAATTAATAGAATTCTGGAGAAGCATGATACTCCAATCTCTCTAGTCTACATTATTGAAGATTCCCCATTCAAGAAGAAGGAGAAATCTGGTTTCAAAAAATATAATGGAAACAAGTGGGAAACTGTGCAATATGATGAATACTTGAAAGTGTCGCAATATGAAGCTCAAGTATGGTTAGCCATCAATAATTTACTCGTTGAACCAGAGACAAGAAACCAATACGAATATAACAACTTTAGAAAAGAAACTGTTTTAAGGGTATGTTCCATCAATTTAATTTCACTAACCTGTTTCTTTAGTTGAAGAAATTTTTTACAGATATCCTTATTGACCAAATTCCAGTATTGGTTGATTTAGTAAGAACTGTGGAAAGTTTGCAAATTATGAACCCTCCTGTTGCATCAAAGAATATTTTCATTGTTGAAATGGTAGCAGAGTTTAGAGAAAATTTGTTAAGCTCTCTCGATTTTGAACAAATAGCCCAGGATCAACTTGCCTCAATCTGTTGTGAGGACGATGAAGCAAGACAAGAGCAAGTCATGTCCATGGCTAAACGCTTCGGAGACTTGTTAGAATTGATGGAACAAGGAAAGGAATTTGATAATATTAAACTTTAACCTTTAATAATTTCTGCTACTGCAAACAAGTACGATGTCGTACCATGACAGAAAAGAAATAAAGTGATGAATAATTTAATAAATGTTTTTTTTATGTTGGTAAAGTGATTAGTGGATTTACTTTTGTTCCTTCTTTCCGCTTTCCTTCTTCTTTTGGGCAATTTGTTCGACTCTTTCCTTCTTCTTGAGTTTGATTTCTTGTTGTTGAGCAATGGTGTTCAACTTCATTCTGAGTGGATTAGTACCCTTCTTCAATGATTGGTATCTCTTGTTGCACAAGAATCTCTTCTTTGCTCTACCAGTCTTTCTCTTACCCTTGAATGGTTGCTTGTCAACCTTTGGAGTTTGATTTTTAACCTTACCGGCTCTGGCCAATGATCCGTGAACCTTACCCATTTCTATTCGTTGTTGAAAAATTGTTGATGATGTTCATCGATTTGAAAAGGAAGCACGTTTATGTTTTGATAAATAAATGCTGGCTGAGATGGTACTTACTGTTTTTCGATTTTTTTTTAACAAAGAAATAAAAAACTTTTGGGGTTGACTCTGTATTTGCTGATTTTACAACGGAAAAAATGCCCTGCCATTTTATCAAGAAAAGAGAAGGCAGCACAGAATTGAATCAAAATCAATACAATATCCACTATTCTGATAAGAGTAAATATACTTTATTGTACTTATAAATATATGAAGGTGGTTTTCTATATTTTTCCAAACCAACAGATATTATCTATTGGCTCAGTATTAATATCAAAGACGTATTATTTGGTCAATAAGGATATCTGTCTTTTTTGTTTCAATGGAAATTAAATATCAGAAAGTGCATGTCATAAGTCCACAAAACAATTCATTCTAGAATATCAATCTCAGAATATATTCTTACAATACAAAAACACTCAAAATTGTCAAGGAATATTTTCTTCATTAATATTAAAGGCCAGGAAGTAAAATTTGTAACGCGGCAGCTTCAATAGGCGCCATTTTTAAAAAAATTCCAACCAAGTTGTTGACTAAAACCCTCTCGTCAAATTTAAAACCGCTTTTGAGGAATATGAGTCGTGCTAAAGTGTACGCTGATGTAAACTTGAGAAAACCAAAGGAATATTGGGATTATGAAAGTTTGCAAATTAACTGGGGGTAAGTTGTTGATTAATAGAAGAATATTAAAATCGAGAAAATTAAATAATTGATGGTGATGATGATGAAATTGAATAACAATAACAACTATGGATAACAATAATAATAATAACTATATTTAAATTGGATAATAATACAGTTCTCAAGATAAATATGAGATTGTTCGTAAAGTAGGTCGCGGAAAGTATAGTGAAGTCTTTGAGGGAATAAATGCTGAGACTAACGAAAGATGTATCATTAAAGTTCTCAAACCTGTAAAGAAGAAGAAAATCAAGAGAGAAATCAAAATTCTTCAAAATCTTTGTGGAGGAACAAACATTGTCAAACTTTTAGATGTTGTTAGAGATCCAGAATCAAAAACACCATCACTTGTGATGGAAAATGTCGATAATACTGACTTCCGTTATTTATATCCAACATTCACAGATTTTGATATTAGATTCTACATGTATGAATTATTGAAGGCTCTCGATTTCTGCCACTCTATGGGTATTATGCACAGAGATATCAAGCCTCACAATGTCATGATTGATCACAAGCAAAAGAAACTGCGTGTTATCGACTGGGGTCTTGCTGAATTTTATCACCCTGGACAAGAATACAATGTTAGAGTTGCCTCAAGATACTTTAAGGGACCAGAACTTTTGGTAGACTTTAGAGAATATGATTACTCTCTTGATATGTGGAGTTTAGGATGTATGTTTGCTGGAATGATTTTCAGAAAGGAACCATTCTTCCATGGTAGAGACAATTATGACCAATTAGTTAAAATTGCAAAGGTTTTAGGAACTGAAGAATTGTATGATTATTTGGATAGATATTCAATTACTCTCTCCGCTCACTATGAAGGAATTCTCTCTAGAAATAGATATCCAAGAAAACCTTGGTCAACATTTGTTAACAAGGAAAATGCTCAATTGGCAAATGAAGAAGCTATTGACTTTTTGGATAAATTACTTCGATATGATCACAAACAAAGAATGACAGCAAAGGAAGCTATGCAACATCCTTATATTAGTAGTATATTTTGCAAATTAGAAAATAACCAATCGTCCACTGGAAATATGGACACCCATGAGTAAATTCATTCTTCAAATAACAACAAAAAATAATCTTTTTAAACCCTTAAAAAAAGAAATTATATTTTAAATTTAATATTAAAAAATTAAATTCCTTAATGAATTTTAAATTGTTTAGAATTAACAAACACTTTACGTTTTAATGAATCTATTTAAGTCTAAGGCTCCATTCTTTTTGCTTGGTATACTTCTCGCTGTAAAATGCTATCTCTCAGCATTTGATTGCCTGGCAATCATTTAGGTACATTCTAATTTTCTGTTGATCTATAATTGCACTTCAATGTGTGTGATCATCATGATTCACTGTGGTTTTGTATTATTATTAACACTCAAATCCTATTGTCTCAATAGTGTTGAATAGGAAAACAATTAAAAAAATGCCTCCAAAATATAGTAACAACTCCTATCGAAATTCGAATAATAGGAACAGTCATCATCATACACCATCAACAACAACACCAATCACTCCAACACCTTCATCTGGAGTACCTATTTCTAATAAAACACCAACACAAACAACAACTGATCCATCTCGTATCATTCCACAACCGCGTAGACGAAGATCAAGTGTTAATCGTGAGCAACAATCTTCTCCTTCAGGAGAATTAGAACATACAACAACAACAACAAGTCCAAATACAACCAATGGTTCTAACAATCATTCAACAACAGTACATAATAATAATACAACAAGTACTCAAAATAATTTAGATGATGATTGCGAAAATCAAGCAGGACTTGCTACTAATGCTATTGAAAAAATCTTTAGTACCACTCTTCAATTTAATGCAGAATCTATTCTTTCTGCTGTTGATTTGCTTCAACAAAGAAGAGAAGAACAATATCCAAATGAAAAGAGAAAGAGATTTACCATTAGAGAAATTCTCGAAGTTGGTACAAAAAATCCAATTTGTAATGATAGACACAATGATTTACCAGATCTTGACTATAGAAAATTAGATTGGGGAATTACTCCTGTTCCACCAAAAGCAGCAGAACTAGCAAAAAGGTATGTTTTTATTATTGTTGTATTAATAATAACAATTGGATAACTTTTTACACTACTTTAGACCATCAAGACAATCCTCTGGTATCAATCAAAATGAATCTCTATTCGGAAGCAAACCATTCTCAGGAAGAGGAAGATCACTCAGCAGAGAAAATAATGCTATTCCTTCCAATAATACATCTAATACATCGTCTTCAACAATAACAAATTCTTCATCAGGTAGCAGTAGATTTGCCTCATCTGCTATTACTAATAGTAGTAGCACTGTTATGAGAACAAGTGGAAAAGGAGCACTTTGGTTTGACCCTGGTATTGATACAAAGGAAAATAATCCTCTTGAATTAACCAATGAGGAAATTGAAAGAAAGAAAGCCTTTGAAGAGTTTAGAAAGATTAACCATGCTACAGTAGGAGCAGGTTCCTTCTTTGACTTTGGAGGAGAGGAAGGAGAGTCTCTTGAATCTGGACTTCATAGCTTTGATGATGAATTACTTGATGAATCCCTTGAACCAACTTCTATGGATGAAATGGGCGGAAGTAATGCTAGTGACTTGGAGAATTACTTTAATACACTCAGCACTGGAGGTCATCAAACACAGTTTGGTGGAATTGGAGCATCCCACTTTACTGAAGCTTCCCTCTATCCAAAAGAACAACAATTGAATGAAATTGAAGATGAATTTATTAGTCTTCCAACACCAAAATCAATGATTCCATCCCAAAAGAGAGACAAGCCACTATTTGCTCTTGATGATTCCTTGAATAAGGAACCAGTCAAACCTGTACACAAAGGAGATCCTGTCATTTCCTCAGTACTTCAAAATAAGTCTGGAAAGTCTAGATTTGGTTTTGGAGACGGATTTGAATCTGATATTCAACCACAACAACATTCACAACCTCTTCCATTCACAACAAACAATGGTGGAGCAAGCAAATTCTTAAATATCAATAATCAACAAACTGGCTTGAATGTTGAAGATCAAGCTATTTTACCAATCCATCATCAAACTCATACAGGAGGTGGAGCAACTATTAATGTAACAGCACTATTTGGAGGCTCATCAGCAATGCCAAGTCGTAAACAATCAAATCCTCCTATTCATCATCATGAAGCTTTCAATAATTTTGCACCTACAACAATTGAAAAGCATCCAGAAGAGGAAATTAATCATAACATTCACTTGGAACAATTCCCAGTTATTGATGCATCAAATCAAATTTCAATGATGAGTGCCGAAGATTTAGAACTTCAATTCCTTAAATCATTAAATGATACAAACCAACCATCAATGCAAGAGTCTCAAGTACCTGAAGCAAACAAGATTAATCAACTTTTTAAACCAATTTCAAATGAACAAAATGTTGCACATCAAGAAGCTACCACTCAACAACCAACTTCACAATTTGTTTCTCCATTCCAAAAATATCAAGAACAAAAACAAAATGAAAAGTCAGAAACTAAATTACCTGAAGATTTATCCCTCACTCCTTCAAAACAATCATCAGTTTCCAAGACCAGTGCAACTTCACCAGCATCGGCTGCCCAAAGAAAACTTTCAAAGACATCAGCTAATTCTCCATTTGTTCCATCACATTTGATGAAAAAGATGGGTACCAATACTGAAAAGAAGATTAAGCTTAAGGTTAACACTCCAGTTACAAATACAGCAGCTGCAACCAAAACAGCAACATCTCAACCAAGTAATGTTACAACATCAACAAATAATGGTTCATCTAATGTTACCACATCAACAGCTAATGTTGCATCTGTACCTGTACAACCAACTGTAGAAACTCAACAATCACCAATGATTAATCAACAACAAATGCCAATCATTCCTCAAAATGAATTTTTATCACAAAATAATATGGTACATTTGAATCCAAACTTACTTCCACCAAATGGAAATCAACCTCCAGTTTCTCCAACCATTCCAATGAATATGGGAATGCCTATTAGCCCTCTCATGAATCAAAATCAACCTCCAATTAGAATTTTGCAAAAGCCACCAACAGGTTTTGTGCCATCCCAACCATATCCAAACAGTCCAACTGCTTTCATTCCATTTAGTCCCCAAGGCCATCCAGTTCATCCTGGAATTCCTGCTGGTTTTATTCCACCAAATGGTAATATGTTCCCAAATGGATTCATTCCAAACAATGGCATGTTCCCACCACATCCAAACATGTTCATGGGTAATCAACAACAAGATTTCTCTTCTCAAGCTCTTTCTCTCGAAGATTTGGAAAAAGAACTCATGAATCAAAAGTAAACACCATTGTATCCATAAAATAAATCTTATTGTAATCATATTTCTGACAGTTAATGAACCTAGCAGATCAATAAATTTCAACAATCTTTGTTGACATTTAATGAGTGGATTCTTTTTTTCACAACACAAAAAAATGATGAAATCATCATCCCTCCTACTCATTGTCTTGTACTTCTTGGTTTTAACGTCATCAACTATGGTTGATGCCCATGCCAGATGGAAATATCCAACGTAAGTCATAAATCAACTTTAATATGTTGAATCAACATTGTTCTCTTATCAAATGAAAATAGTCCAAGAACATCTGATTCTGGTTTAAAGTGTTAGTACTTTATTTTTATGTGTGACATTAATTATCCAATAAATAGCTTATCCTTGTGGAGGTATTGAATTCTTCGGAAATGGTCAATCAATAACAACTCTTCAACCAGGAAAACAAACTCTTCAATTTGAAGAAACTATTTCACATACAGGAGCTCCCTTCAGAATTGCTTTGAGTATTGATTCCGATTCTAATTATGATTCATTGTAAGTTAGATTGCTCCTTTTTAACATGATTCGAATAGATTTTTGTTATTATAGTATTCTCATAGATCACATTCCACACAATGATGCAACTGAATCCTCTTCACTCAAGATTTATCAATACGAAGTAACAATTCCAGACATTGATTGTCCAAAGTGTTCACTTGCTTTGACTAATCCAATGACTGATAAGATCGCTGCTGGAACTTGTTGTGCTTATCCTAAAGCATCTTCTTCAAGTCCTCAATGTGGAAGTGTTTATCACAGTTGTGCCAATATTGTTATTAAGGGTAAAATTCCAGTTGACCAATTCAAAGCTAACTATACTTATACTGGTCCATGTGGCGATTATCAAAGAGAATCTGCTGTAAGTTTTTCATTCTATTCGAAACCATTCCTTAAACTAAACTAAATGTTTAGACCTGGGTAAGACAATCTGATTCTTCATGGAAATTGAGTGCAACTTTCACCAATTTTTATGTTCCACCAACTTCACAACAATGTCCAATTTTCAATTCAACATGTGCCACTGGATCAAAGAGAACTTCCACCTCAACTGCCAACACTAATAATTCATCATCTTTGAGAGGATTGCATAATGTAATGCTTATTGGATTTGTGGTTGCATTGATTTCAGTAATTGGATTATTTTAAATATTTAAACTCTGCAGAATAAACTCAAAACTATCAACTATATAAAACTATAGTTTCAACAATTCGGAATTAGTTTTTGGAAATATTCAAAGAGAAAACTTAAAGGTTTCTCGGTTCATCTTCATTCTTTTAATGTTCATAGTTAATTTCTCTGAATGGCTTGTTATAAAAGAAGCAATTTAACTTTTCTGATAAAAATCATTAGATTCCATTGTATATGAAGAGTTGACGAGTGGATAATTTTCTATAGACTATCTAATCTGAAATAAGTGTACACATACGCATTGTAAAATGCGTTATTGATGATTTATAAGGTAAATTGCCAAAATTAAACAACGATTCGAATAAGTTGTGATCTCGATTTACAAATCTATTCGAAAGGATCTTGCAAATTATTGAAAAAACATAGAAAAATTCTTCAATTTAATTCAACATTTAACAATACCCACTTTTCTATTAAAGTAAAACGCTAAATTAACTTCATCCTTTTTGAAAACATGTGACGAGTCAACTGCAATTAAATTATCAATTGGATTGAAGTAAACAACCAACAAATCAACGCTAATTACTCAAATGGAATGAAGGGAACAAAGCATTATGCTGACTTACCTATGTTTTTATTCATTCAGAAAAAAACAAATACTTTCATCTGAGTACTCGGCTAAAGATCATGGAAACTAAACAAACTAATGTTGCAAATTCGGAAACAAATTGTTTGACCTCATCAAATAGTAAATCGAACAATTCATTGACTAGATGCGTTAGCAATATTTTACATAAGGGTTTTAGTAAGAAGAGAAGTGAGTCAGAGCAAGGATCAAATTCTTGTATACGAAAGGATGGACGAAACTCCAAGTCCTTAATGCAATCAGAATACAAATGCACAACAACAGCTCCTGCATTCTCATCAAAAGGAGCGCCAGCGTCCACTCTCACCATTGCAACTCCTCAAAAGATTCCTTCACCTTCACTAGACGAAACCAATGATAACAATTTCTTCCACTCCCAACACAATTGTACCAAGAGGAGAAGAAACACAGTCTTCTTTCCCTCAACTCCAAGTATTGATGGTGTGAAAACTCCAACTTCTCCAAGTGGCTTGTTTCACTACTCGAGGCGATTGAGTGTTGATCATGCAACAATGGGAAACATTTTAGGAAGAATTATGTTTGTTGAGGAGAGACAAGTCATGTTTCTTAATTTCGAGAATTTAAAGATTGAATCGATCAAACATTTGGAGAATATTGCTGCATGTATTCGAATGTTGGTAAAAACTTCGATGGAGTCAAAGAGGAAAGATGGTCAATTTGATGGAAAGATTAAATGTTTTTTGAATGATGACGATTTAGATTGTGATTCACATTTGTTTGATACCTATACACAAACAGTTCATATGAACCCTCTATTCGAAACTGTCACTCGATACACCAATAAGAGTTTATTTTCAGATCATCAGAGAAAAATCCAAAAATCCCTCAGAGATTGTGAAGTCTATGTAAAGACATGTCCATGCATTCTGGATCGTTATGTTTTCATGGTCGATGATCAGATTGGTAAGGGAACTTATGGAACAGTTTCACTTGCAATGGATTTGAGTTTGGGAAGAAAGGTAGCTGTCAAGAGATTATGTAAGAAAACTGTCAAACTCATTGGTATTGAAGAGTATGTGCAAAATGAAATGGAAATTATGAAACTCTTGAGGGATAATCCACATGAAAATATTGTCCAGGTATTAGATATTCATGAAAGCGAGGCAGAATATCTATTTGTAATGGAGTACTTGTCAGGTGGTTGTCTGGATAATCCCTTCGATGAATTTGAAATCATTCCAGAAAGTCAAGCACAATTATACTTTTGTCAACTGGTGGATGCTGTTGATCATTTGCATTCAAAGTTAAAAGTTTTGCATCGAGATATACAGCCATCTAATTGTTGCTTTCTAGATACTGAAAAGAAATGGTTAAAATTGGTTGACTTTGGTTTGAGTTGTCAACCAACAGATTTCACTAAGAAGGAACATACATTATTTTGTGGAAATAGTAATTATGCATGTCCTGAACTGTTACTAAAGAAGGCATATGGATCTGAAGTTGATGTCTATGCACTAGGAGTCCTTCTCTATAAGATACTGTTTGGTTGTTTCCCATTTCGTGGAGCTCAACAGAAATTGCTCATGCACTTTACAGTTCCACTGAAGGATGATGTAAATGGAGATGATGCAATGGGAAGTGATGATTGTGGTCAGAATATTTCGAAATGTTGTAAAGATTTGTTGCATAATATTTTGGAAGTCAATTGTGAAAAGAGATTTTCCATACAAGATATCAAGAATCATCAATGGTACAAGATTGGAAAAACTCAGAAGGTGGATTTACTAGAAAGTCACGAATAAATATATAGCCAATGTTCAAGATTTCCAATCAATCTGTTAAATTCTTTCTTTCATTATATTTTACACACTTTATATTGTGAATCATTTCCACACATATATATGAGAATTGGAGAGATAACAGTTTGGATTGAAGAAGAGCTAATGATGCACATTTATTTTGATTCGAATTTTCAAAAAAGTTGCCTCAAATCATCACTATAATGGTTGTAGAAATTGTTTATTTCAAAGCTCACGAAGAGGTAATTATATTCCGCACATACTGATGGTTTACAATATTTATCACAAAATTGAAAAAGGAATTATTGAAATTAATTGCACAAGTTGGTAAAATTGAATACCAATTAACTGGACTCGAAGGAGAATCGTGGAAAAATCATAAACCATTTACAAGATATGGTCAACTTCCCTACTTGAAAGTTTCCGATGATTTTCATGTTTATCAAACATTGGCAATTGCCAGATATCTTGCTCAGGAAGGTAATTTATATCCTCTCAATGAAAGAAGGGATGCAATTCTCACTGAAGAAGTAGTTGCTTCCTTAAATGAAGTTTTGCTTGAATTCTTTAGAGTTTTCTATGAAATTAGTAATGAAAAAGAGAGAGAAGAAGAATTGAAGAAATTTAAGGAAGGAACTTTGCAAAGAGTATTTAGTGGATTGAATAATTTATTGAATGGAACTAAGTGTGGATATTTCATTGAAGGAATGTTGACGTGGGCTGATCTTTTTCTTTTGGAAATTGTATTAAATTTGGAAAGTGTTGGAATTGATTATTCATTTGCTAATGGAATTCAAAGATTGAAACAAATTTTAATGGAAAATGAGCAAGTTAAGATTCATTTGGAAACGAGAAGAAAATAAACAATTTCATTAATCAAAATCTTTGTCGACATGTTGATATCATTCGAATGTTAAATAAGAATTGTAATCTCCAAGATATTCTCATAAAAAAAACATAATTATATTACAAAATCTACAAATTCAATCCAATAAACAAATTAATCCAATTTTTGTTTGATTGGCCACAAGGCAGCAAACAATGGAGTTCCAATTGCATTTCCAATCATTGGTCCAACGATCATTGGTTTCTTCTTTAAGGTGAAAAAGATTGCAGAACCCAAAACTGAGGCAACCCAAATTTGATCCCAAAACATATTCATCTTATTGTGTGCAATTCTGAAAGCTCTATCATCAAAATTATTCTGTGTAAAGGTTCTAGTTCTTCCATAATACATGGCTGCAGTCAAGACAAATCCAATCGATGTACCTATCGAAATGAATCGAGGAAGTTTAATCTTGATTGATTCACCAAGTGAATGAGCAAGTGGCTTTTTAAGAATATACTGTTTGGTAGCAAAGTGAATTGGAGTATAGAGGGCACCTTAATCAATAATGATGATCATAACACAAATCGGAATGATCAAAACCTACCTAAAAATCCTCCCAATTGTATTCCTTTTAGCACTACATGATTAAAGACTGCCATTTTGGGATTTGGAATTTTCTGATCCTCTGGAATGTATACTTCGTCATTGTTTGTGGTTGTTTTTTGAGTGACCACAGAAGTGGAAGAGGCAGCAGAGCTGTTTGTTGTCGACATTTTTTTTCTCCTGTTGGAAAAGTGTTTGTAAGAGAAACTTGGTTGAGCAGAGGTAATTTTTGATTGGTTGGAAATTGTCCTCTAAGAAAAGGTGGACTTTATGAAATTGTACGCAAATATTGAAATAGAAACATGCCACTCTCGTCTTTTTCTCATTAATTTTCTCATTATTTTGGAATTAAATATGATAATATTTTGTAAAAATTAAAAAGTTTTTGTTTTATTTGACTTTAAAAAATGAGTGAATTTGAATACTATCATGATGGAGACATTCATTATGTAAATCATCACCAACAAGCTTCCAATTCTCATCAACAACAACAACAATATCAATCATCATATAGGAGTAATGATTATTCATCATCACCATCATCATCGGAATCATATCTTGATGATGGATATGTTCTTTTTCAATCTATACAAATATCAATTCCTATTTTACCCTTCTTGATCATGATGGGATTTGTATTATTCGTGATGGGATTAAGAGCCATTAAATATTTCCAATTATCTGTAAATTGGCATGTAATTACGAAGAGTTTCAAACATCAAATTATATTGTTGAGTTTGTTTTTCCAAATTCCCTTGCTGTGCTTTTACTTGTATTCATTAATTAAATTCGGAAAGAGTGATGCATCACTAGTTTTAATTATAATTTTGAATTCAACTATTGGAGGAATGGCAAGTTTTATCAATGAGAAGAGTTTGGGTTATTTTGTCGTCATGTTGGCGTGTTTTATTTCAAGTTTATTGGTGCAAGAGGCTCACGTCAAGACAATTTTGATTTGCTTGTGTTTTCTTGTAGTTGCATTGGTAAGTAGATACAGTGATGATTCTTTTCATGAATGGAATGTAAATGTCTAAATGGAAAACTTGATCTAAATTAATTGACAATTCATTACAATTACATCTCCACTTTATCAAATATATCCAGAAAATTCAAAAAATCATCTTCCAAAGAAATAAGCAATTCGAGCCAGAGGATTTCACAGAGGTCAGGACAACAATTGAACAAGATGATCTTGTCAAGGGTTCTTCTCACAATTTTAGACAAGTACTAACCAATGCTGATAGAGAAGGTAGCTATGACAATAACAGATTTTACAGTGGACAGAATCGATTCCAACAACATGGACATGAACCTTACAACCGCCTTAAACCATCCCTTTTCCAAAATAATGCCTTCGAATACAACCACCAACCAACTCCAACTGTTAACAAGTTACATTCGGTTGCAGGTTTGAAGAGGGAAGTTCATAATGACCTGCATAATAGAGAGGACATTTACGTACCTAAAACCTCAAATTGGAATTGGTTGGGTTCTGTGTTTTCGAACATGAAATGGTTCAGCAAAAAACAAGAGCCTGACATTCTGGAGAGAAGACATGTTAAACTTCAAGTTCCTGACAGACAAAAAGTGCTCTTTGACAAGCCAGTTAACAATGTCAGAGTGAATTTTGTAGAAGAAAGAGAAGAAAGAGAAGAAAAAGCCAAGCTGTCCTCTTCCTCAACAATGAATTCATACACCCCTCTTTATCCCTCCCTATCTACAAACATTCCTCCTTCCGTGAAACCAGAGGAATCACCAAGAGCAGGTATTTCACCTTATTTGTTAAATCACTCTTTGCCTTTAACACAGTCCAATACAACAAGGAATTCAATGAAGCCACAACAGGAGAGCGAAAAGCCTCCCACATTCCAAACAAAGGAGAATTTCAAAGTCCCAATGGAACCTGAGGAGGAACCAAATAGATATTTTGAAACAAGACAACAATTCCATGTTGCTAAAAGAGTTCAACAAGTCCCACAACCTGAATCTCAATCTGCCTTCAAACCAAGAGCAGGAGCTTTAGTTTCAAAACAAAGACCTCCCATTGTACACACTGTTGTTGAGGAAGAAGAGTTCATACCAACTGCTTCTACATTTGATGGGGATGATGATGAAGAAGAATAAATGGCCCCTTAATAATTGACAACATACATTTTAAGGCCTAAAGATGTTGAAATTAATACACAGTAAGACCAAATTAATTGTTACAACCACAACAAACCGGACACGAGTATTACAAAATTTGCAACTACAGTACTCATCACTATTTGGAACAAGACCACGTTGAGGTGAGTCCATTTAAAGTGCCGTACACGAATTCTCTCTGTAAATGCTTCACATTAGAAGGGCATTAACATGTAGGGAGTTAAATAACCATGTTAGTCACTCAACTACAGTGAATCATGCTGTGAGGAGCAACTTAATGTTCCTTCACAACAACAATCACAACACAAGCCCACCAACACTTCGCGCTTTCAACACACTGTGTTCTCAACTTCTAGACAACACAAACATCATTGCATGACCAAGAAGAAGTGAACCCAAACAACCTTACAACCTTAACAACAACACAACCGTTAAAAAAAGAAACAACAACAATACAAGTTCAACAAGAACAGCAACAACAGAAAGACAGTAACAATTAGAGCTGACATTATCTTAATTCTCCTACAAAATAGTGTGTTGTGTCGTTTTATTTGCCCTCCATTTCTCAGTAGTAGTATTGTTGTTGCATATCTAACATCTTCATCATCTTCTAATATATATATACGGTGAAAATATCTGCACAACAGAAGAAAAACAAACTCCTCTAAGACTCTATATATAACTAAATATATTACCTAGCTTAAAAGCAGTAATAATTTCACACTACACACAACAAATACTTAAATTATTAATCTCCATTACATAACAATATAAAAACAAAACAAAATGGGAACGAATAGAGTTGTGCCTAATAATCATCATCATAATGAAGAACCAGCACTTCAATCTAAAATGTCTTCAAAACCAAATCAACAACAACAAGAAACAGAGAGTTTTGATATAAAGAAGAGAGATGATTTGGATTCAGTGGATGGATCCATCAGTGAACCCTTAGTAGCAAAAAAGCGAAATCCAATATTGGGTTGCTTACTTTCAATCCGTTTGTTCTTAATTCTGGTCATTACAGGTCTGATTCTGTTAACTGTCTTTTCAATTTGGATAACTGCTTTTGAAATGAATCAAGTTGCTTCAATTGATAACTCGAAAACTACAATGAAAATCATGTATGAAAAAGTGTCGAATTTCCTCATGTCTCAATTATTGCCTGCAAAGAGTATGGCAGATACAGTTGCTCAAGATTATCACATGTTTACGATAACACCTGGTTTCTTAGCAATGAAGAATTATCTATTCACGAAAATGATTAACTTTCCAATAACAGGTGCCAATTTATGTTTTGGAGAAAATAATATGAGTGTCATTCATGCTTACAATTTGAATCAGTTTCCAACTGAGCAGTTATTCTTTGCTTGGCAAGATACAGCTGCAAACAGATTTTGCATGTACAGCGTTAATCACACAGATGCAAACATAATGACCATTGCAAGGAATATTACCTATGTGGTCGCTAAAACAGATTGGTATATGGCTTCTGTGGAAATGCTCAAAACTAATCCAAATGGTGGTTATGGTCCCGTCTATAAAGTGTTGAATGGTGGATTGGCCATGTATTGGAGTTCGCCCGTATATGATAGAGAATTACTGAAAGCAAATATCAAGCAAAGAGTTGGTATTGTAAAGATCAACTTGAATTTGCTCAAGATTTCACAGTACCTTCTTTCAACCAAGTTGCTTAATACTGGTTTCCTGGTGGTTACTGAACTGGGTCCTGATGCCTACGTCATGGGTGCTTCTTTCTCAATTAAAAATCTGGATTCTGAGAGAATTCCAGTTAGAAATGTTCAAGAAAGAGGTATTGGAAGCTTGATGAAAGCATTCTTGGATATGAAAGTAGAAGAAGGAAATGTTGTTACAGTTGACAAGTATTTGGTTTCTTCGTATCAATTCTCATATGCAAATATTGTTTGGCAAATTACAATGTTTGTAGAAGAAACAGAAGTTAAGGCAAGTGCCATTCTTAGTAGTTACGTTATTCTTGGTGTTACATTATTCTTTGCCATTTTTGGTGTTGTTTTAAGTATCGTTATTGGTACAGTCGTTACAAAACCATTTAAGAATCTTGAAAGTGATTTCCAGAAAATTGAAATCATGGACCTTATGAGCATTGAGCAGCATAGATCATTATTTACTGAAGTTAGCAATATTTATGGAAGTTTAACAGAAACTGTTGGTCAATTGAAAGAATTTAGAGCGTTCCTTCCAGAATCAGTTTTGAACCAATTCGAATATTTGAAGAATGATAACAATAATCTTGCAAATAAGGATTCTTCTAAGAATGCTGGGAATCCAAACGAATTGAGTAATGGATTCAGTTTTAGAGAAGGAGATGCAAAGCCATCGTTTACAACCATGTCTGAAAATGGACATAACGGAAGTGGCCACTCAAAGTTTTCTGAACACAGAGGAAAGGCAAATTCAAGCATGTTCAAATTAGGACTTTCTTACAAGGATTTGTGTATTGTTTATGTGAAAATTCCAGGATTAGATGATAGGCACTATTCAAATTATCATGAATTGTCTCATGTTGTTTGTAGATTGATTTCAGGAGTATCGTCTATTTGTAAATCCATGAAAGCAGATTTAGAAATCAAGTCCCATGATGAATTTATGATTAAGATTGATAGATTTAGTTCTTCTTGTGCTGATATTGCCCTCAAGATTAGTACTGCTTTAACCTCAAATAATGAAACTTTCAAGAGGGATGGTCAACCTTCTATTAAGGTTCATATTGGTGTTGCTTCTGGTAACATGTTGAGTGGTAATGTTGGTAACAAGACACTTAGATACAGTGCCCATATTGGTTCAGTTATAGATAGAGCCATTCATTTGTGTAATTTGAATGCATTTATTGGAACCAGTGTTCTTATTGATGAAGAAACTCATTATTTGTGTGGTGCTCAATTTGTTGACAGACCTGTTGACAGATATGCCAACCCAAAGAATGGAGAAAAGAATGTAGAGAATGTTTATGAATTATTGAGAAATAGTAGTGTTGAAAACGATGAATGGATGTATGAATTGCAGCAAAAGAAGGAGAATGAAAAGTTCAGCCATTACAATGAACACTTTAAAAAGATTTTCTCTAGTACTTGTGTTGGAGATGATGTAACTCAAGCAGTTGCCTATTTTGCAGAGATGAGAAACCACAATCCAAGAGACCTGGTACTGCCAAAGTTGGAAAGATTTATAAGAACAGCTATGGAAGACTCTGATGAATTTGACTTTTCTGGATATCACTCAAGAACTTCAACAGAATTATTCCACTATATGAATCAAAATAAACTAAAGTATTAAAACAATTTACTTCTTTTTCTTGGTTCCTTTCTTTGTCTTGGTAGTCTTTTTGGCAGTTTTAGGTTTCATTGACTTGTTGAATATTGGTATTTCAACTGGTGTGTATGGGGTAGCTGCAACAGTATCAAATGATGAGCTGCTTAACTTGTTGGAAACAAAAAGAAACTTAACAACTTACTGTTTCAAAAAGTTTGTTCTAAATCTGTTAAAATTTCTGTTAGCTATGGAGCTTCTAGGATGTGAGGGTCCTAACTTTTCATTTAGAATTGAAATTCCCTTATTATACATATCATGAGCTGCAGGAAAATCTCCCACACATTGAAGACAGGCTGCAACGTTTATCATTGAAACTGCTGTATCAACACCTTCACCCAAATAGGTCTGTCTAATTTCCAGAGATTTTGTATAGTATTTTTGAGCTAGTAAGAACTGTCCTACATGATAGAACACACTTCCAATGCAACTTAATGGAATTGATGAATCACTGTCATTCATTGCTTGAGCAAACTTTTTGGCTTCCATAAATTCTGAAAGAGCCAACTCATCATTACCCAAACTTTGATAAACTAATCCAATTGCACATCTGAAAAATACCAATTCTCTTGGTGTTAGATAATCCTTTTGTCCATTCTCAATCATTTCTTCCTCAACTTCTTTTTCCATTTCCTTTTTTCTTTCTAACTGTTCGTGCAAATCCCAATTTTTAGTCGACTCAAGAAAGTCATCCATTCTGGAATCCAAAATTTCCTTCTTCCTTTTTGCATACATGTATTCCAACCAAATATTTTGAGCTCTAATATATACATCGATGGCTTGTTGATATAAACTTGAATTATGATAATTCAAAGCAACTTCAATTAATTTTGTAACATCCTCGTTCGGACAGTAAGGTGCTAACAAAACCTCCCTAATCAAACACGGAATATCCTGCTCCTGTGGTTCATACCTCTGTCTATATGAATAGGAATGGAGAGATGATCTTAATCCTCCTGCAGAAGTGGGTGATGTGGTTTGCATCATTTTTTTTAAAAATGAAAAGCAACGATTTTATTGTAGTTGAGAGCGCGCCAAAATCTGTTGTTACCATTCTTCTTCGGTCATTTCAATGCCAGTACTATCTTCTGCTTCTTTGTGTTGGGAATCAGATGGTTGTGGTTCATTGTTTGTCTGGTGATTGGTTTCGTCTTCTTCATCAGTTGGTACATCATCTTCAGGGTCTGCAGCTAGATTGTTATTAATGACCTCCTGTTTGAGATTATGGGATATCAGTGGTAGGGATGGTGGTTGTTCTTCTACAGGTTCATCATCGTCATCATCTATAATCTCTGGATCTTCTTGAGTGTTCGATGGAGGTGGTTTATATTGAGGTCGTTTAGGTCTATTGTTCGAAACAACTGTATCGTCTGTGATGTCGATCGATGATGATGCTCCATTACTGCTACGATGGTGAGCTACCTGTGGAGGGAATGGTTGTCTGTGGTAGTGTTGAGGTTGAGGATGGTAATGACCATTTGGAGAAATATTTTCATGCTGTTGTAAAAAGGTATGATTAGGTTGGAAAGAAAAGCCAGGTTGTTGATGTGGATGTGGGTGTGGAATTTGATTGTGTTGTGAGTGATAAGGTAAGGGTTGATTGTGTTGTGGATGAGGCATTTGTACATTATTAGGTTGTTGATGATTGTGGAATACCTGTTGTTGAGGGTGATTTATAATGTAAGCCTCAGGAACTCCCAATAAATGGGGTGGTATTGGGAAAATTGGTTGAGCTGAAGCTGAAGAGGAAGGTGCATGTCTTTTCTTTAACTTGGGATTCCTGGCAGGTGAACTCAAATCCACAACTTGTTGTTGCTGGTCTTGTAGTTTCTGCTCGTGTCTCTTCACATAATTGGTAATAGTGTGATTTTGTTGAATGAAAGCATCCTCTTCATAATTGAATGTTTCATTAATGTCGTCACTTTCAATATTGTACAACATATCGTGCCAAGTGATTCCATCAATTTCCGAATAAGCTTCCAATTGTTTTACATGGTTTCCTAGTTCCTCATAAATTTCACCTTTTGGATGCAACTCAGCCAATAATTTCTTAGTCTCAGATGATTGCTTGTCTCTTAAAGTCAAAACTTCCAATAATTCCTGATCTGAAGTGAAGTATCTGTACTGATTCTCTTTTGTGAGTGTATTCTTAATTAACCCGTCTTTGATAACTTGTCTTCTATAAACTACTTCTTCCAAGGTTCCTACTGTAATAAGTCTGTATGTAACAACGTTTTTGGTTTGGCCAACTCTATAAGCTCTATCTACAGCTTGTTGATCTACAGCAGGATTCCAATGTGGATCTATCAATATGACTCTATCAGCTGCAGTCAAAGTCAAACCAACACCTCCACTACCAGTTGTCAGCAAAAAGCAAGAATACATATTGTTTTTTTGAAACAAGTCTACTCTGGCTTGTCTTTCTTTTGCTGCTACACCTCCATCAATTCTCAAGGTTTTCAACTTTAAGTGTTCTGTAATTATTCTCTCTACAATGTCCAACATTGTTTTGTATTGGGAGAATATCAAGGTTCTGTGCCCTGTCTTCTTGTGTTCCTTCAATAGTTTAACAATTATTTGAAGCTTTGAGCTTTCTTCAATTAATTCCTTGCAGGTCATTCCAGATGTATCTAAATAATCTTTGTCATCTCCTTCTGATATAAAATTCTCAAAGGCTTCATCTTCATTAACATCCTTATTTAAAATTTGTGCTGACCCATTATTAAGTCTTGGATGATTGCACAACATTTTCAATGTACTTAGAGCAGAGAAGATACATGATCTGTTTGATTTCTTTCCTAAAATTTGTTTAACAATTTCGGATTTGAGATATTGGGTATAAACACGGTCCTGTGTCTTGCTGAGGTAACACCACAATACAAGTTCATTCTTTTGGGATATTTTAGCTTTACCAGTGCTCTGCTTTTTAAGAATTGTTCCTAATCCTACATTGTGATCACTTTCTAAAACCTGATTTTTGTGTCTTCTCAAGATGTATGGCTGAATTAAAGATCTCATTTGTTGGGAGAGTTTGTTTCCTAGTACCTTTTCAGTATTTGAGGCATCCCTTTTACGAGATTTTACAATTGACCTCTCAAAATTTGTTTTAAATTCTTTCTTGTCTCCTAAAATATTGTCTCCATAAAAAACATAATCATAAATAGACCACATTTCCATAAGCTTGATAAATATGAATGATAAATATACAATGTTATAATATTAATATGAATGTAAATATAAATTGTTAAATATTAATAAAAATAAAGGATAAATACCTTATTCATAATAGGAGTTCCAGTTAGACAAAACTTGGCTCTAGAACCAATCTTTCTCAAATTTTTAGAAATTCCAGTTTGGTCATTTTTGATTTGATGCGCTTCGTCAACAATTGTGATATCAAATTCTTGCTTTGCACATAGTGAAGCAAGAGTAACCGTATATGTGACCAGAGTTCTGAATGTGGTAATTATGGCAGCTGACTTTTGTTGTTTAGCACATCCATGAAAATCTCTTGCCATACTGTTGTACTGTTCTTTGGATGATAAATTATGGAATACAAAGGTTTTGATATTTGGTGCCCATTTATCTAGCTCGCTAGCCCAAGTTTGAAGCACTGATAATGGAGCAATAATTAAATAACGTCTTGTTTTGCTTTGAGCCAAACCTCCTAGAAAGGCTGAAACTTGAACAGTTTTGCCCAATCCCATTTCACTTAAAGTTGAAATTAAATATATTAGAGACCCTTAATAATACTTACTCTGCTAATATTCCACCTCTGTACTTGTCGGCATTGAATCTTGTATTGAGCCACTTGATTCCTTCTTTTTGGAATGAATATAGTTTCGTGTAAACATCTCTGTCTAGAATGAGACCTCCATCCAAGTAATAGTCGTCGTCTGCGTCCTTTTTCCAACCATTTCCAACATCTATAAGCTCAGCCATGTTTGTAGTTTTTTGGGCTCGCTTCTTCATTCTTTCTTTGAATTCTCTTTCTTTTTTAGAAAAACTTTCTGAAGTGAGAAGTGTACCTATTTCATCATCACTAAACGAGATTTCATCCCAATCATCATCACATCACCTTGAGAATATGGTACTTCTTCTTCATCCTCAGTTTCTTCCTGACTTACTTCTTCATATTCTTCCTCTCCCTCTTTATCACTTTCTTCCTCTTCTTCGTCCTCATCCTCATGAACAATAAAGTCTTCCAATTCTCTTTCCGAAAGTTTCTTCTCTCGAGTTTTCCTTAAAATTCTCGAAACTTTTTCAGGAGAAACTACTCTATCCTCTTCAGAGTCAGAATCTGTATCCTGTCGTGACGTTCTCTTTTTTTTAAAATTCAGATATGTTTGAACTGTGTATTTTGTTTCACTGTCCGCTTTACTACTACTAGCTTTAGCAGGCTTTGATTTACTACTACTAGGACTAGATTTAACATTATTCTACTCGATGCATGGTGGCCTCTATAATTAAGAATATGTTGTACAGAAGAATCAACATCATCGTCTTCCTCATCAGATGATATTAATATGGCAGAATTATTTGAAGGAGGACTTTTCTCCTCATCACTACTATCCGATATCACAGAGATATGACTAACCTTCGAAGCAGAATGTCCAGCCTCTTTCATCTTCCGAAAACTATCAATACTCTTATGTATAGTCGATCTATTATCCTGCTTTACCTTCTTAAAATTTGTTTGTTTTTCCGAACCTGATGATGGTGATTCCTCGTCATTGGAAGAAACCACAGAATTTTTTCTCTTCTTACTATTTATTTCTGGATCGAGGCTAGGTGGTGATGAAATGATCTTTTTAGCCTTTGAAAATGTATTTTCCTCCTCTTCATCCTCCGAAAGATCGAATACGACTTGATACGAATTAGGTCGTTGTGGCATTTTTTTTTAAATTTTCTTTTTGGCGCTGGAATTTAAAATGTTGCTAACCTACAAATGTTGTAAAAGAAACGTGAATTATTGTTAAATGTCATAAAAAACTTTATTCTCACAGGATGATTTTTGACTTTTCAACAAATTCAATACTTATTGTAAACAATAAAGTATGGAAATGCCGGTTGCAATTTTTGAAACTTGCAACTCACAACTTTATTTCTCATTGAGTTTCCAGGAATTTTGCAACCAATCTAAACATAGCAAGACAGCTTAAAAATTCTCCACCAGCTAGTCTTGCTATGAATACTTTAAAAAAATGTTGCAACATTTGCCTTCTGATATCTTTCTCTTTCACTTGATTCCGTACATGTCGGGAGTGAAGGCTTGGATATCTATGTGTAATTCGTGTTCAACAATCCGATCAAAATTTAAACAATCTTCATTGACTTTGGAATGTGAAGGAAGGGATTGTTTTCAAAATAGTAAATTTATGAGAGATTCTGTATCGGAAACTGATTGGGGAATGCAATTGCATGAAGGCTTTGTTGCCATGTTGGAATCTGGTTTATTTTGTAAAGTTCTCTTGAATTTTAGGTGGACTAAGCTTTCAGAAGCTATGGCAAAATTACTAACGAAAGAATCTAAATGTTTGGATTTAATTTCACAATTGGAAGTTTTTGATTGTGTTGGGCGGGCAGAATCATTAATTTTGAACGCAAATTGGAAACAACTTTCAGTATTAACATTTTCGCATAAGAGCACGATTCCAGCAAAGAAACAAGAAAACCAATTGGTAGATTTTACAAAAATTGTAAATTTGGAAGTATTTGAAATGGGAGAGAATATTAGATTTGAATTTCCAAGGAACAAAGAGCATTATTTCCAATTTGAAAGAATTGAAACTTGCAAGACATGATACTTCATTTTATGAGGAAATACTCAAAAAGTGTGATTTCTCTAATTTGGAATGTTTGGAAATTAGAAATTGCCACTTGGGAAAATTCAATTTTTCAGATATTCAATCATTTAAATTGAAATCTTTAAATCTATCAAATTCTACATTTCATAACTTAAATGAATTATTCCAACTTAAGCAATTAATTAATTTGGAAAGTTTAAGTATTATAACAGATAATGGTAACATTTTAAAGACATTATTCGAATCTTCTATATTTCACAAAACTCTTTCTAAATTAGAAATAGAAAGACGACATACCGGCTACCATCCATGGAATGGTGATTTGATTTGGGAATGGTTTTTGAATGGAAATTTGAAAAACATCAAACACTTAGCAATCCCTTGGATGGACATGAATGCTAATCATCTAGAAGCATACAAAAAATCCAATATACAATTAGAAGGATTGGTTATATGTCAACTAAGTGGTGTTAATCAGAAACAAATGAAAGTGTTCAAAAATTTAACGCATTTAAAGATTAAATATCAAACAGATTACACTTTAGTTAGTGAACTGAAAAAGTTGAAATACCTATCATGTAATTGTTATGGTACTGTAATACTAAACTTACCTGATCTTGAAAGATTAGAAATGAATTATGTTGATCGTATCTCATTGGAAACTAATAATTTGAAACACTTTAGTTGTTATTCTAGTTCTATTTACGGAATTGTTAACTCAATAATTGGATCACAAATGAAATTGGAATCATTTAATCTTTCATGCAGATATTCTAATGATAGTCAAGACCAAGTTGACGATGCTTTGTATAATATTGCCACACACCCTAATTTCAAAACTTTGAAAGAACTTTATTTAGATTATGAATTAAGTGATGAGAATTTAGAAGATTTAGCATATAGTCAATTGAGTTTAAATAGCTTGACACTAAATTCACGATTTTTAACATGTAATTCTGCATATGAATTATGTGATGGAAGTATTGAAGCCAAAATGATCCAAATACGATTTACCCATAATTTTGTTCAAGATCCATTATTATATAGTGGCAGTTTAAATGGATTAATTCAACTATTAACTGATTTGGAAAATACGGAATGTAATGCTGATATTATTGAGGAAGATGATTCTTGGTTTTATTATACTGGGCCAGTAACTCGATTCTTAACTTATGATGACTATTCTGATGTTTTCGGAAGAGATATTGTTTCAGAATATAACTTTGATGATTCCCACAAAAATAAGTTTAAATCTGACAAGATTAGAGTTATCAGTAGAATTAAGTTTAATATGAAAATTTATTTGTAATGAGTTGTCCACTTGTTAATAAGCCACAACTGCAAGCAACAAATTGAAAAGAAAAGAACCACAAGTAATACACAAACAAGCAAGTGATGCACCAACAGTATATACAAATTGAGCAATCAAGAACGGAGAAATCATATCATAAATTACAGGATATTGAACATAACATTGAGATTCAAAATTGTAAAATGCCATAAAAACCAACAAGATGGTAATTGCAATGCCATTCAAAGTTTTGATAGATCCACAACAAACTCTAAAGAAAGAATGAGTGCACAATGTATACTTATTCAAGTTGATACTACAGCAGAAACATGCAGAGATTGAATTACCACGAGTTTGTTCGTAATGCATTTCGTATGATTTCTCTCTGTAATTATTTGGAGTTGGTTCACTGTATTGAACTTGTGGTTGAGTGGTTGATTGCATTTCAATGCCTTGTGCTGTGGAAACTGAAATTGCTTGTTGAGTTTGAGGATTCATTCTATCAACACTTGAACTCATATAGACTGGATCTTGAGCTGGTTGATTTTCGAATATTGTTGGAGATTCATTAATCCAGTTTTCTCTCAAAACTGCATAACCACCATCCTCAGTTCCTGGTGAATAATTACCACTATTGAGAACTCGATTAGTTCTAGAGAAAGTATCAGAAAGTACATCAAGGAAACCTGAACACATAGCTACAAATCCAAGAATTACTCCAAGAAATTCCAAACATGTGACAGCTAACATCATATTTACAAGTGTTCTCCCTAAACATGCAGTAGAATCTGCCAATGGATTTGGACTAATCATGTTTGGTCTGTTGGTAGCAGTATCACTTGATGAAACGATGAATAGGAAGAGTGACCAAATAGCAAATGCTATGGAAAAGCAAATTCCAAGAGCATGAATACATGCAGTCAATCTGAAATAAAGTTTATATTTGTCAAGATGAAAACTATTCGAAAGTGTAAATAGTACTTACAGCCAAGTCCTTCTTGCATCAGTATGTCTTGACATTTTTTCAAAGTTATTAGAATAAAAGTAGGATCGCTTATAACAGAAAAGATTTGAATTATTTGGAGTTTGTTTCATGTCTTTCCATAAAAAGTTTACTATTTTGGGCGACTTCTAAAAATGATTCATTTTCAACATTGCTTTTTTGAAAGAATTAATCTGTTTTATTGTTTTAGTAGTTGAGTTTTCCAATTGTTTTAATATCTACATGGACACTTTCATCAGTGTCAATTCCAATTTCTTCCGTTAGATCTGCTAACTTCATCTCTGCTTTGTCTGCAAAACCGAGTAGCATAGTCATGGCCAACTCTTTTCTCTTTCTCCATTCTTTCAGATACTTTTCAAGACCTGCAACAGCATCCTTCTTTTCTTGTGGAGATACTAATTTGATTGAACCATTCTCTAATCTTTCTAATTTCTCACGCCTTCCCAAAAGATCTTTTCTTTCCTTTTCAATCATACCCTTCAATTCTTCTGTTGTTGGTGCCTTGTTCAACTTGTTGAGTTCGGCAGTAAGCTCTTGGTTAGAAATCTTGTATGATGATAACTCCTTTTGAATATCTCTGATTTCAATATCTATTTGTTTGAGTTCCTCCTTTGACAAGACTTCGAGATCAGCCTGATTTCTGAACCACATCTTTTGCTTTCCATTTGCTTTCATCACCAACTCTCCTTCACCCTCCAATTTATCCAAACACTTGGTCACCATAGCCTTTTTAATTTGACCTCCCATATTATCAATTACTTGTTGAAGACTGTAAGGTCTAAACATCATCATTAGAAATACATTATCGGAATATGAAAAACTTACCTATTCTGATTCTTTAAATATTCATGGATCATTGACTTGGCTTCTGATTCATTCTTGATGGTTGGTTTGGCTCCCTTCTTTGCTGCTCCTTTTGTTGCAGTCTTCTTTGCAGGAGCCTTCTTGGTTGTTTCCTTCTTCTTTGTCTTTTTAGGCTTCTTTTCAGTCTCCTCTTCCTCTTGAGTTTCTTCCTTACTACTTGTTTCGTCAGCAGACTCTTCCTCTGCTTCAGCTGCTCTCTTTCTCTTACCTGCCATTTGTCAAGTGTTTTGTTGTTTTTTTTGATTGTGTTTAAAACACAGTGCTTCTATTAATAAGGTGAAAAAAGGCTTTGTGGAATACATTGTAAAGTCAAGCCTAAAAATCATCATCGCCAATTAACTCTTCTCTGTGTTTTGCCAATACCATTTCTGTTTGACGGAGTTTTTCTTGAGAATTGACAAGATTTTCTGTCAACTCTTGAATTTGAGCATCTTTCTTTGAGATGACTTGTTTGATATTCTCCATCAAACCTTCCATCTCTGAATTCTTTTGTTCGGTCAACTCTTCAAGTTCAATCTTGTGATCTTCCTCGGCCTTCTTGAATGATTCTTCCAATTCTGCCTTTTCTTCAACAATATCATCTCTTTCCTTTGAGATTTGTTTAATCTTGGATTCCAAATCCTCACGAACACTCTTCATCGTGATAGACAAATCTTCCTCCTTCTTTGACATTTTCTTCTTTAATGTACTGAGATTGGATTCATCATCTTCAATTCTTTGCTCTAGTTCCTTGATTGTGTTATCCTTTTCCTTGAGTTTAGTCTCCAGTTGATTACTATTCTTGGCACTATTCATATACTTTTCTTTCCAATCATTGGATTCAGACTTGATTCTTGAAATTTCATTATCAGAGTCATTTCTTGTCTTTTCAAGTCTCTTTTCATAATCTTTGATAATTTGTTGTTTGTTTTGATAGAACTCATCCTGTAACTTGGAAATAATCATTTCAACTTGGTCTTCCATTTGCTTGTTCATCTTCTCATATTGAGATTTTTGCTTTTCTCTTAATTCTTGTTGGCACTTTTGAGCATAATTATTTTGCCACTGCTCCTTTTCCAATTCCCATTTTGTTTTGAGTGTTGTTACATCCTCTGATTGTCTCTTTTCATAGTCCTTGTGTATCTTCTCAATTTCGAGTCTATGTTTTTCCTCGAGTTCTTTTTCTCTTGCTTTGACTTTTTCCAGATTGTCTTGATAGATTCTACGTTCTTCCATGAGAAGTTTTTCGGCCCTGTCTCTTTCATTCTTGATTTGAATATTATATCTTGATTCCAAATCATCCAATTCCTTTTGTCTTCTTTGTTTCTGAAGTTCAACTTCTGAAACGCTTTCATTCTTTGCTCTATCAAGAGAATATTCAAATTCACGTTTAAACTTTTCTCTAAGCTCCTCCATTTTTGAGTCAGCTTGTTTCAATAGCTCAGCTTTTTGTCTTCTCATTTCATTTTGATAAAAATCTTCAAGCTTTGCTTTTTCTTGCTTGTGTCCTAATAACATTTTCTGAATTTCTGGTTCCATATCCTTGATCATCGTTTCCTTAACTTTCTTTTCTTTATCAGCCATCCAGTTAGTTCTCCTAACCTTTTCAGCAGCTTCCCAATTTTCCTTAGATCGTTTCAGATCATTTTCATATCTTTCAGACAACATTTTAATCTTTAGTTCATACTTCTCATCAATTACCTTTGCCTCCTTTCCCAGTTCAGTACATTTGTTATTCAGAGTTTCCTTCTCCTTTAATAGTTTTTCAATTAATTTGATTTGTTTGGCGAATGTTGTTTCAAATTCCTTTTGTTGTTGTTCCAAAATTTGCTTTTCGTGTTCCTTACTATTTCAAGATCAGGCTATTCTAAAAAAATAAATAATTGGAATACTTACAATTTCTTCTCCACACTATTGTAGGCATCCTTTAGCTTTGTTATTTTTTCTTCCAACAGTCCAATCTTTCTATCCTTTTCCTTAATTGTGGCCTTGAGTGTATTCATCTTATTCTTTACCCCATCGTAGAGTGAAGCTGCCGCAGCTGGTTATGTCAATAAGATAAAAATCCTGAAAGAAAACATACCAGTTGGATTTGCTTTTTCATTTTCAATTCCTGAAATTGTTGATTCCTCATCGAAAGAACTATCTAAACTATATGGTCTCTGATTGGAAGCTGATGAATTAATGGAAATGTATGAGTGAGAAGGAGATGGTGGAACAATGGAGAGAGGATTTGATGTTGTTGAATAACTCTTAACTTCGGGAATTACTGCTGGCTTATCGGCCTCTTCCAAGTATTTGAGAAAGTTATTTAATTTGTCATTCTTTTGTCCTCCACTAACGCTGTTATTACTACTCGTTGCTGATGTTGTAGAGGTTGTTGATGTGGTTCTTCTCGTTGATGAAGACGGCCTTCTTATTGTAGATTGAGACAAGGTCGATTTCACCTCATCGGTTTTCTTTGTAGACATTCTCTCCAGTGTTTTAAGTGTCTTCATAGAGAGTCCTGTTGATGCTGACAGATCCGAAGAAGAAGAAGGAGGAGACCTGTTCTTTCTACGTGATGATTCAAAATTATCAGTTTCTTGTCCTATCATTTTTTTCTGTTTAAATTTTGGCGGTAAAAAGAATTGAGGGATGATGTTCCCAGACAAAATTGTAACAAGAATTGATTTTTAATTGTTTTTTGATGAATAATTATTGATCGAATCGTTGAGTGTATGGTGTTTCAATACCAATCTTTTTAAGGGCATCAATTGGTAAGGCAAAGGTTGGATCAATAGTCTTTAAACCATACTTGTCTCCATAACCTAATAAACTCAAACCACCAATTCCAAAGAAGGTGTGGAATACATCAACCATATTATTTGGTCTATCACTGATACCTCCCTTTTCAGTGTCTTGACAATTGCAAATGTAGTCATGTAATTTTTCAGCATTAATCCAATGAACACGATCCATAATTCCCAAAGCACTTAAAACCCACCACGAGTAACAGACATCTGAAAGTTTTTCTGGTCTACCATTGAGACCTCCATTTTCGCATTGTCTTTCACACAACCACCATGAAAGAGTATCATGATCAAATCTATCCAATGCTTTGGCAATTGACAAGGCACCAACACAAGTAAAAATTTGTCCAGCATGTGATTCAGCTCCAGGACAAACACCAAATCCTCCATCAAAGTTTTGGCATGAAAGTACATAATCTACAGTTTTTTCTACATTGATATATTTCTTATTATTGATCTTGTCACCTCTATAATTTGAACAAGTTTCAAGAAGACCCAATAATGCTAAACAATTGAGTGCACAATAACTAAATCTTGTGTCAATTTCTCCCCATTTATCTCCTGAAAAACTACCATCTTCCTTTTGTAAAGATCCAATAAATTCACCAATTTTTTCAATTTGTTCAAGAGTTAAAAACTCTTCAATATTACTTGTCAAGAGAACCAATAATTGAACAGCTGATAATGTATACAAAATATGAGCATCATGATTAGGAGCTCCAGCAAACCCACCAACATCAGCATGATAACTATCTCTAATAAATTGCAAAATATGTTCTCTATTCATTTTCGATGATTCACTCATCAAATCCATACCTGTTAATCCCCAATACATTCCCGACATTCTCAAATGTTCCGTAACACAATACTCGAAGGTTGTTTGTTCCTTCTCCTCTAAATGTTGAATATAATCAATGTGTGCATGTTTGGCAAATTCTTGTACTGAAGATGATGGTGATGTTTGTTGTTGACTCATTTTTTGTTCTTATGATTTCATCAAAACCAAAATCTTGCTTATTGGTGGCAATTACCTCATCATCATACTTTACAATTTATTATTTATTAAATTATTAATGGTAAAACATGATGAGAGAGAACTTTTAACTAGTAGTGTGCGGAACAAAAGTTCATGAACTATTGATAATAATCATAGAAGAAAAAAACAAAATGTCGAGTCAGCCTAAAAGATTGAAATCTGTTGGATTAACAGGTATGTGTTATTATTGCTGATGTATTTATCATCTTCATCAACAACGTTATATTACGTAATAAAACAACACAGGAGGTATTTGCTCTGGAAAGAGTACTGTCGTATCCTATCTGGGCGAACTCATCAAGGAATATGAACAATTACACTCACAATCACCATCAGAGCACCACAAGATATTCTTCCATGTTATTCCTACTGATGAATTGGGTTGGAAAGCCTATAGTGTTGGCACTGAATGTTATAAACAGGTTGTTGAGGTTTTTACTCCTCTAGTGAAGCAAATTGTAGGAGAGGAGGCTTCTCTTCTGGATGAACAACAACAAATTAATAGAAGAATGTTAGGTAATTATATTATATAATCTATTCTCACCTCTGTATACATGATCAAAATAATTATTTTAATAATTTAATAATTATTAATTTAATATTGGATTATTGAATAATGATTAATAACAACAAATAGGGAGGGTAGTATTTGGAAATTCGGAATTGATGAAGAAACTCACAGATATTGTATGGCCAGAAGTTAAACGATTAATCAATGTGGAAATCTCCAAGGCTGAACAAGAAGCCATCAATGAGAAGGTTGTCTGCCTAATTGAATCAGCAGTTCTAGTCGATGCTGAATGGCAACAAGGAATTGATAAAGTTTGGGTCATTGATGTGAGTAATACAGAGGAGAGAATTCAAAGACTCTGCAGTAGAAATCAATTGACCATTGAGGAAGCAAAACAAAGAATCAATTCACAAGCAATTGCATCTGTTGTGCTTGAAAAATTAGCTCACTATAATGATAATGTCATTCCACATAATCCAATTGAAGTGACCTACTTGGATACTCATAATTTAACATTGGATCAGGTGAAGGAAAAGACTAGAGAAATGTTTTATTCACAAATTGTTGGAGATTGGAAATAGTTTAATTAGACGGTAGCTACCAAATCCAATAACATGAAATATCAAAAGGATTCGGTAGCCATACCTATTAGACAGATGACTTGATCAACACTTTTCCAGTTTCGAATAAAAAGTGAAAAAAATGTCATACTTTTCCTCTCGTTCCAATGTATTGAGTGGAAGTGAAGATCTTTCTCTCTTGAGTTCCCGTCAAGTCCCTTCAAAAGAAGAATCCGATTCTGACCATTTAGTTGATTTGAAACATTCTCTCAAGGATTTATCTTCTTTTGCATTATACGAAAGGATTGAACAACAACATTTAAAGCATTCTGATTTGTTTAAATTATATTGTCAGAGTATTGCTCCAAATTCGATACCTCCTTTAACTGTTTCTAACACTAGTAATTCATCATCATCAACAACACCATTACTTGTTCACTCTCGTTCCGAGAATAGTTTACTTTCGAATTCTTCATCCAACAATGTATACAAATCACTATTAGAAATGGTAAACTCCAATGATATTCTCTTTTCCATTGTTATTTGGATTGCCACTCAAATCCCACTCAGTCAAAGATATTCGAAAAGTTTAAAAAAGAATTTTGACAAAGTTTTCACATGCAAGACTTTTATTTCTCTCTTAACTTCACAACTTCACAAACAACAAATGCTCTACTTTCCAAGTATAAACTATGCTGGAATTAAGAGTCATATGGATATTGTTGAGAAAATCAATTCACTCTACAAGATATTTAATCCATCGAATCAACTGCAGCAACAATCAGTACTTTCGTATAATGATGAATCATTCTCTTTTAAACAAGCTTGGTCAAAGGTTCAGGCTGAAACTTTTGGTCAATTTCTATTAGAAATTGGAATTATTCAAAATATTAAGCCAGAGAAGAAGAGAAAATTTGCAGAGAGGTCTCACTATTACATGTTTAGTATAGAAACCATCTTGTACTATGCTGAATTGTTTTTTGAAGATAAGGTTTCAAGTCAACAACAACAAAATGTTCTCAATCAATTCAGAAATCCAAGTTTTAATGATAGTGGCTTTACTGCATTTTCACAAAATGTAAATTCTCCATTCTTGTCCAATATTTCAGCTGCCTCAATGCATTTGGTTTCAATTGGACAAAATTTACAAAAGAGTTCCTTATTGAATTTGATTGTTTCTCAGGAGAGAGAATTTGAAATGATTCAGGGTCATATTAAGAAAACTCATGAAGAAATTGCTCAAGAGTCTAATTCTAGTGGCTCATCATTGGATGTTACTTCTCCGAGAAGTGGAGAATCACCATCACAACTCAGTGATGCCACAAGTAGTGCATTCTCATTGGTATTTAGACAGGACCATCAACGATCCAAATCGAGAGATTTTGCCAGAACTGCACCAAAAGTTAATCACCACAGAATGAGCACCAATTTAAGTTTAAATACTGATCAGATTTGGAATCAACCAAAAGATTTGGAACTCAAAGAGGTCATTAGAGGAAAGAATCAACACTTATTCGAAACTCCAACCTTGTCACCTCGTTCTAGATTTTACGAAGAAAATGGAATCAAGGCCAAGATTCAATCCGTTCAACAAGCTCTCAATAATCCAACTATCAATGAGGAATTCACACAATATTGCACCAAGGATCATTCAGAGGAAAATATTCTTTTCTGGAAGGAAATTCAATCCTATAAAAGGATCCAATCTCCAAGTGAAAGAAAGCTAAAATTCAAAGAATTGGTTTCTCAATTTGTGTCAAGCAATTCTCCACATTCTACTCCAGTCAATTTAGAATCAAAGATTGTAACAAGCTTTTTAACACTTGCTGAGGAAAATGAGGAAAATATTTCATTCTTTTCCACTGAAGTTTTCAATGAATTGGAATGGTTGGTCGTCAATAATTTGAAAGACACCTTTACAAGATTCAACGATGAAAGAAATAAGGAAATAGATTCTCAAATTGATGAATTACAACAAAATCTCAGACTTGAAGCAATCAAGAAGGAGCAACACTCAAAGAGTTTCCTCTCCCAAGTAGCCAGTGCCATTGGTCGTAAGAAGACAAACAGTACATCAACAAATAATGCACACAACAATCTCATAATACCACCTCCAAAGCTACAAGTTGCAGTTGAGGAAAACAAGAAGGAAATGGAAAGAGTACCAGCGCATGAGTATTGCACTCTTGAGGCTGTTCTTTGCAGTCCCAATGCCAGAAAACAATTTAGAATATTCTGTAAGAAGGAGCATGCTGAGGAGTACATTTTGTTCTTGGATTCCGTTGATGAGTACAAGACATTTACAGGAAAACTCGACAGATGCAAGAAGGCACACGAAATTTTCAATATATTTATTGAGCTACCAACTTCTGGATCATTCCTACATGAAGAGGATGTTCGTACTCTCGACTGTACAAAAGATGAAAGAGAAACCATACGTAAAAAGTTAGATAGTGGTGAATTGGAAATGTTTGATGCTGTAGTAATCAGTATTCAAAATCAAATGTTGGATGTTTACAATCGTTTTGCAACAGCTCAAATGGAATGGAAAGCAAAGAAAATGCTAATGTAAAATGTTCAATATTTTCATCAATCAATGTAAAATAAATAATTTCTTTAAATCCAAGTCCATACAATATTTACATGTTTTATAGCCAACAAGTTCGAAATCATTTGTTAGAAATTTTGGTTCCAAAGACACATTGTAATGAGATAAGGAAATAGTAAATTAATTTGAATGCAATCTTTCCAAACTTGGAATATTTCTTCTGATGATGTACTTAATGGTCATGTCTTCTTCCTCTTCCTCTTCTTCATCTTGAATCCATTCTTTACCAAGAGATGTATCACTAAAAACGAGGTCTGGGTTTTCAGTCAAATCCAAAACTCTTAACTTTTTTAGTTGACTTTCCTTTGAAGCAAGCAAAATAGAAAACTCGTTAGCGATATTACAATGGCGCAACCATAAATGCTCCAAATTGGACAAGAATGGGCTTTTGATAAGTGTACCCAATCCAATATCACCCATTTGGTGGGAAAACAGCTTTAGGATTTTGAGATTTTTCATATTGGAACAATTAAAATACTGATAGCTCATAGATTGGTCTCGGCCCGCCAACTCTAGCTCTGTAAGATTGTTCAATCTATTGGTAATGTATTTTGTAGACTCTATTGAGAGATTATCAACTCCATATAACAGCAAAGATGATAATTTGGTAAATGAGGATGTAATTAGATCTATAGAGTGATCTGTAAGTTTTTCGTTATATGAAATATCCAGCCTTTTCAATGTCTTTCCAAATTCTCCTCCACATAAAATCTGTATTTCTAGATCAGTTAGTCCACTATCAGGCATTGCTAAAGTCTCTAGTTTACTCAATTGGTGCAACTGATCTATATTGATAACTGTTGCTCCCTCAAACTCTAATATTTTCAAATTAGAAAACTTGGGATGCTTGAAATAATTTCCACTCATATCAACATAACAAGAATGTGTAATTAATTCCACAATGTTAGAAATATGTTGACAATTTGCCAATTCTTCCATTATTGATACGTCACAAACGTCAGAAATATACAGCTTGGATAAATTTTTCATATTTTCGTTTTGGAGAAGTTGTTTAAAACTACCTTCCTCAATATTACAATGTTTCATCTGAAGACAAGTTAAACTTTCCATTCTAGAAATAGCCTTGCAAGGATCTCTAATACCATTCAATTTGATTGTTTTCATATTTTTTCTCAAAATTTCATTATTAGCTATCGGATAAAGGTTTTCAATACTTGAATTGAATTCCAAGTTCAATTCAATCAAATTGCACATGAATTTCTCATCAATTAGTCCACAAAATTCACAAATATTTTCATCTGATAAATGATTGGAACTCAAATCAAGACTGGTCAAGTTGGGAAATAAGGAAATGTCTGTATTGGACTCTTTCAGTTCCCTGAAAACCTCAATTCCATCTCCTAAACAGCATCTAGAGAATGTTAAACATTTCAATCTATCCTTCAATACTTGACTTTCAAAAATTGATTCTAAATACTCTTTACCTTCATCATTACTTGCAGTAATTTCAACAAATTCCAACGAATAATCCAAGAGTTCAGAAGCATGCCACCAATCCACAGAAATTAAACGAGCCACCGATAATACAAACTGACTATCCAAATATTCGCAAATATTAAAACATAAATCCTTGGAAAATACAGATATTAGCCTTCCGAGTGATTTTCTTTTCTTATTTGATGATGATCCGTTAATATTGCCATCATGATCAGAATCACTATTATCATCATCATCGGAATGGGTGTGAGCATCAATCTGTTCTACTTGTCTTTTCATTTTTTTTTGTAATCAACAAAGTTATTTTTACTCATATTAAATTATTAATTTATTAAATATTTATTCCATTTGAAATAAAAGAAAGTTTTAAATGTGTATTATTTTAAATATTTGAAATATCTGGTAGAGCACTCCATGCACTACTTTCAATTCCACATTCATCAGCACCTCTCAACATCCAAAACATTCCATTCTTTTAAAAGATATTGATATTATCTAATTGACATGGAAATAGATGAAAAACTTACATTTCCCCAATCCGTTCCAAACTCAAATACACAAATCCCTTTAAAGTGTTAATTATTTAACATGATGAAATATTGTAAACTTACAATATGGAGTTTGGTCTTCAGCAACTCCCCAACCAATTATTTTAGTGGATGAAAAAGATCCAATATCTTGATCCAAATGTTGATAAACTCCACTCTTGTAATTATATAAATCACTTGTGTCAAAGTTTCATTCACACTTTTTGTAAACTCAAATGTACTTACAAATACATCTTGAATCCTGCAGTAATTGAACCATATTTCATAATGTCCCTTTGCATGTCTGTGATAATATCCAATGAACCAACACTTCCCTTCTTTATCTTGTATCTTTTCAATGGAGATCCATCTTTACATTGGGTTGAACAAGAATCAAACACTTCACCACCTCCACTGCTATATGGAATACATTCCTCAGTAGTTGTTCCATTTCCTTCCAAATAGCTAAAAATATTAGATTCTACTGCACCTTGACAACCTTGTCTGTCTCTGTCACATTCCAACATGTATTGAGATGAGAGGAGTTTCTTGAATTTTCCACCAGTTGCAATGCAAAATCTATCAGAAATGGAATCAACAATTGTGAATGTGCCAACTGCGCTGCAACTCATAATATTGTTGGCTGGGAATACACACCCAGGCCATTTCTCTCTCACATCAAATGTTAATGGAATATCATCATTGTTTTCTTGATGATACACATGTCTCTTTCCAATTCTGGAGGTAAATGATGAAGGAGAATTTGCTAATGAATCATCAATTTGAGGAAGATTCTTCACAAAATCCTTCCACTCTTGTGTTTCAAACTTTTCATATCGTGTGGCTTTCCATTTTGAATTCGGATTGGAATTAATCTTATCGATTTTATCCTGGCTCATTTGGAAACCATTTGTTAAGATTACAAAATTTGTGGACATGATGATCATGGTAGAGAGTAAGACCACTACAAGGAAGGCAATGGATGATGAAGACCTTCTTGCAGTTAATTGATTGCCTGTTACTAGATGTTTCATTTTTTTTAGGAATTTTAAATCAGGAGCTTGGTTGTCCGGAGTTTATTTGAAGACCTCCGTGGAAAATAAATCAAAGGTTACTAAAAAATTTTAGAAATTTCCTTATATTCCTCAATGATAGAAATTTCTATTAATTGTGAATGAATGTATAGCCAACTTGTTCAACCTTAAAAGAATTCCATGTTTTACAATTCATCGTGTTTTGTTGATTTACATTCACAAGCTTCTTGAATACTTTTTGTATAGGCATCACATCCAAAAGCATTCACTCCCCAACTGAACATTGTTGCTGTTGTAGAACATTCATCCTTTTCCTTCTTTTTCTTTGTTTTGCAGTGACCATTTAAACATTCGGTAAATTCCGAATCACATTGCTCCTTACTCTTAGAACAATCAGTGTAACAAATATCATGTTCATTACAACAATTAGTAAATCCAATCTTGTCTGAAATGTGGTTAAATTCACCCGAAGGTCCACATCCATTAAAAATAGCCTTATAACCTGCTTTTTTAATTAATGATTGTCCCTTTGGACAAGTCATTCCACAGACTTCATTCTCTCCACCTCCGAATAAATCCTCCAAATTAATTTGTTGCATATTTGAATTTTTAGCTGAGACATTCTCAATGACAAAATACGACACAATCACGATGATGATGGTAATCATCAGAACAACAAGGAAGCTTTTGCCTACCACATGTTGATTCATTTTTTTTAATTCCGGAATAAAAAACGTGTTTTTTGTACTGCCTTTTCGATATCTTTCAAATTTCACAAAGATTTTCATTTTCTAAGGTCTTGATAATCAAGGGAGTAATTATTAAAAATCATGCTATCGAGCAAGTCTCAAGTACGCACGCAGATTGTAATCTCTTTAAATTTGTTACTCGTCATGACTTGAATGTGCCCACAATCAAAAAAATGTCCACAACCACACAAGCACTCATTTTCACTAATTATCCTGAAGGAATGATCAAGGAGACAGATTTTGAATATACCGATCAAGTTCCGTTCAATTTTGATCAATCACTTGATCAAGATCAAATTATGGTCCAATTATTGCACATTTCTGTTGATCCATATTTGAGAGGAAGAATGAGAAAGAATGCAATGGCAAAACATTATGCTGCAACCTTTCAAACTGGTAAGCCTATCAGTAGTGGATGTGTTGCCAAGGTTTTAAAATCCAATCATTCAGTTTTTAAAGAAGGAGATGTTCTTGTTGGTCATTTCGAATGGCAATTACATCAAATTGTAAAGATTGACCAAGATCAAGTGAAAAATTATCAAAAAGTTGACCCAAATATTGGTAAAATTCCACTTTCATATTATTTGGGAGCTCTTGGTATGCCTGGAATGACATCTTACTTTGGATTCTTGGATATTTGTCAACCAAAAGAAGGAGATGTTGTGGTTGTTTCTGCTGCATCAGGAGCTGTTGGAAGTTTGGTAGGTCAAATTGCCAAAATTCATGGATGTAAAGTTATTGGTATTACTGGACAACCTGCAGAAAATCAACAAGAATTGAAAGATTTAGGATTTGATGTCATTCTCAATTACAAAGATTACAACAATGATCCAATAGCTCTCAAAGATGCAATTGAAAAAGCAGCAGAACCAAAAACTGGAATTGATTGTTATTTTGATAATGTTGGAGGTTTCGTTTTGGATGCAGCAACTCTTGCCATGAATAGATATGGCAGAATCTCATGTTGTGGATCAATTAGTGATTATAATATTGAAGATAGAATGAGTAATCTTGGACCAAGATTGAACTATCTCTACATTACCAGAGAATTATCTGTTAAGGGATTTATCGTCTCTTCCTTTTACAATCGATTGGATGAAGGTGTCAAGAAAATGACTCAATGGGTTAATGAGGGAAAACTCAAGGTTTTGGAATCAAAAGTACAAGGTTTGGAAAATGTACCAAAGGCCCTCATTAAACTCTTTACTGGTGATAAGTTTGGAAAGATGATTATCGATTTGTAAATTAAAAAATTGGTTTAAAATTTAATTGTTTTTTAAAAAGTAAAAAAAATGTCTGCAAACATCCTTAAATTACCCGAGATTGTGGCTTCCATCTTTTCATTTTGTATTAGACCAGCTGTTTTATTTCGATACAATCTGGTCTGCAGTGCTTGGAATCAAGTGGTTGAAGAGGGCGATTTCTTCAAGGAACATTCAAAGGAATGGAAGCCATTGATTACCAGAATTGATAAGGCTTTTATGTGGACTGAATATTATACCTTGTATGATCCGATTGTTTATGATCATTATTTGGAATTTAAAAGACGATTAAGAATATTATCGAGTGATGATGAACAACACTGTTCAGTTAGAGCTTGCTTCCGACCATGAAAGGTTCACTTTCCGATTAATGTCACTATCTAAGGATAATTTTGTGATTGAAACTGAATGTGATGATGATAAGAATATTGTTAGTAATGGAAGAACATTAACAATTCATGCCATTAGATCATCTTATTATGATCACATGGTGGAGACTGATATTGAGGAAGTGAAAGAGATAAATCTTCAGAGTTTGACTTCATTTAAGGATTCACACTTTCCAAATGTCCCTATTGATGGGTTTTATTCAATTTTGATGAGTTTGGTTAATGGGGAATACAGTTCTAATGTTAATGATTATTTGATAGATTATGGAATTGATGGGTTTTTTAGAAATATAGAAAAATCAAAGGAGAAGGTAATGAAATTATACAAGGACCATCATTTTGACGATTCTTTACTGCTTCGAACTTTGAAATGTAAAAATATTGAACTCACTGAAAATCTTATGAAAAAAGGCCACATACTAACTTTGGAACAAATGCAAAACATTACAAAAAATATCAAGAATGTTGATTCATTTACTGTCTTATTCACATGCAAATATTTGAAATTCAACAATATTGATTTTAATAGATTTCTCCCAGATGTTGAATCGATTCTAGATAGCACTCCCGAGGTTTGTGAAATATTCATAGAAGAAAAGATTGTCGAATGCCCAGATGTCTTGATTGATATTGTTAATGAAACCACTCATGTAAACTATCCTGCTCTCCAATATTTGAAGCAAGTCAAACCAAGTCTGATTTGTCCACTAGATACTCGTTCAATTAAGAAGAAAGGTCAACCAAAGATACTAATTCTCTTTGAGAATCCAGCACACGAAAAAGAACAAAAATACCTCTACTCATCCATGACACGAATAACTTGTAAAATATTCCCTCAAAGTTTGGATAGAGAGAAGGTACTAAATAATCTTACTGAGAAATGTAGCAATATGGATGTAATTCTATTTAGGCCAAAAACTTTCTCTGAGGATAAATTGAAAGAAACCTTGGAACTAATTCAAAAGGCCACCATCAATACCAAACCAATTATTGGAATAGTTTGTTTCTATTCAAATCTATCAGAAAACAAACAAGCACTCAGGGAAGTGTTTAGAGCGGTGAGAGATGTCTATTTGATAATAGAAATCTATCCATGTCCACCTTTTTCTCAATTTACAGAAATATTTTACTGTAATCAAAATCTATGCAACATGTAAATACAATTTTCCAGGTTATTGTTTGAAATCCGAATAATGATGAGATAGTTTCATTTAGCAATAATCCCCCAATCCATCACTCCTATTTTTTCATCATGAAAATTACTCATTCTCTTCATCGGAATGAAAAATCAGATATGAACCTTGTGTTGTTGTGTTACTTGGAGAAGTAACTATGCACTTTGAACATAGCTCATTCATTATTGTAACAATTCATCTCTCTTATTGCTTTTGTTTTCAATTACAAATCAACTAAATATGAACCGTTGGACAATGAGAAATTTGTAAGCTACAAGATACCAGTATGTAAAGTGGAGCATCAAGTTTGCCTATTATTTCTTTTGAGGTTGCTTTGGGTACGGTTTTCCTGTTTCGCTCTAAATAGTAACCTTGATTAAATTGATAAACCTCTTCCTCGTTCAGATTATGTTCACTTTGTTTGGAAAGGTTTTTTGATAACTTGTCACCATGAATTGATTCCATACCGAAGAGCCAATTCTTGAAGATATTTACAAATTGTAAAGTTATTGAATAGTAGACCGGAAAGTTTGGTTTAGAGAAATATTGAGGCAAACAAATGAATTGAGCACATGAAATTTTGACCATCCATGTAAAAGGGAACTTTTAATTTATTTATCACATTTTTCTCCGAATTGTCTTTCGTTCACAACTTATTCGAAACGAAACTATTTGCCCAGAAACAAACTGCAACTAATCAACATGAACCTAATATCTTTATCAGTGATTGTTAAAAAGATTTGTTCTTTGTTCATTATCAACCCTTTCATGATGCAATTCATTATTGATATCAGGTTCCATCAACACAGATATTCTTCACTCAATTAACCATCAATGGATGACGTTCAGAATTTGGTTAGTGTTGTGTATGACAACTGTTTCATCACCCAACTTCTTTTTGACGCTGGTTGATGGTGGACTTTTGACAGCCAATTTTTTGATGGCACGTTCCCAAACGAGATGCGCGTCAACCTCATGAAAAACATTTTAAAAAAAATTGCTTCAACTTGTGTGTGTTTGTAGAGCGCGCCGTTTTAACGACATTTCAACTTCTCTCGAACCGCAAAACAAACTTTTTACTTTACGAGCGCAACGTTCATTGATCAAAACAACAAGAATAACAACAACTAAATAGAATAGAACAATATATATAGAATACAATGGCTTCTATTCAAGAACAAATTAACAAGGCTCGTCAAGAAGCCCAATCTTTGCAAGATCAAATCAAGAAGAGTATGGAAGGTGGTAATGATGCTAAACGTAAGTATATACTTTGTATTCGAAATGGTCAATTAACCAATCTATAACCAATATTATTTTGTTGTTGTTTTACAATGTTTTTTCACCGTTATCTAAACAAATAATTTTTACACTTGTAACAACAATAATAACCAACTAATAATAACAATTTAAATTTGATCAAAACTAGTCAACAAACTTGATGTTCCAGCTGTTGGCCCATATAAATTCAAAGTTAGAAATACTCTTCGTGGACATTTGGGTAAAGTTTACAGCTGTGCTTGGAGTCCAGTTCCAGATAGCAAATTGTTGGTTTCTGCCTCTCAAGATGGTAAACTTATTATATGGAACGCATTGACAACATTCAAACAACATGCTATTACTCTCCGTACTAACTGGGTTATGACTTGTTCATACTCAAATTCTGGTCAATATGTTGCTTCTGGTGGTTTGGACAATATTGTTTCCATCTTTAACATTAACCAATTGACTGATGCTTCTGATAGTACTCAACCAACAACACCTCACCGTGAATTGAGTCAACACACTGGTTATATCAGTGCTTGTAAATTCATTTCAAATGATAAGCAAATCTTGTCAAGTTCTGGTGATATGACTTGTATTTGTTGGGATATTGAAATGGGTCGTCCAATCAAGACTTTCCAATCACACACTGGTGACTGTATGTCTGTCTCTGTTTCTCCTGATGAATCTCAATTCGTTTCTGGTGGTTGTGATGCCTATGCCAAGTTGTGGGATATTAGATCGGGGAAGTGTGTTGCTACCTTTGGTGGTCACGACTCTGATGTCAACTGTGTTCAATTCTTCCCTAATGGTTTGTCATTTGCCACTGCTTCTGATGATAACACTTGTAGACTCTTTGATATTCGTGCCAGCAGAGAATTGATGGATTATAAGGATGATTCCATCAGAGAAGGTGCTACTTCCATTTCATTCAGTAAGTCTGGACGTTTGATGTATGCTGCCTACGATGAAAAATCTGTTGTTGTGTGGGATACTTTGAAGGGAAAGATTGTTCAAAATTTGACAAGCGAACAAAATGGTCCAGAAGGAAGAGTTGCCTGTCTCGCTGTTAGTCCTGATGGTAATGCTTTAGCTACTGCCTCTTGGGACTTTAACTTGCAAGTTTGGGCTTAAATTATTGTAGTTTTTACACAATAATTCTCTCTTATTCTCTCATTCTCCTCCTGCCACCCAATGTTTGTTCGCACAACCACAAACATCATCACCATCAACTCATTCACATCATCATCATGTACACTTTCTAAGTTTGTAAACTTACACACACAATAAATCTAAAATTATTTAAAAAACCTTCCTTACAACAATAGTACTACAACAACTAATTTTCAATTGTTTGCTTTACTAAATCTCAGTAAATTGGAATAACTGGAATGTAATTAGTATTGGCATTACTAATAAATGATGTTATATCACCACCAAATCCGTTATCAGCATGATATTTCATTCTCAATTGAAATGCTCTTGCATTCAAGTTGGAATTGAGTGGTTGAGCTGGGAGGGAAATTAACGTACCAGCCACCGAAAGAGTTTTTGAACTTCCTGTTGCATCATACGAAAAGTAATCAAGTGAATAGGTAATAGTGAACGGACTCAAAAACTGTGGAAGTGCAAACTCTGCAACTTGTTGAAAATAATCTTTGGAAGTTATTTGTATTGAAATATTGGTTCCAACATTCAGATTAAAGTAAATGTAATAATTATTGTGGTATCTAGTACTGACTGAGAATGGAACCTTGAAATAAATCCAACCATTGGTTTGATTTTGCATTTCAATGGTTTGGAAAGATATGGTTGGAGGTATAAAGTTCTCATTCACAAAGTACATATCCAATTCCATTGGCACACCATCTTCTGTCAATGATCTGACAGTTTTCAAGATTTTAATGGATGAAGGAATGCTTCCAGGAATCACTTTTAAAACTCTATTGTTATTCGAATTGTCCAATTGTAAATAATTAGAATAAGAACCAATTGCCTGATTATTATTCAAATAATCGAATGCAGTTAAAGCTCCAGCTCCAGAAACTGCCAACCAATTTGGTGGCTTTAGCATGTAGAGAGAATAGGATGTGGCAGCTGCAAATGCAAACCAATGACCTACACCACTTGAATAACCCCAACTTATTCCAGACGAGTCGGTCCATCCAGAGTAAGCAATTCCATTAAAAGCTCCCATATAATTAGATGCAGTATAGACATATTTTCCCACACTTACAAATGCATGAACTCTTACTGAACGACTTCTTCTCAGATAGATATTCGCTGGAATGCTAATTACTGTGCTATTTGCAGCAGCAGACATTATGGAATCCATATCTGAATCACACTTTGTGTCTGGAACTATAGTATCTGTGCATTTCCATGAAATACTACTCAATGGATCTGCGAAGGAAGATTGAGGAAAATTGAGAGTAAGTTTGTATGGGAAATCAGGAGAACTGGATGTGAAAGTGGTAACAGTGGTTGCTGTGAAGGATATTTTGGTCAGGACAGGAATGAAAATCAATCGATGACTTCTCGAAATCAGCAGTTGGTTGGTTGTCATGTTGTAAACTCTCAAATTGATTGTGTAATTTCCATAACCTGATACGGTACTCTTGACAATTGCCAGTTCGTAATTAGTATTTTCAGTACAATTGTAATCAAATATTGTGGTTGTTGGTTTGACATTTGCAGAATTCAAAACTTCCCAAGCAACTTTCACAGTTGGATGGTTGACTTCAATACCATTAATGGTAATTTGTTTCTTGATAATGAATGACTGAGTTAGCGTTGTTACTAAATCAGTGGTATAGTAGAATGGGTTTGTGTTCAATAAAATCTTTGCTGAAATTATAGGAACTGAGTTTTGACTTGAGCTACTTGTTGAACTATCTAATAATTTTGTTATATTCAAAAATGCTGATTCGCTCCAAACATTGAATCTGTTTTTCAGTTTCAACTGAATCACATGACTACCGACTGGTAAATTAGTCAATTTAATGGATTTTGCATTCGTTCCACTCTTTGCATGAATAGATTGATTCAGATTTGAAATTTCTTGAATGGAATTCAATGAGCTAGTAAATAAATACCATTCGAAATATAAATTCTCGTCATACAACTTTTCATTTCTTGAATTGATCGCGTTCAGTGCAATGCTTGATTCGTACGTAATTGTTGAATTGAGAGTTGAAATGAAAGGCAGTGGTGGAATAATCTCTTGTGGATCTGATTGGATTCTTATCAATTGATTGGAAGAGGGATCTTCAAAATGGAGTATTTTGAATTGTAAATCATCTCCTGGAACTAGTTGTGAATCTGAAGGAAGTTGAACAACCATTTCTCCTTCTAAATATTCTAAAGATGAAATTGTAAAATTACAATAAACTGGAAGTTGACCAATTCTTGGAGAGTTAAAGAAAGTGTTGCAAATTGGATTCATTGTGGTTTCAATTTTGAAAAGTGTAGCAATTGGAGCTATTATTGTAAACTTTACAAAATATCCAAATTTATCGAATGAAAATTTTGAATTCTTGACATGAGTTTTACACTCCATTCCATAATATCCATCTAGACATTCATTACAAGTACCATTCGTCCAATACCCATGATCCAAATCATGATAACAATCACATAAACCATCTCTGGAACATTCTCCATTTCCATTACAAGTACTATTCGAAACACAATTCACTTGACACGATGGACCAAAGTAATTCTCTTTACATTCATCACAATAACTTCCTACATAAACATCACTGGAACATGAACAAGATGAATTATCTGGAGAGCAAATTCCCAAATTATTACATGTCATTTCATTTGAACATGATAATTGACTTTTACAATTATCTCCTGAATGGAATGGATCACAAACTGAACAGTCATCTCCAAACCAATATCCATTTTGAGCAGATGAATAACATTCACACATGTCCAGATCCATACATTGTCCATGTCCAGAACAAACCAATGAATCATTTTGTTTCAATCCAAAACAAGTTGACATTTCGCATGCATCTCCATAGAATCCTAATTGACATTCACATCCTGATTGAGAACAATTTCCCCTTCCTAAGCATACTCTTGAATAATCAGTTGAATTGTAAAGTGTCATGTTCTTTCCTAAACATTTGACTTGTTCACATTCCTGTCCATCGTATGGATGTGGACACAAGCATTGATTCATCGACACGCATTGTCCAACTCCTCCACATACATATTCATGATCCATTTCCAAACCATAACATGAAATCTTTTCACAATCTGATCCAGAATATCCCAATTCACATGAACATGTATTCGTTCCAATACATTTTCCATTTCCAGAGCAAATTTGATTTGAAACGCTCTCATCAGTTGCATTCAAACCATTACAAAACAGATCAATCCTAGTATTTGTAATAATATTCGAATTGGATCCTTCCTTTTCACACTCGTCTCCATAAAAACCTAATTGACAAGTACAAATTCCATTATTGCCACACGAGCCTCTTCCTGAACAAGCTCTAGTATCTGTGGAGTTGTAACTGCCACAATATTTCTTCGAACAATCCACACTATAATATCCATCATCACAATTACACACGTCCATGTCGATGCATGCTCCGTGTCCAGAACAGGCATCACTCTTGGAAGCCTTTTTTCCATAGCAAAATAATGAACTAGTCTTGAACTGGCAACTGAATCCACCATAGCCATCTTCACACTTTACAAAATGTTAACTATTAACGAAACATTTCAAATAATTACCTTACATAAATTTGGAGAAATACATGTTCCTCTTCCAGAACAAACTGTTGCACTATTTGAAGTGATTTGGAAACATCTCGGCACTGAACAATCAATTCCCAAATATCCCTTATTACACGAGCAGAATCCTGTTGATCTACATTTGCCATGTCCACTACAAACCAATGGATCATCTGGGGAATAGCCAAAACACTTGGCAATTTCACATTGTGTTCCAGTGGCCAATTCATTACATTGACATGTATCCACTGATGTACATGTACCATTCCCTGAGCAAACAGTGGCGGAGGAAGCTGAAACTCCAAAACATGTTATTGCACTTCCCTCCACTGCATCTCCACTCCTTAGCGTAGACAGTATTATGGCTATCAGAACCGAAGTTAAAATTAACAAGTGTCTTCTTGTGTTGCAGATGTGAATATTTGTTCGTGTCATGGTGGCTTTAATTAAGGGAAGTTTAATTAATTTGTTTTTTTTCTTGATTTTACGTTTGGATTAAGGAAGCATTTGAACAGTCATCATATTACATGGTCTAAGTAAGGGCGGTGTTTCCAAAATTTTGGATGCAGGAATCAGGTTGTAGGGTGATTCTTAGATGCAGATTGCTTTTCTAAATTAGTTCCTCCCTAATTTGTTGTGGGTAGTGCCTATTCTGTAATACAGAGAGTTTTACAATTGAGATGGAATGGAAATGTCGTATAAGTTGAGAAGTGGTTCATCTATGGAATATAATCAGTCCTCCTCCTCCTTGCAGAATTTCAACAACACACAGTATCATTTGTGGGATATCTAAATCAGCAATGGTTCAATACTAGCATGTGCATACTGTCTTTGTCACATCCAACATGTTTATTAAAGGTCTGAAAGTTGTTCAACAGCTTCCTTGATTGGTTTTGGGAAATACTTGAGTGTGAATGTCATTTCTGTACTTTCGGTAATGTTAATTCTGTGACATTTTCCAACGAGTTTCAAAAGACATTTGCAAAAGTTTTGAATGATTTCCATTTCATCATCAACCTTTTCCAAGTCAATTCCTAAAATATTCTCAATCAGTTGAGGAATAGTGGAATCTTCTTCTTGACCATCTATTTCAAGGGAAATGGTATCCCTTTCCTCTTCTGTAAAGGCATAAAGCATTTCATGTTTCAATGAAATTTCAGTTAATTTCCCATTTGCCAATTCAAATACAGCAGTTGCAAAAAATCTTTCCTCCTGAATGTATTCTGTAAAACCAATATAATAAGCTTCATGAATCGTGTAATACTTGAGCTTTGATTTAAGTTGTTGGAACATGGTTTCATCAATGTTGATATTGAAATCACGATTAAGCCAAGATTCCTCGAAGAGGAACAAGTTATGAGCCTTTCTTGCAGATTGTTTCAGAATTTCACTTCTGATCATGTCGAAATATTCCATTTTCTGTGAGAAACTCAAATCAGAATGGACAATCGGATTGAGAATCATCTCTAAACATTTCAATCCTTCTTGTACTTCAATACTCTCGGCTGATTTGTTGAAAGCATCATCGTCTTTAGATTTCAATTCCTTAATCATACTCTTCATGACATTTGAATTCGTATCAACCATTGGTTCCATGCAACAATATTCTTTAGCACCAGCACATGTCATTAAAAAAGTGAGAAATGCTTTCCAATCCCATTCACTTGGAATTTCTAATTCTTTCATAACATTGTTAATTGCTTAATGTCAATTTTACCACTGCCCATTGGTTCATCTTCCCAAGTATAGTAATAATTCAAATACCAAATAAGATTCTTCTCTTGAAAATTTGAATCTCTCACTTTCAAATCATAACTTCTCTCCAAATTATCCACTCTAGTATTTGGTCCATAAACATAATGTTGAGTAAAGATCATAAACTCTTTTGATTTCTTTAAAATTTTCAATTCTGATCTTCCTCCCTGAGTTTGTGAAAAAACTCCACCCACATATGAATTGAACGAAACAATTCCACTCTTAAATAAATTGGAATAAGTCTTATTCATGCAGAGTACGTTAAAATTGGTATCATTTTCTAATAGATATTGAAAATAGGATATTCTATCATCAAGGACCATGCAATTTCTAATTTCTGCATTAACTTTCAGCAGACAACCTTGCAAAAAATCACAAGATTCATCCTTTACTTTTGCATTCATTTTGGATAATCTATTCAAAAAGAATAATTCATTATCATTGGATTCAATAGATTCGGAAGAAATTCGTAATTCCTTGTTGATTGATTGGTTGACCAATCGGAATGTTAAAACTTCTCTGAAGGTGAGAAAGGAGTAGACATTTAACAACACAGCACTATTGAACCATGAGGAGTGATCGTGTGTTGTTGATTTTGCTTTTTTAGATTCGGATTGGGAAGATTCGTCTGTTTGCTTTCGTTTCATTTTTTTCAAGTATTTTCTGGCAGATTCAGAATCAAGTTACAACTTGTTCAAGGCTTTGATAATCTTGAAAAGTAAATCCATTGGTGATTGAATAACCCCTGCAAAAATATTCGGAAATATTAATTGTTAAATTTCCGAACCTTTAGATTAACCTCATGTGAGCAAGCTGTGTTGGATTTGATGATTATTCAATACAGCTTGAAAAATTACAATGCATTCTTTACTTTCCACTGATTTTCTAATTGTAAAGTAAACATGATGGAAAATAATAAGCAAAAGGTAATGAAAGTTGGAACCTTGGTGCAATACTACGTTAGTATTCGAAAATTTTCAACGATTTTCAAAAGTTGTTGGTTCCTACGATTTGTAAATGAAATACGCATTTGCCGTAATAAGTCTAATTGTGATAAGAAATAGAACTTTATCTATTTACTCAATTTCATAACTGTTCGAATGATTCAAATATTATTTGAGTGAGTTTCAAATTACCAAATCTCACACTAATTCAATTACTAGGTAGAATCCCATGTTACAATAAATCCCTGCTAGAGAATGAATCAATTCTAATCATTTCTTTTGAACAATTAATTTAGGCAACTTTCTTTGCATCATAATCTGGAGATTTTGTACCGTTCTTGACATATAATTCCTCACGAACAATGAATCTTTCAGGTTTGAAGAATGCAGCAATGTAAGGCAATACCAAACAAGGAACTGAAATCAAACACCAATAGGAAGGTGTTTCATGGAATTTACCAATTGTCAAGGTGACAGCCAAAGCAGCTAACCAACCACCAACTACAGCGCTTCCCATAATCCAACTCTTTCCAAAGAAATCATTATCTTTCACAGAATATCTGAAGAAATGAGGGAATGCAGCAACCAACAACCAAGTATACCATGAAATGCCATGTCCCCACAATGGATGATAAGGAAACATCCAATACAAGTGATTAGGTCCTTGCATGGAACACAACTTGGTATTAACATTTTGGATTTCAATTCCCAAAATATTACCAGGAACACCTTCTGGTCCATCATTAGCAATTCCAGTACCAAATCCACCAACTTGGAAATAACCCATTACCAAACTGATAGTGGCAATAATCAATGTAGCAAATGAACAACCCAAGGCATATCTGAAAGTACTTCTTCCCTTGGCTGTATTTTTAAGACACCAATAATTGTGTGCAATTGGTTGAGTCCAAATTAGAAAGTGAGCAACAATCGACAACGTAAAATTCGACGTGGTGCCACAAGTACCTTCAAGACCGTAATAATATTGCAAAAATTGTAAAAACTCCATCGATGTATATGAAAGATACATCAATACTTGGGAGATACTTCTTGCTCTCCATTCCTTTCGAATAGCAAGTGTTCTTCTAATTTGATCCAAAGTCATCAATCCTCCAAGGAGGGAAAAGAACAATGAAGCTCTGAGTGACCAACACATGTGTTAAGCTGTTTTGTTTTTTTAAATTGGAAAATTTGTTTTTCAGCGATTCTAGCGTGCAAATTCACGCGCAAGCTAATTGAAAGGCCCAACTTGTGTTACACATCAGAATATTTTTTGAATCTTTTGTTTACAATCAAGTTTTTAATGAGCGCTGTAAAAGTGATGTTAGCTAGAAATGGAAAGATAAATAATTTGGTAAGCCACAGCCATACAACAATGATTTTGGACTGACAACATTAATAATTATAGGGTGAGAAAGAAAAAACGGCACCTTTGCAAAGTTTAAAGGATGGATCTTCTCTTGATATTACAAATGGATTTTGAGATGATTTTGAAATTCTTGGAATCCATGAGACATGAACACCAAATGCTCTGGAGCATCCATTGGAATATTTTGTAATCTCTAATGCTGAGTTAAAGTTGGATTTCTTGTAATAAATCAATCCTTGGCAGTTGTTACTGGTACAATAGGAAAAGCCATCATTTGAAATTTTGATTAATACTTCATGAGAGGAAATGAGTGGGAGAGTAATACTTGGTGAACAAAACAGGAAATAAACAAGTGAGATTCCAATTGATTTCAATTCTGCTATGTAACTGTGAATATAATCGTCCAATTTGGCTAGTCCAATAAGTGTTAAAGAAATGAAATAGTTCACTTTCAATTGGGAACATGTCATTAATGAATCTTCTTGGTTATCGTTCTGTGTAACGACCCATTGTAAATTATCCAAATAATAAAATTGTTTTAAAAAGGAAATTGCAGATGTTGAATTTCTCAAATATAAATCCATTCGAAACTTGTTCCAATCCTTCTTCTCCACAAGTGCAAGATCATTTAATTGTACATATCCTTTACGTAATTCATTTGATGTTATATGTTCGATCCGATCGGGTCTTGGAGCATTCCTAAACCTTTCCGATAATACACGTTTTTGTAATCTTGTAATTGTTTTTTTCCAAGTTTTGTTCACTCTCTTGAATTTCCACTGATAGAAGTATGGAATGAATCCAAGAATGATATCTAATAAATCATCATAAATGTAAAACTCTAGTTGATCTTGTTGCATTTTTTTTAAAATCTAAAAAGGGAATTTCAAAATGTAAATTCTGAAATGTTTTTGAAAATCCATCATTTAAAATTCGCTCTCAAAAAGTTGTCATAAAATTACAACACTCAAGTCTTGTCTTCTTGGTTGGGCCACAATTTCACATAATATATTATATATTTCACATAAACAATTTTCAGTGCTGTAAAGACTACTGAACAGTACATTTCTTCTCCTTGTGGTTCTTGTTTGTTTCAATTTTTTGTGGGTTTTCCAAAATGTGCAAATGAGTATGTGTCAATAATCCAAGTCTCTTATCGAAATCAATTGTTCCTTCGCCTGTTTTTGCACTTGTTTCAATAAACGAGACAGCTCCTATTGCTTTTGTAAATTCAATTCCTTCCTCTTTTGAAATTGGTTCATCAACAGTAGTAGAATAAAACAAACTATTCCAGTAGAGTGAATCTTTGAGATCGTTCTTTGTGGAAACAACAACAAATGTAGCGGTAGGAGCACCAAGAGTGCATTCCCACATCAAATGCTCAACTAAATATTTCAAACTTGAAAAATCATTGATGGCATAGTTCATTGTAAAAAGATTTGTCTGAGGATAAGAAAGTGGTCGCAATCTATCATAATCTTCTCCACCTGCTGTGTCCCAATATGCAACAGAAAAATCTGCTTGAGTTTCAATACCATCTACTATGCACTGTACATGCTCCGTTTTTACAAAACTGTCAAATACAGTTGGTGTGTAATCTTGAGGAAAGGAATGATACCCAACCCTATTCAAGAGACAAGTTTTTCCAACAAATGTAGCACCCATAGAAACCCATTTGAGATAATGATAACCGGTTATTGGTTGACTTTTTGGTTCTAATCTCAGTGGTTCTTGGAGAGGTGTTTGAATGGATGACTCTTCAATAAATATTTGTTGAGCAATTCTCTTTCTTATAATACTTTCACATTTAGTATTTTTAAAAGTACCATTCTCTAGGGCTATTTTTGAAATATTATCACTAATTGATCTAATATATGATATTCTCTTTTGTCTCTTTTCTTGGAAAACTTTCCAATTATTTTCATCAATTCTCTTCCAAATTTCCTTGATGAATCGAAATCGGTAATTTCCTTCTGTTTCTTTCCATCCAATTTTCGTACACAAAACATTGTTAATTAATTCCATCTTGTTATTGATTAAATCTTTCCAAAACCAATCACTCCACGAATAAATCATCAAACATTTTCCGAAATTAATTGTATTGATCAAAGTTTGATTATAAAATTCGTTTTGAATTTCCTCAGATTGTGGACGATAGAATAAACTGGCCAAACCATTTAATTCTACCCGAGAGAGAAACTCCAAAATATAGAGCATTACATTTTGATCGAGTTTGTTAATAGATGAAAAGAGTTCCTTCTCTGTTGATCGTTTCATTTTTTTGATGAGTTTATTTAGTAAACAGGGCCACCAAAGCTATTAGAAATGATGGAAAGGCACTTTCGAAGACCAGGTGGAATAGTTGCAGATCCCTTTCTACAACTTTCCACCTTGATATGCATCTTGTCTACTTTGAATAATAGTGGTACCTCGACTCCATTTTTCATTCCTATTGTTGTAATGCACTGAGAGAGGAAGTTGTGTTCGTCATTTGAAACAATTTTCATAGCATCAATAATCTCAGCATAAGAGTCAGACTTCCATTTTAGATTGGTGATTTCATCCATTTTGTAAACAGTTCCGAATGAGACACCTTCCTCACTTGATTTCTTTCTCCACATACTATGAGGGGATGGCCTGAAATGAGATTTGAGAAGTTCCATAACCTTAGAAGGATTGCTTAATTTGATGAGTGCTCCATTCTGTTGCTCAGGAATCAAGTCTCTAATTGTTATTTCATCAGGAATATTTGAATCAATATCTCTAACATCTAGAAATGAACCATGATCCAACAAAGGAACCTCTCTTTTTGTGACAGGAATGGTGTAATTTTCGTACTTGTTTGATAATTGCTTAGAGCAGAATGGCCAAGTTATAAAAGCCTTCTTCAATTCTTCATGATGTATGCAATGAGATCTTCTGTGTTTACAAGTATAGCCTACATCTCCCTTGACTTGATTTTCAGGAGTGAATTCTACAATCTTTAAATCAAACTTGATATCTCCATTGACATTCTTTAGTATTCTCGCAAATTTCTGCCATTCAAGACCTTCTAGCCTTTTCTTCTCATAATCTCCAAAGTTTTTAGCCAATTTTACACTATTCTTGCAATTTATCTTGACTTTGATTCCATTAATCAATGTAACTTCAGGGGTTATCATTGTCTTGTTGATGTTTGGCTTTGTTGATTTGGCTACCTTCTCCTTTAAGGTTTCAGCCATAGATAGAACAGGCTTGATTCGATGATGATATTGATCAGTAGCCTCCCTTTGACTTGAATGATCCTTAGCCTTTAAAGTAGTCTTACTATTCTCAATGTTTGATTTTGTTATGGTGGTTCTTTGAGCCATTTTTTTTAGGTTGTTTTTTGAATTGTGACTTCCATCAGAAATTTCAAAACTTTGATCGACAAAATGTTTTGCTTTTAGGACGGTTGAGAGTGATATTGAAGAAACGTGATTGGATGCCCTGAATAGCAGAGACATGTTCAAAACGTATCGGAGACCAAGATGAAGGTTAACCTTGTGAATTCCCAACCCTTGCATGGGTTGTTGAATACAATATGTTATCCTGAGTTCTCAACCTCTAAAAACCTCTCTGATTGTGAGACTATACAAGCTATTATTCTATACAACAATCACTGGTGATGTTGATATTAAATATTTTGATGATGGTGAAAACAACTATTTCAATGATGAAGGCAAGCCTTTGGATTTTCGCGCCATTTTTTAAATTTGTTAATTTTAAAAAAGTCTTAAAAACAAGAAACAACACTCATTTTCATATCATCATGAAATATTAATAATTTAATGATCGGATTATTGTTGGTATTATTTGTATGTACAAGAGGAGGATTAATGGATAGATTACATGGATTTAAAAATTTGCAAAATATAATACATTGCAAAGGCAACTCGAACATAATTTGGTGATTGGAGCATGGCTTTGGCCAATGGAAGATTATACTTGTTACAACTCTTAGGGTCTAATTGCCCCAGCTGATAGCAGTAATCACTCAGGAACTGTATTGTATCTGCACGGTATTTGTGAAAGTCATTCACATTGGTCCAGTTGCTCTGAACTGTTTCTTTCCATTCCTTGTAGGAGATCGAATCAATAGTATAGAACAATTGGCCAAACTTGCATGGCTCATCGAAGAAGGAAGCATCAAAGAATAGACTCATGTTAGCTTTTAAGTAGGAGGTGTTGTGCTGTTTTTTTGTATCGCCTTTCTAGCAGAGGAGCAAATATTTTTGAATTATTTTTGCACGTTTGGAACGCACAAACAAAATTGTTTTGGAGATTTTTGAGTTTGTGTAATTATTGTTGCTTGTAATGTATTGGATTCCAAACTCTAACAATCTATCTGCAAGTTACAATGGAAACTTGTTTGATTTGCTTCAAAACAATTGTGAATTAATTTTGTGAACTTGTGCCATTTCCATATATTTTAGAATCTAAACTTTGGGAAGATGAGATAAATGTTATCCATGATTGATTAAAAATTTTATGAGCAAATCCAATATTTAGAATAATATACAATTTATAGTTTTCACACAGTTAGAAAAATTTTGAGATTTGTAAAATTACAATCCTAAAAGTTGTTTCTTCTTGAGTTGGAATTCTCTTTCAGTGATAATTCCCTTGTCTCTTAAATTACCAAGCTTTTCCAATTCATCCAAATTTGATCCAGAACTTGATTTGCTTGATGTTGAAGTTGATGGTTTGATTTTAACAACTTCATTCGAGATGGAACGACCAGTGTCGTGCTTGATTGAACCACCAGTTTGTTGAGAGAAGACTCTTGAATCTCCAGTATTATTGACCTTAACAACTTCATGTGAAATGGAACGACCAGTGTCGTGTTTGACAGATCCTCCTGTTTGTTGTGAGAAAACTCTTGAATCACCAGTGTTATTCACTTTAACAACCTCCTTTGAGATTGATCTTCCAGTATCATGCTTAACAGATCCACCAGTTTGTTGTGAGACAGCTCTAGAATCTCCAGTACTCTTGACCTTAACAACTTCATTAGAAATTGATCTTCCAGTATCATGTTTAACTGAAGCAGCTCCAAATTGTTGACCAACTTCAGCATTTGCTTGTCTCAATTGTCTTTCAGTAAATTCAATTTCCTTCTTATCAGAAATCTTCAATCCCAAAGTAGGTAAATTATATCCAACTCTCTTCTGAACAACTGATCCAAAACTATATAAGGCCATAATTACGAGTGGAATGTTTTTTCCCTCATATAAATCAACACTCATAAATGTGTTATGAGTATCTAAACCTAATTCTGCAGCTGCCTTCAAGAAATAACCAATATTCTCCATACACATGAATGGCATCTTACCAGAGTTGATGGTTTTCACAATTCCTGGTTTAATCTTGTTGGCAAGTTTACATAATAAAACGCCATCTTTGAGTGATTCTTGAAAGTCGTTGGAGGAGAATTTGGTGCCAGTGACTGCTTCGATCCATTGTCTGACTTCTTTTTCTTTCTGTGGATCGTGTTTTCCTGCTTGTTTTTTGGCCTTTCGTATAGTTTTAGTTTTTTAGGTTGGAAAGAGAAAGAAACTTACTAATTCCTTGTCTAAACCGTAGACTGGTAAACCATTCTTATCATGAACGGTTGCTTGGCTTTTGTTGGTGTAGTGAGACATTTGGTGTATTTTTTTTGTTGATTTTTGACGTTGAAGTATGACAGGACTTTTACTTGATGACAAGTTAATCGGATTTTTCACACTACGGTTTTTGATTTGAGCAAAATCTTCACCCATCTTTATCAAAAAACTGTTCACAAGATCTGTAAGTGAAAAAATTATCAATTTACTTTTTAGTAAATTGATAAAAATTGATAATTGAACATATTCATCATCTGAAAACTTAATTCTATGAGAAGATGAATTTCTATTTTACAAGAAAATGCAACGAGTATTCATTCCCTTCATTGTTGGTTTGTTCTGTTTATTTGTAACTATTCGAAAGGTTTCTGGAAACAATTCAAACTTTGAGAATTATTCGAAAGTTGAAGATGTAAAACTTCCATTGAATTGTAGTACTAGCATGTCAGTTGTGTTTCCAACTGAATTGTTATTGCAATCTTTCTTACATGAAAAACATTCGAATAGCAACTTTACTTCTCTTTGGATAAATTTCATGATCGCCTCGAAAAGGGAAGGAATCGAATTGGCAGAATTTGGATTAAACTCTCAAAATTCGAATCAAGAATTTCTCTCCTTAATGCAAGAAATGAAAAATAACGCAACCGAAACCAAAACTAAACTAGAAGAATTACTTTTCACTCTAAATTTACCTACAATGAATGAAATGCAAGCACTAGTCTATGGAAACGATTGTTCTCTAAGGGCAGTTCCATTAGATTCCATTCGAGGTCCATGCGATTTACTCTTCATTTCAATTCATCGTATGTCCATGACCAAAACCATGAATCTTATGGTTATGGCATTGAACGGAGTTGACCAAAGAGTTGTTTCGATTGCTTACAATGAATTGATTACTTCTTCAAAAACAATTGGTAAACTTTTGCAGTTATCCAAAAGTTTACAATGTTATCAAACTTTGTAAGAAGTATTGTAAGGAGAAACAAGGAGTTTCGAATATAAAGTTCCAATTGTAACTCTTTTTTAACATTATTTATGGTATTTTCTATTTTGAAACTTGGTGTTTTTGCACATTGTTCATTTTGAGTATGTTTTGAAATCCAAATAAATTCTCAAACTTTGACTTGCTATTCGAAACACACAAGAAAATGAAAATAATTCTCATTGCAACCTGTCTCCTTCTTGGAGCCATCCTTGTTTCCTGCCAGCAACAACAACAACAAGGTACTGATCAAACAAGCTCAACCTCTTCCAATCAATCCAACGATATCAAACTTCCATTGAATTGCAGCACCAGCATGTCAGTAGTCTTTCCAGCAGAAATAATTCTACAAGCCTATCTTGAAAGTGACACTGCCAATGTTACAGCTCTTTGGCTCAATATCATGCTAGCTTCCCAAAAACAAGGTGCCTCACTCACTCAATCAGCCATTTCCAAATATTCCTCCAATTCTCAATTAGTTTCACTTTTACAAGAATTGAATGCAAACATGACTCAAATGGAACAACAACTTTCTGGATTATTCTCATCTTTGCAATTGCAACAATTACCTGACATTCAAAATCTTACCTATGGTGATGATTGTTCATTGAGAGCTGCTACAGTTGATAATTTGAGAGGTCCATGTGATTTTATATTTGTCTTGATTCATAGAATGGCAATGGCAAAGGTTGTTAACTTGTTGGCCATTTCTGAAGGTGATATTAATCAACAAGTTGGTGATATTGCTTACAATGAATTGGTCAATTCATCCAATACTATTGAAAAATTATTGCAAATTGCAAAGGCATCCAATTGCTATGCCCAACAATAAACAGCATCTGATTGTTCAATTCACCATTTTTCATACCTGCCCAATATCTCATTTTACAGTAATGATCCTGCGCTTGTTCCAAATAAAATACTCCAACCCTTTTATATTTGTTCACACTACGGATTCCTTGGTCCGCATTTGCATTCTTTCCGTACTTTATTTTTTTTCCAAGTGAATCTTCACTTCAATTGCAGCATGTCCATACCTTACGCATTACCTTACGCCATTTATTAGAATGTCAATTTAATCTTCTTAAATACCAACACAACATTCTCACTCCTTATTCCTCTAATTTCGAAATTCAAGTCAAAAAAATCCAATCAACTGCAGACGACCTCAAGTTTACAAGCAATAACAACAACTTTCAATTTATTCGCACAATATTACATAGCATGAAAAATTTCAAACAATCCCGCGCTTCTTTTTCTTCCTTGATTGCTTCAACAACATCAAACACAACACGCACCAATGTTGTTAGTTCTGCTGCTGCTGTTGGTAGCAAGAGAAATATCTTGACTATTCAAAATAGGCTTCCGATTCTTTTAAACAATAAGAAAAATCAAACATCCACAACATTATCATCAGTATTGATAAACAATATTATCAATAACAGCAATAACAAGTATTACTACAACTACTCGACAACAACACACTTTCCAAGAGGAGCTTCCACTCGTTTGCAAACAACATCTTCCGAAGATTCTTGCCATCATACAATTATAACTACAATCATGTCTTCTTCTGCAGATCAACAACATCATCACGAACATAATGGCCAATGCTGTGGTGGAAATCATCAACAAGCACAACACTTGACTGTTAACGATGTATCACCTAACACTCTTTCTGGTGATGAATCAGAATTCAATTCGGGATCCTCTCATAACACAAAGAAGAAAGTCTCTGGTATTAGTATTAAGAAGAAATCATCTACTTCATCATTGGGTGAAGCAGGTTGTTCCCATCAAATTGATTATAGTCAACTTAGTGCTGCTAATAATCAAAATCCAAATCTTTCTCGTCCAGAACCATCTGATCCTAATGTTTCTTACACCATTGAAGGTTTATTACAAAAGAAACCAGCTGGTATTAATGTACCTATTCAATTCGAAGAAGAATTCACTGAAGAAGAACTTGTTGCTCAACAAAGTTATGAAAAGTTGTTGAATAACAATAAGGAATTTGTTTCAGACAAGTTGGGTTCTGATCCTGACTTTTTCAATAGAATCAAGGATGTTCAAAAACCAGATTACATGTTAATTGGTTGCAGTGACAGTCGTGTACCTCCTGATCAATTGACCAAGACCCAACCAGGTCAAATTTTCATTCACAGAAATGTTGCCAACTTGGTTGTCAATACTGATGTTAATGCCATGTCAGTTTTACAATATGCTGTTGAAGTTTTGCAAGTTAAACACGTCATTGTTATGGGTCACACTCGTTGTGGTGGTGTTATGGCTGCTTTGACAAACAAGCATTTGGGTTTAATTGACCACTGGTTGAGAAATATTAAGGATGTTTATCGTCTCCACAAGGCAGAAGTTGATGCCATTGAGGATAAGGATAAAAAGATCCACCGTATGATTGAACTCAATATTATTGAACAAACTCTCAATCTCTGTAAGACTAGTGTTGTACAAAATGCTTGGGCCAAGGGAAGAACATTACACGTCCATGGTTGGTTGTGTGATATTGAAACTGGTCTCATTAAGGACTTGGAAATTGAAGAAAAGCGTTGGAAGGAAATTGAAAGCATTTACAAATACGATTTTGAACTCTAAGTTATTAAAACCCTGTACATATACCACCACCATTATATAAATTATTAAATTTTGCTATTAATTGTATTGTGAAATGTTTTTTATTGACATTATTATTGACATTTCTATGAAAATTAAAGAATTGAGGAGAAGATAATGACAATTCCTAAACAAGATTTTATTGGAATATTTAAAGTTCAATGACAGTTGTCTTACTTCAAAAAGAGTTGACTATTCTTTTCAACATATTGTTCAAAGGTCAATAAACCAGGGAATAATTCTCTTGCTTCTTTAACAGCTTGTTGCTCATTATCTTGATAATAGCCACATTCATTAAAGTACATGAACATATTCTTTGCTTCAGAACCCATTCTTTGACCAACAGTTTCGGCATCCATTGCAACGTATTGAGTTGGGACATTTAATACTGTAGTGCAAATATCAGCCATTTCCTTAAGGGATACATAATCACCAGCAGTAAGGAGCTTTCTTCCATTGTAATTTTCTGGATGCTTGAATACTTCAGAAACAACAATTCCCAAATCATCAACTCCAAATACTGGAAGTTTTCTGTCAGTATTCACACCAGCAAAGATCATGGCACTAGCTCTGTCTTCATTCAATCTGAACATCATTCCAGGAAGATTGTCAGCGAAAAATGGTGGGTAAACAAAAGTCTTGAATGGAATGTTGGTCTTTCTTGCTTCTTGCTCAACCTTATTCTTGTTAGTGAAATGAGGAACTGAAATTTTACCACCAGATGCCTTAGTGACATCATCCAATGAACTGAAAACAAAATGTTGAACATTATTCTTAACAGCTGCTTCAACCAAATTCAATCCTTCGGTCAATTCCTTTTCATGATCAACTGAACCAAATCTTCCTGGAGTTGTTACACCAAAAACACCATAAGCACCTTTGAATGCCTCTGCAAGAGCTTCCTTATTACTCATATTGCATGAAACAATTTCAACACCTTGTTCGGCAAGTTCTTTGGCTCTGGCTGAGTTGGAATCTCTGGTAATTCCTCTCAATTTCCAATTGCCTTGCTTTTGAAGATGCTTAATGACACTTCCTCCTTGTTTTCCAGTAGCTCCAATGACAACAATTAATTTACTCATATTGTATACAAATATTTGATTTGTTTTTTTTGTTTTTGTTAATGTTGTTCAATAAGGTGATTGGCTTTTGAAAGAATTCATTTCTCCCGCTTGTTTTTCTTTCCGTATTTCTTCCACCTTGAGGTTTATTTCTTCCGCTGATACAAATCTTGTCGGAGGAAATGCATAGTGAAGTAAATGGAGTAACAACAAGTCCATTGGGAAGAACCCCTTCTATATCCTTCCCAAAATGAAATCATTTTTATGGATAGGTCAACTGTGCATATCTTTCAATGGTATTGAAATGCAATATCCAACAAATGAAATTTGAAAATCAAAAATATTGAAAGTTGAATTGATAAGGGTAAGAAAAGTTAGTGAAACAGTTTATTTCTTAACTGACTTTTTGGTGTAAACTGGCTTTCTAACCTTATTTTGTGTCTTGTTTTGTTTTCTCTTCAAAGACAAGTCTTTTAACTTTCTTCTGAGATCACTGTGCTCTCTATCAGGTGCACAAGCAGCACTCTTGTCTCTGTTATAACATTTACACTTGTTATTACCAACACATCTTCCTCTTCCATAACAGACATTCTTATCGGTGGATTTCTTTCCGTAACAAGTGAAAACTTCTTCCTTCTTTGGCTTCTTTAAACCAGTAGCTCTACATCTTTTTGGTTCGCTCAATTCTGGGGCAAAACATTCACACTTGTTATTGCCAACACATTTTCCTCTACGAGAACAGACACCCTTATCAGTGGATTTCAAACCGAAACATGTGAAAACTGGTTCCTCAGCACTAACAACATTGCAAGCAATGACACCGAGAATGGCTACAAGAACGACAATAAGCAAGCTCTTTCCAAAGAACATTTTGAAGAAGTTGTTTTGTTTTTTTAAAATGATGATGAGAGATGCAACTCTGTCTCCCTCATGAATTTAAAGCTTTTTCAATGTGAGTCATTCACATGACCATTTAAGAGCTTACTGTTTTCACATCCATAGAGATATTGAAGGTGGTAAAGAGTAATGAGGGCGACCAGCTGATTTGCATATGAACTGTTGGGTCTACTGGAAGGGTAGAAACAATTTTTAACAGAAGCTGTAATATGTTCATGGACAAAAATGATTTTCAGTACGGGGTCGTATCAATACAGAACATAATACTGCTAAATGGTTTACAGTTTTCCCATTTTGGGGATTCCCGCCCTCTATCTCTGTTAGAAACTTTCACAATCAGTGACCTTATCATTGATTTGGAATGTGTTAGGATGGCAAACATTAAGCAAAATCTCTTTTCAACACACATGTAACGCCATGATGAAGCTGCATTACATGATGATTCAGAAATTACGCAATTTAAGAAAAAAATCTAATGATGAGGAAGAAGACATATAATGTTGGATGTGCATATGATGTTGGTGAGGATACATATGGAAATGAATATTGAAAGTGATAGAACTATCAAGATATTTGAATGATGATTCATGTATTTTCGAATCGTGAAATATTCCAGTACTTTGATGAGATGTTGCACTAACGAACCAAAGGTAATCAAGTTTAGTAATCAAAATTTTCAATTTGGAAAATTGCATCTGATGAATTCCTAAAAATAACTTGTTTAAAAAACTTGGAGTATTCAGGAAATAGAATAATTTTCAAAATCTTTTGGAATTTGGTTGGAAGATTTTCTTAGATTGCCTTTTTGGTGTTAAAGATTGGAAACAAAGATATCAAACCCATTCAAATTGAGTAGAAAATTGTTTGATCACGAATGGAATTGGAAATTGAAAGGTATTTCACAGATGGGGTGGCCTTACCACGATGAATACACCTCAACCAGTCCAACTTAAAATCAACAACGAAGGATATTGTACATAATACTGAAGCACCACAAATTAGGTTACCAAGTTGAAAAAGATGTAAATTAACTTCAATTCAGTAAATAATTCAAAGATGAAGTTTCAATTTCGAATTGATAAGAAAATGAGAAACCAAAATTTGCACCAAGCTATTGAACATGTCTAATGTTCAATAAATATGAGGTTGATCAACCTTATCAATTTCTTCAACAAAACCTTACTGAACCAACAAGATTCTGTCTTCGTTGCCTTCACTGTTCATACAGTCAAAGACTGTAGCGGGATTGTCGCCATATTCCTGGCAGGCTTCCCGTCCAAAATACTAATTGAAATCAGTGTCATTAATATTTAACAACAAATTACAACCTGTAACTTTTAAGTTATTATACTAAGAATTTAGATTACAGATGGCTACGGCCATATCACGATGAATGCACCTCATCCCGTCCGATTTGAGAAGTTAAGCATCGTCGAGCCACATCAGTACTGAGGTTGGAGACAACTTGGGAACCTGTGGTGCTGTAGTCTTTTTGTCTTAAATACTCTCTGGTTTATGTATTGAACAACTGGCAAAAGGAACTCTCCCCCTGGTGGGCTCGAACCACCGACCTGCAGATTAACAGTCTGACGCTCTACCGACTGAGCTAAGGGGGATCACATCAATTAATTGCACAAATTTTCTATTAAAATCGGTTGCAACCTGCATTGCCACAAATGGTTTTATTCTTTGGTGAAAAATTCAATCAAAAAAATGACTGCTCTCAGAAAATTCATTCGCTCCTATCCCTACACTCAAGAACAAAAAGCTTCACTCATCAATTACTTTTCCAATTTTCTAAAGGAAGGAAGAGTCTCCATGATGAAGGATGTTCTTGATAAGAGAACAAGATTTATCATTCCGGTTCTTGAAGATGTTCAATCATCACAAAATGTTTCTGCCATCATTAGAACTGTTGAATGTTTCGGAATGAATGATTTACATATTATTTCAAATCCAGACTCGATGAGTGATAAAAAAGGAATTTCTAAAGGAGTTGCAAAAGGAGCAACAGATTGGATCAATATTAAGCAATATCAAAATTCGGATGAATGTTTTAAAGAATTAAAAGAAAAGCATAATTGTAGAATTATTGTTACTTCACCATATTCGATACCACAATTAGTTCTTGGACAGAAGAGAAATTCATGGAGAGAGGATCAACATCCATCTGTTTATAATAATTTGAGAGATGAAATTACGGAAAGACATGTTAGAGTTCCTCACTATATTGGAATTGAAAATGTTCCTATTGATTTATTGAATTCAGACAATGATTATGATAAGCCAATTGCTGTTGTTTTTGGAAATGAATCACATGGAATTTCCAATTCAGCAATTGACCATGCAGATGCTTCTCTTACCATTCCTCTGTATGGTTTTACTGAAAGTTTCAATGTTCATGTGAGCACAGCCCTCACCACCTATTATCTCAATGAAAAGTTTAGAAATTATCTCAAGAATAGTGAAACTAAATCATTAGCTGAAAAGTACATGCTCTCTCCAGAGGAAAAGAATAATACACTTGTTGAATGGATGAGAGAGTGTGTTTCACTGGGTGATGAAGTTGAATTGTCGTTTATGAGAAATAATGGAATTTCAATTCCAACTCATTTCTCTTCGGCTCATCAATCCTAAGTTTTAATATTCATTTAAAATATTAAATACATTCCATTGTTTGAATATTCCTTTCGTCTTAATATGAAGCCATGACAACAATTTAAGTAGTGGCTGTTTCCTATTGAATGCAATCACTTGGACTTTCCAATAACGTCATATTGAAAAAAGAGATCAATTCATCTCTTAAAAACCATCTACAGTTCATTGAGGTGGTTGTTAATTGACGGTTGGACAATAATAAACCTCAATAACAGTCGATTAAAATCAATATCATCAAATTTTTGAAAGGTAATGACAAAACCTCCTTAATCATGAGTCCTTCAATACCAAAGTACTTATTACTGTAATTTCTATCATCAATTTCAAAAAAAAGCAACAACTTCGTAAACGTTCTTGTTTGTCCTTGCATTTCTAAATAAAATCTTTGTAATAGTAAAATTTGCGGAATGAGAAGGGAAGAATACAAACTTCATTCAAATAACTTTACAAATACTTTATTGGATACTTTGAAAGATGTTATTCCATCATCCTCATCGACCAATAAGAGTTCGGATTTGAGAAGACTCAACGATGTATGGGCATCCAAATTGAGGTCAACAAGAATTGTAGAAGCAAGTATTTTCAAACAGTAAGTTGAATTTCAAATTGAAAATACAATAATCTCTATTTTAGCTTGCATTCTGAATTGGCCAGTCTACCATTTGTGAGTCCTCTCACTCAGCAACATACCAACAAATGTAAAAGTTTCCTCTCTGAAACTCAAACCTCATTCACTAATGAAACTTTTTACTTGGGCAGATTATTAGAATTTAGAAAATTGCCACATTTGAAAGATCTTAGAGAAGCAAGTGGTAGAAAGCTATCAACTCCAACAAAACCAAGCTCTGACGATTCAGGTCAAGATATGTTCGAAACATTGATTCAATCCTTTGAGGCAGCCGAGCTCTATTCAAAACAAGCAAAAGTAATGACCAATGATCAATTGGAAAAGCAAATCAGATATTTCACCTCTCTCATTTCAAAATATGTCAAGACACCAGAAGAGAAGGACAAGCTCAATAATTTAATTCATTCACCTTCAACAAATGACGTTCAATCTCCAAAAGATACCAGAAATGTGTTCAATGATGTAAATAGAGTACCAGTGTCGAGTAGTTGCCCTTCTCTTGGACCTAATAATCGAGTTCACCTAAGTTTAATTCCCCAACTGTCCGAATTATCAATCAATACAATGAGTCCAACAAAATCCAAACAAGTATTTGAGCCTTACTTCCACTCTAAAGAATTGAAATTATCAGTTGCTGGTGAAAATAGTAAGAATGTATTGGAATTCAAGACTCATTTGAGGAGAGTTATATACCAGTGCTTTAGTGATTTGGCCTCATCCTATGGAAAGGAGAAGGAAAATGTTGATGATGTGAGATCTTTGGGAGTTCTCTTTGATAGAAATAGAGTCTATCTATTTGAATTCATTCTCACAAGAAAATTCATCTCCAACACTAATTCCAACTCTAATAACTCTCAATCGTTACCAACCATTCTAATTGATGCTGTTGGAGTGAATTATACCAATGGTGGACAAGGAATGGCCCTCATCTTTACCACTCTCTTGCAATATCTTCGTGAGGGATGGAAAATGTTTAAGGAAACATCAGATCCTCTCCATCTGCTTCATCTCTCCCTCCTAAAGTTTGTCTATCAACAAGCAAAGAGGGAAATTACAACATCAAGCAGTAGCAATTTGAGTAATAATAGTATGATTGCCACTTCCTTACACTCTAAATCCACTTCAGATTTGAGTAGTGTGATTGTCAGTTCGGAACCACAGGTTTTGTCTCCATCCTACTCTCCAACAACATTGAATACATCTATAGGAAGTTTGTTATTCTCTGCTATCAATACAAGTAGTAGTAGCAGCAACAATAGCACCATCAGTCCAGTGAGAAGTAATGCCTTTACATCTGATACTGACATTTCCTCACCACCTTCACCATTAATGACTGGCCGAATCAATCAAACCACACTCAGTGATAATGCCTTCCTCACTTGTTCTCATGTAAATTCCAATTCTCTCGATTTGAGTAATATTTCCTCTCCTCCACCATCCGTTCCACAACATTATGATTTGGGAGTGGCACAAAACTTTGGCTCTCCAACCAATTGTAAATCATCAGCACTCTCTGCCGAGCAACAAAGAGCCATCAATTCTATTGCCATTGTTTCGAGAACAGCCTCTACCAAGACTAGTATGCTCCAAGGTCAGAGCAATAGTACTGGTAATTTGTTCTCCTCACCACCAAATCATCATGTAAATAATAATAATGGTAATTTACCATCACCAAAGAGAATGTTATTTTCAGTTGGTGGTAATCTCTCCTCTGGCTCTGCATCAACTTCCAGTCTTCCAATTCATTCTAGTGGTGGTGGTAATGCTTCAACAAAGGGAATGAGGCTTCTCCAACGTTCAAAGGCCATTCTCTCCGATGCTACCAATTTTAATTATTTTGATAAGTTCAAGAATGTTGTATCTCCAGGAGGAACGAATAAGGAGCAAACATCCAGTGGTAGTAACAATGTGGGAGGTGGTATTAGAGGATTGATGAAGGGAAGAAAACCTCTCATTGAATAAATTCTCTTTCAATAGAAAATAAATTCCAACAATTTACTATCTAGATGTACTTTGAAGATGATCGTGTATATTATCATGATGTTGTTGAATATAACTTGTTGGTGTCTTTGAATATTGTTTTTATTGTACATCTCTAGAAGAATTCTTTCATCAGCTGGTTTGTTGCTCAAAAATATTCCATTGTAATGTGTACCAGCTACCCACTCAACCCAAATTAATATTGTTTTTCGAAAAAAAAAGTCATAACAATCAATATGGTATGTCATCTCATTTTTTACTAGCAGCCTTTTAACCTGTAACCTTCTATTATCAACAACTCTCACCAACAATTTTCAACACTTGACTAATGATTGTGATAACACTACTTTTGCTAACTACAATAGGACGGTGAAAATCAACCAACCTTGGTCAAGGTCGTTAAATGCCTCGGTAGAACTGGTTCTCGTGGTGGTATTACCCAAGTCAGAGTCGACTTCATCAACACTGACAAGCCAAGATCCATTATCAGAAACGTTAAGGGTCCAGTCAAAGAAGGTGACATCCTCGCTTTGCTCGAAACTGAAAGAGAAGCCAGAAGATTGAGATAAATCTTTTCCCTAAATAAAATCTTTAAATTTCATAAAACATTTTTCCTATTGTCTATGTAATATTACGTGAGTAAAATTAGTGATAATTGATTAAACTTTTATTAATAGGCAACAAATACATTCGATAAAAGATAGGTGGTTTCGCTCCTCCAAATTTGTTCCCGAAAAATGTCCCAACTATTAATTAGCAAAGCTACATACGTTTGTAGAGCCAAACTAAACCAGCCTCAAGAACGTTCTGTTATTGAGCTGCAAACCTTTCCACATTTTCTCTTTAGCTTTGAAAACAATTTTTCTTCTCTAAAAACCATTAGGGTGAAACATTCCTTCACTATGAATAGAAGAGAGTTTGCTGAAAAATTACGACCCTTACTGGTGTTCTGTGAGTTTTCTGAATTTGAAGAGACATACTATGATGAGGCTTTCAATAATTTAATGAGAAACAACTGTTGGATAAAGAAGGTAAAGAGAGAAAATGAGAGTTTTTACTCCATCAAATGCACTGAGGTAAATCCTCCACCATCTGACAATTCGAATGAGCCACATACAATAATTTATCCAGAGGTAATACTTTCCAGTAATCAAGAGGGAGGCGATAATTGGTCAAATGATGAACTAGTGCTTTATGGCATGTTGCAAATTTATTGTAACTTACCAGAGCAAGAAAGATATGAGCTAAAAATCCATCGAACAAAATTCAAATTCAAAAACAACCCCAATATTATGCTCAACTTGGATAGAGTAACATTCAAAGATGGAAATGGGTGTGTTATTTATTCCATATATGGTGATACACCTTGTAGATTTTTCGAAAAAGGTATCTCAAGTGCAATTATTAGCCAAAAGAAACAATTCTCTTTTGGGGATGATATGAAACCTTGTCGAAGCAAAATCATCCAATACCTCTATGGAACTGAAAGTTTAAGGCCAGTTTATTCTCATTTACAAGAAAAAGGATATGTACTATCTTTGGACTATGTAACAATTTCATTATTCGAATACGAGGCACAAAGAATAAGACACAAGTGGGAAGAGTTCAATAAGAAATTCCCAAACGAAAAAAAGTCAGAGGAATTTATTAAATTTATGGAAGCAGCAGCTTTGGTTGGAAGAGCATCCATCACATATGAAGATGACGATGGAAATGAGAATCCTTACTATTCAGATGATGAAGAGGAAGAAGAAAATTGTTGAGAAAAAACTCTGTAAATTTTGCACATTTAATCATCAACATGTACATACACATGCAAATTAGATATAACCTTTAACATCAATTTAAACAAATTACTTGAGACTGGCTCTTTAACGATTGAAGATGATCACTCTGAGAGCTATGTTTTTCATCAAATATTACTAATAAATTGACTCATTTGGATCTGATCTGTCCTTATTAACCCTCCGTTAGATTTATATACGTGAAATATTTATTTTCAAAATGAGTGTAAGCCGTCATAGCTCAGTTGGATAGAGCACAGGACTTCTAATCCTGGGGTCGTGGGTTCGAGCCCCATTGTCGGTAAATCTGTTTATTTTGTTTCACATTTGAAATTAATACTGGTGCGCTTGTTGCATTTAATAAATTTTATTAATTTTTCAATCATTTAACGTCAGTCAGGTCTGATAAATCCTAAAGCGAACTCTGATCTATTAGATATTGGATAAGCGACACAATGCCCTTCCTGAATAATTTGTTTAAAATTTTGCATTGTTTCTGCCCTAAAGACATGCTTTTTACATTTTGTACAAAATCTCTTTTCATCAGCATAGTCAATTCGTTCCAATTCAGAATATTTCATAGGGCACTCGAAAATCCATTCACAATTTTCTATAAATGATTCTTGTTTTTTTACAGAAAAGGATGGTTTAGGAATTTTAAATTTTTCATCTGTTTTTGGATCTATTGTTCTCAAAATTTCTCTCACAAGTGGTAAACTTGTTGGTGAATGAATTTGTAAATGTTGAATTCTTCGTTTCATAACAATCATCCAATTTTTCACATTCAAACTCTGTTGAAATCGTGGGAAATAGAACAACACCATTGGTTTCCAAATTGTATTTTGAATCAAATCAACATGATACTCGTCTGGATTCTTTTTGAAATGTTCCTCATCGAGAAATGATCGATACATGCCTTTGAAGGTCATTGACAAGTAGAACAACTCCTTGAGTGTTAGATAGGAAGCAACTATGGCAGTAACTTCAATTATTGTCTCTCCATTTCTAAATAAAATTCCAATATCTTTGTAAACATTTGGCGTATTTTCAATAATTGATATTACAATATTATTATCTTCAGTCAATTCAGCTGAATCTGCAAATCCACATTTAAAACTTCTCAAATGTTGGTAATCTGAAATAATTTCTCCATTTAATACATTTGCCAATTTCTCCAAATCTTGTCTGCTAATTCCTTCTTGGTAAATTATCCCAAATTTATCAAATAATTTTGAAACTAGTTGTTCATTTTCAAATAGAGAAATAACCATCTTACATCCCATCTCATTAATGATTTTTCCTATTGTAATATTATTTCTTCTTTGTTCTCTAATAGCAGCATCTATTGCTGTATAATCCGATCCATAAATCTCCAATGAGGTTAAGGTTGGGAATTTAAAGTCAATTAATGCAACTGACACTTTTTCAATTCGTTTTCGTTTCGTATTTGAAGACTTGTTTCTATTAACAATTTCAATTTGATTACAAAAAGTTGTTTTGAAAGAACTGGTTGCATAGAAAAACTTCAATTCATAACTTGGAACACTAGTTTCTAATAGATGAATATTGACATTCCCATTTGATGATGTTATTTCAATGGATTGAATTTCTTCTTTAAAGTTGAACAACTCAATCAATTTTCTCTTCAATTCTTGAAACTTGTCAGGATCTACGCTGATAACACCTGGTGGTTGATCTTTTTCCATTTTTTTTAAATCTATTTCGGAAGAATTACCGATCAAATACTTGTTTTTTCTTTTTTGAAAATGAGAGAGTTTGTTGGCCTCTATCTAATCTTTTTAAATTGGAGTTGTTTTCTTTCCTTTTGTGCACCATTTTTGGAAAATCAACCAAGTTTACCAATTGGTCATTCATTTTCCACTTATTAATATATTTCTCAATCTTTTCATTCTCATAGTCAAGTTTAAAAACTAAGGATCTAATGGTGTTTGATAATTGTGAAGACGCAATGTGGTCTATTGCACGGAGTGAGAACATTTCACTTTTAAAAGAAAGCTGTTCAAGTTTTTTCAAATAAGTGCAATTACTAAGATATTCAATAGATAGATCAGTTACACTAGTTGACGATATATTTAAATAAGTGAGAGGGGATTCTCTTTCCAAATTTTCAACAAATCCTTTTGTACTCTGGTCATCCAACATTGTTTCACTTACTTCTATTGATAAATATGTTAAATTTTTCAAATATTTTGCAATGGATTGAAGAGCATTCTTTGGAGAGTTAATAAACAACTGAAGATGTGTCAAATTTGTTGAGAGACGACCTGAAAACATTTCATTCAAATCATCGAGAGTAAAATTAATCCCATGTAAACCTTTTTGTATAGATATACTGGTCAAGCTTGTCAAATGTATACTTGTTCCTAACAATTTCATAGAATTCAAATCACTTGATGAAATATGATTCAATTTGATTTTTTCCACGTTTGACATATTCTCTGTATCAATATCTTTCAAATTTACCTTTCCATATCTTATTGATATTTCCTTCAGTTCTTTCATTTGCGTTATCAGCTTGAAACATTCTGGTGTGGTGTTTGCTACAGACATTTGTTGTAAATGTTTCATATTTTCATAAATTATTTGCATTTGTTCATAGTCTATTGTATTGAATACAGAAAACACCTTCAATTTCCCCAATAATGGATTGCTAGCTACCTTTCCAATTCCACTCTTTGTAATATCAGACCAAATTGTCAATTTCTCCAGATTTCCAATATAAGGACAAGCACTAATTGCCAAAGCAACATTATAATCGCACCCAACAACTTGATATCCTAAAAGAAACAAACTCAATTCGGTCAATTGCTCCAACTCTTTACATTTGAATAATTGACACAATTCATTAGAATAGTTCATTTGTGATTTTCTAGATTCAATTTTTAAAACTTTCAAGCTTTTCATCTCTGATAAATTCTCACAAAATTCCACCACACATGATTCATCTTCAACGAGAAAAGAAAGTGATTGAATATTTTTCAATATGAATGATGATGATCGGAATAAAGAAACAAGAATTGAATCTCTGATTTGGATCATGTCATACAATTTACATTTAATCACCTCGGATCGCCATAGCTTGGACACCATTGAACAATTGATAATTATTTGTTTCCATGGGAGAAATTGCATTATTTGAAAGCAAACATCTGCTGGAATGAACACCTCTTGTTGTGTCATTTTTTAAAGATAATTTTCTCAGTTTACAAAGGAATGATCTGATATTTCAGACTTTAAAGAAAATTAAAAAGAGAACATCAGTACTTGTAAGCTAAAATTGATGAGTGTGGGATTTGAACCCACGCCCTTGCGGAACACGGTATTAATCATACCTTAACGTGTCGTCTTAGACCACTCGACCAACTCACCATCTGAAAATTAATACACTGTTCTGATTTTAGGAAACATCTGAGTTATTGGCGATAAATACAAATTCGAACAATAAAAAGATTTACCGACAATGGGGCTCGAACCCACGACCCCAGGATTAGAAGTCCTGTGCTCTATCCAACTGAGCTATGACGGCTTACGTTCGTGGTGAAAAATAAATGTTTCTTTTTGATATTGTACATAGGAAGTTTCTAAGAATTCCTTAATATTATGAACTCTCAATGACCATCTCTCAGGAAAGATGAGTACGTGAATTTTCAACAGCAGTAACATGAAGCATCATATGAGTAGCTTCAAATTACGACAAAGCAATTATTATCCCGGAGTATCTTGTCTCCGTAACAATCATCATTAACATTGTGGACCATTGGTTCTGGATGATATTTGAAATAACCATCTTGTGGAGAAAAGATAATGAAAGGTACAAAAAAGGAATGAATTCGGAAGGATAGCTACAATTCATTCTCTCCAACAATTTTGTGAATCATTGTTTTGAACTTTAATAAAAAATGGCGCAAGATCAACAACCAACACTTCAAAATCAAAAAACTCCAACAGCACAGCAACACAAGCAATACATTATTACCAAAATATTAGTAGCATTTGTGGCCTTGCTTCATGTTTTCTTTCTAATTTTGGAAATGTTTTTATGGACTACACCTTTTGGACGTCAAATATCTGGTTTTCCAGAGGCATTTGCACAAATGACACAGGTATTAGCTGCCAATCAAGGTCTATATAATGGATTTTTGGCCATGGGATTGATTTGGTCAATTTTTTCAAAACAGTTTTACTTTGAATTGCAATTGTTTTTCCTCGGATGTATTGTGATTGCTGGAATATTTGGAGCTGCAACTGGAAGTATTGCAATTTTAGGAATTCAAGCTGCACCTGCACTTGTTGTGTTGCATGTGGTGTTATTGGAGAGATTTCTGTTGCCTTTCCTTAAGAAAAGATGGGCATTGAGAAGGGAACAAAGAATGGCTAAGATTGGAGATGAGAATTCAAATATGAGTCTTTTAAGTTCAACAGATACACAAGGAGTTGAATATCAGCAATATAATGTTCAACAGGAAGCCATTATTTAATAAAAATTGTAATGTAAATCAATATTGAATATTCAAAATTAGAAACAAGGATACCAAACTCTGTAATTGCCCAAACTGGAAATTGAAAGAAATTTCACATTGGCACTTGGGTTATTAATTTTTTAAGATCTGCCATTTGATATCAGGGATTGAACTTGTAAATACCCTCCTAGTAGGAATTACAATAGGAAACTATTCCATGCTTTTACAAAAAAATGAAACAACTTAATGAGGACGAATTATTGTTAATTTTTTCATATTTAAATTTTTCAGAGGTTTTAAATGTTTCGTTAATGAAAAATCGGAAAGTGTACAATTTGATTGGATCTTGTCGCGCGTGGAGGGAAATGTATTTAGATTGTATATCTATTATTCAGGAATTTAAAAAGTTTGATGAAAGATGTTGTTGTTCCGAGGAGGCTGGAAAACTTGCTCTTTCCTCTGATTTTAGAAAATTATATTTTGAACAGATGAGAGAATATTATTTACGTTCGGATATGAATGAACAAGCACTTGTGGAGAGAATTGAAGAATTGGAATCGAACAGGAAATCTTCATCAACAACTGTTTTTAGAGAATATCATGAATTATTGAAAGATTATCCAAATATCAAAAGTAATGACTTGTATGTTAAATTTATGGTGGTTGGAAGTAGTTGTGGAAAGACTTCTTTTTTGTATCATTTGAGTTTGGGACTGCATCCTCCTTATTCGAATGTTGCTTCTAATTTGCAATACTTACCAAGTATTCATGATGGATATTCCACAAATTTGATATTTGGATCTTCTTTTTGTAATATTGGATTTTGGGATACATCGGGAAAATCAGAATATAAAACACTTAGACCATTGAGCTATCCAGGGACAGATGTGTGTTTTCTTTGCTTTGACTGCATGAGCTATGATTCATTGGATTTAGCGATTAATACATTTTTGGAGGAATTAACAAGTCATATGAAACAAGAAGGGAAAACTTTTCCTATTGCTTTGCTTTCAACAAAGCATGATTTGCAGCAAGATAGAAAGGAAGTATTGAAATTACTAATTTCAAAACAACAAAAACCAATTAATAGTCAACTTGGAGAAAGAATAGCAAAAGCAATCGGATGTGTAACCTATTTGGAATCCATTCTTCTTCCATCTAAAGATTACTTTAAGATAATTTTCAATATTTCAAGAATTGAGAAACTTCCAGTAACAACAGAAAAGCAATCCTTGCTACAGAAACTAGGTAGATTTTTCAAAAAGTAACATTATTAATTATTATTGGTTTACAATTCAATAGTTGAAAGAACAGTTCCTGGAGAAATCAACTCTTTACAATCCTCTTCTCTATCTTCAAAAAGTAAATCGGTTGGAGAGTTGACCATAGGGGAGTCCATATTTGGAGATCCAATGCTCTCTGTTTTGAAAATAGTAGCAACATTAGAAATTGGTTTCTCTCCCAAGGCAGTAATAGTCCATTCATGATTATAGATTGGATCATTGCATTTGTGTTTTTGGAGAAGCTTTTTGAAATTCTTACGTTTTCCACACAAGAATAAAATATCACTCGCTTCAACTTTTCCAGTTCCGACAGGATTAGTGTAGACATATCTGTATAGTTTGTCATATCTGTATCTACTGACACCCAATAGAATGAGATCTTTTTCAAAGCAAGCATCAACAAGCTCTGAAACTGGTAAATTAACAAAAACTGTTGGAACGGGAACTTCAAAGATTATAGATTGAGATTCTGTAGCTGAAAACTCATCAGCAAGCATTTGGTCCACCAAATCAACAACTCTTCTATTATGGAAGGATTGTGCCAACAGCTTACTAAGGAAGGAAGAACTTGGGAAAATCTTTCCAGAAATATAAAAATCAGAAAACAAACAGAATTGATCAAAATCATCGATATCATAATCTAATACTTGCTTTTCTCTTAACAATCTCACCTTTTGATAAGTTGGAATACCTTCGTGTTGGAAAAACTTCAAATTGGATCTGTTTACCAATTCGAGAAGGTACTTCTTTCGAGGATCAATTACAGCCATACCCAAAGCCAATTTGATTGCTTCAGAATCGATTGTGTACTCATTTTCGAAAGAACCAACTTCATCCTCATCACCATCATTTCCTGTATTCATCAACGAGGCATCTTGGGTAAAGTACATGACAGTTTGGGCAGATGAGAAACCAGCTCTTCTCAAATCATGAGATTTGATTGGATTACCAGAAATAAAATAGACATCTTTGAAATATTTCAATCTTTCGTAGAGAGAGTTGAAATACTTGTCAACAAGGTGGGTCATGAATACTATTGGAGTGTTTCTATTTCTTCTCTGAATTGATCTAACCAATGAACAAATAATTAATGGTTGTTGGAATTCTCCTAGAACAAGGATATGATCTTTCAATTCAAATGGAACTTTGAAACTTGAAATGAGGAATTGTTGTTTAGTTCTTGGAGTTCTTGTCATGCTATAGCTAGCAATAATGGAATTGTAGAATTCATCTTCCTTTTCTTTCCTTTCTTGCTCTGATTGTATTTCTCTTATTTGTCTCAGCTGACTTCTCATTTCTGCAAAGCAAGGTTCAGTAGCGATGAGTTTGAGTAAAATTTCCAAGTGAAGATTATTCATTTCTTCCTGTTGTTCAGTTTCAATTTCATCACTCAACAGATAGATGTCAGCATTATGACCTCCAACAGAGTATGTCAATCCATATCTGTTTGATTTTCTATTATCTTTCTTTTTCTTATTGTCCACTTCATTTTCTTGTTTTTCTGTAATCTTTAATATTTCGATTTGACCTTTGGTGAGCTCTTCGTGTGACTGTTCTCCAGCATTCTTCAAGTATTCTTCGAATCTAGATTCAAAGTACTCGATTTCAATAGCATCTTCCTTTGTTTTTTCTACACCATAGTCCATTCTTGAACTTTTCCTGGAAATGTATTGATCCTTGTCTCCTGTTTGAGTGAATGTTTGAACCTGTTCAGCATGCTCAATGCTCTTAGCAATACAGAAGCATTTATCACCATCCTTGATGAGGTATCGAGATGGATTGAGGAATATTCTTCCCTGCTTATCTTCTAAAGCATAGGCAGCAATTTCGCATTTCTTGAGCAAGGTTCTAGCAGCATCAACGAATAAACTTCCAACAAATGCCTTACTGAACTTTACACGATAAATTTCACAATTCAAACCCTCTGAATATTCCACAATCCACTTGATATCATTTTCAATTGATGTAGTATTCTTTCCGGATTGCATGTCAAACTTGTGGTGGTCTCCTGTGAGTAATCCCTTAGGAATCTTGTCCATTTCAATATCAACATCAGCACCACTCAACAAGTTGAACAAAAAAGAACACAAGCCACCAGAGCTTGAAGAGCCTGAAAGAAGCTTTGTACAGAAAGACTCATTACAAATCACAACCTTGGCACCTGCCTTAATGGCGTAATGTTTGGATTCAATCAAGTTGATTTGGGCATAGACCTTCAAATTTTGATTAAAGTTTTTAAGAGCAATAGTGGTCATAATTACAGAAGTGTCTTCCTTTCTTGCATTTCCCATTTTTGGACTGTTAAGTAAGAATACTGAATGGGCATCAGATATTTTGAGTAGTTTCATCATTTCATAGTCCATGATTTCTCCACACAAAACATTAATATTATTTTTAAAGCTGGATTTTCTCAAACTCTCTTTTAGCAAGTCACAGAATTCTCTCTTCTTGAAGACCACTTGTTTTTTTGTAAATTCCACCAATTGAAATAGAATAATACTTACATATAATCTTGGTTACACTCTTATTCTTGTATTGGAAACATTCCTTAATGAAATCGACAACTTCATCCACTCTACAAACTCCCGTGACAATAGCATGATTTCTAAGCTTTGGATTTTTAGCTTGAAATATACTTCTTTCACTTGTCAAAATATCATAAATTCCAGAAATTTGAATTGGAATGGTAGTGATACCAATCAAGAAGAAAATTACGACGGCAAATCTTGCTGGAACAGTTGTTGGTGACTGCACAAAATAAACAAATCAATACAATGTTCAAATACTTACAATATCACCATAACCAATTGTAGTCAAGGTGATGGCAATAAAATATAATGCATCATGGAAGTAAATCTTTCTGTTTCCGACTGTATTCTCCAACCACTGAAATATTCCTGAAAAGAGAATCAACAAACAAGCAATCAATAATCCTAATTCCAAAACTTTTCCCACAACTGTATCTCCTCTATTACCAATTTTACGAATGAGAGGAATCAATCTCAATAAACGAAGAACTCTAAATAATCCAATAATTGAGAACAATTTACCTTCATCGACATCGAGAGGTGAAAAAACAATAATCACAATAATAAAAGTCGGCAACACTGTAATGTAATCTAATAAGGATAATGGTTGGATAAAGTATTTGAATCTGATATTTCATTTTCCATCAATCAGACAACTCAAAGTGAATCTACTTACTTGTTCTTTGCAAAGAATAGTCCCACAAAGAATAAACCAATAAACAAGGCAGATAAAACTAAATCCAAAATCATTAATGGTTGAAACACTTGATCAACATCTAATTGAATATAACTTGCAACGATATAATATACAACAGTCAATAAACAGAATACTGTCTGCATGCCTTCAGAGTTGAACCTTGCTTCTTCATTGAATTCTTCCCATGACATATCGAATACATCTAGAAAATCCACTTTCTGAGAAATATTAGAAATCAACTATTCTAATATTACTTACATCTTCCAATAATCTCTCTTTCAATGCGTCATCCATATTCTTCAAGAAACCAGCATTAGACTGATGATGATCCACATTAATAGTGTCACTTCTCTCCCTCGTTTTCTCAGCAAAAGTGACACCTTTGGAATGTTTATGAACATCATCCAATTCTACTTCAACTGCATCCACAGCCACCTCCATTTCATTATCATTCCTTATTGTCATCTTGTTGGGTGAACTAGAATCATGTTGTTGTTGTATATGATGATTATTCATAGCACTCGACATTGTCTCCTCATCCAGCGACGAATTACTTGTAGTACTTCCATTATTTGGCTCCATTGGCAGCAACAGTGTTGTTGTTTGTTTTTTTCTTCTTGGTTTTCATGATCGCTCAATGATGATGATTGATAACAAATTGGCACAAAATAGTTGTTCGTCCTTCCTAGTTGAGTTTTTTGAGGTTTTATCAGTGGGTTTCATTTTTTTATGAGGATGTAGAAAGAGCGGGAAAATTTGTTTGTTGCTTATTGGGGAGGATTAGTTGACCTATTAGAAGAATGTTCTGAAATGATGGTAATGGGATTGAGTTTTTTCATTGCACAACAAATTAATAGTATGAAGTTCACCCGTTTTGTGCTGCACAGCTTATCATTGGCTTTCTGAAAAATGTCAAATGATGTTAAGTCCACACCAGTATGCGATACTGGGGTCCGAGCCATACCAAATCATACCACTAGCTTGCTGTGCGTGGAATTACAATGCATCTATTGTAGTGGAATATTGTCGAAAAGTTGAAAATTTGTTTGAAAATGAAAAATGATTGAACAATTTTTTGTAAACCACTACAGAAATACCCAATTAATAGGCATTCGTAATAAAAATCTAGTATTTGTCATTGATTTTTACATGACACAATAGTGTCAACGGAAGGGAATTATTAACTCCGAATTTTAAACATCCCTCCGATAAAGAAAAAAACTGTAAAAAAAATGCATCAACACGGAAAGCTCAGACGGGTGGTTATTTTGTTCACCTTCACTCTCATCATGATGTTGGTCATGGGACAAGAAACAGCCAAGACCAAACTCTTCAAGAATATGATTTCCCGAACTCAAAATAATCAAAATTATAAAGGAAGTACTAAAATCGGAAGTGTTCAAGATGGAGTTTGGACCAATGTTTTCCAATTATTTGGATTCCGTTCAGCAAATAATCAAACAGATACTGATAATAATCCAAAATTTATTTCATTATTCTATGATGGAATTCATCAGAGAATGAGAATGGATGGAGCTGGTTTGGGAGGCCCTGCAGCTCAACTCTCTTCCACATCAGTTTTGTTTGAAATTTTGAGATATTATATGAATGTTGTGAGTGTTGATTTTTGTATCTTTGAACATTTGCATCCTAATTCTACTGCTTATGGAGCTAGAGTTTTCCCATTCAGTGGAAAGGGTACTGTGGCTGAAGGAGGATTCACTGTTGCCAAATATTCTGGAGCTAAATTGATTCAAAGTAATGCTATTCTTGAACCATCCAATTTGATTAATGGAATGCAAAAGAGAGTTTGTAATGTCTATAATTTGGATGGAAAGTCTGATCTTGCTATTGGTCTTGGATTTTACTTGTTCAATTATCAAGGACCTAGCTATGTTGACATGACTTATTATGAAGATGCCAAGACAGGACAACCAGTAAGATTTGAAATGAAAGATTTGGGAGGTTTTAAGGGAATTACCTCTTGGGATGTATTGAATTTCCAATTCTTTAGTGATAAGGATGATTCTGCTAATGTATTTTCCAAAGATTTATTCTACTGGAATGCCAAACCAACTTGTCATTAATAAAATATAACCTGAATTATTTCAGATATCTTACTCTTTTATTTAAGGACTACTTTCTGCTATTACACATAATTGAAATGTTGCTCTACTAGAAGAGCTTTAGGATATTCAAGTGTAAAATTTTACTTGTATGGGGGTTTGTTTTTCATCAATTATCCAACTTGATTATCCGAAAGTTTGAATTTTCTTTAAATAGCTGAAGAATAGTAGAGATCCTCAACAATAACAACAAAAAGAATGCAAGCCTTGGTTATTGAAGATTACTGTATCCAACCAAATTTTAAACTAGTTTCGGATTTTGAAAAACCATCCAAGTTGAAAGAAAATCAAGTTTTGGTCAAGTTGAAAGCAGCTTCGGTCAACCCAGTCGATTACAAAATGAGAAACGGAGCCACAAGGAAAGCAACTCCAGTCAAATTTCCAACGACGCTATTGGTAAAATATTAGATCAAGAGGGTGAACATTCGTTTAACAATCAACCTTTGACTCCTCCATTCGAAACTTCCAAAAAGAAAGAGTTGAAAATTCTCATATTAGGTGCTTCTGGAGGAACTGGTTTGAGTGCTTGTTTGATAGCTAAACAATTCCTTTCCCTATATTTCCAAACAAAGGTTTATGCTGTTTGTTCTGAGAGAAATATTGACATTGTTACAAAAATGGGAGCAGATGTTGTCATTGACTATACAAAAACATCATCCAAACCTAGAATAGATGGTGAATCTGAAAATCTGAAGAGTATTTGTCAAACCATTAAGGAAGACCATGGAGATTCTTATGTGGATATTGTATTGGATTGTGTTGGTGGAACTGAAATGTATTATCGTGATGTTTGCAATAATTTTGAGTGTAAGAAAGCAAGAGATGGTGTTGCATTCACAACCATTTCACCAAATGTTCCATTCGAACCAAATATGGGACTTTCTTCTTTGATGAAAATTGGATATTTTGTAGTTTCTAATAAGATTAGGTCATTATCGAGTGCTTATCCATCCTTCCACTTTGTTTTCATGGATAAGAACGTAAAAGATATGAATTTACTGATGAATCATATTGTAATTTCGAATCAAGTTTACAATCAACTTCCACTGATGGAATTTGAATTTTCTGCTCAAGGATTAAACGATGCACATAAACAAATGGAATCTCAAAGAACAGTTGGTAAAATCGTTATCAAAATTCAATAAATAACATCTTTGTTCAAGTTGACTTTGTGTGTAATCTTCACAGTAACGGAATTGGATTATATTCCAAACAACTATTTCCAAATCAAGAAGGAATTGTTAAATTCGAATAATTTCATTGGCTTGAAAGTTAAAAATTGGTAATTCCAATCATTCGTTTGTAAGTAAGCGAAGGCAAGTTAATCTTTCAGTAGTTTCCCATTATTGTGAACACCAATGAACAAATTCACCTTTAATTTTAATGATGCTGAATAATTCTTACAAAAAAAAATGGAAGCAACAAGTGCACAATTAAATAATCCTTTTAGTGTTTTTGTTTCATCAAATAATGAAGTTTTTATTGCTGACTATAGCAATCAAAGCATTAGAAAAGTATTACAAAATGGAAATATTGTAACAATAGCTGGAAATGGAGATAAAGGATTTAGTGGTGATAATTGTCTAGCAACAAGTGCACAATTAAATAATCCTATTGGTGTTTTTGTTTCATCAATAATGAAGTTTATATTTCTGACTATTGTAATCATGTAATTAGAAAGATTTTACAAAATGGAACTATTGTAACAATTGCTGGAAATGGAAAACCTGGATTCGGTGGTGATAATGGCCTAGCAACAAATGCACAGTTGAATTACCCTAGAAATGTATATGTTTCATCAAATAATGAAGTTTATATTGCTGACTTTTGTAATCAAAGAATTAGAAAAGTATTACAAAATGGAAATATTATAACAATAGCTGGAAATGGAACTAAAGGATTTAGTGGTGATAATGGTCCTGCAACAAATGCACAATTAAATGGTCCTGCAGGCGTTTTTGTTTCAAATAATGAAGTCTATATTGCTGACTATAGTAATCATGTAATTAGAAAGATTTCACAAAATGGAACTATTGTAACTATAGCTGGAAATGGAAAACCTGGATTCAGTGGTGATAATGGACTTGCAACAAATGCACAATTATATAATCCTTCAGGCACTTTTGTTTCATCGAACAATGAAGTTTATATTTCTGATTGTTTTAATCATGTAATTAGAAAGATTTTACAAAATGGAACTATTGTAACAATTGCTGGAAATGGGAAAGGAGGATTCAGTGGTGATAATGGCCTTGCAACAAATGCACAATTATATAGTCCTTTAGGTGTTTTTGTTTCATCAAATAATGAAGTTTATATATCTGACTGTTTTAATCATAGAATTAGAAAGGTATTACATAATGGAAATATTGTAACAATAGCTGGAAATGGAACACCTGGATTCAGTGGAGATTCTCCATTTGATATTTCACTCTATCCTCATTTCGGAAATAGTAGCTCTTTAACTAGAAGAATAGAATTTCATAGTTTGAAAAAATATTCAAGAGATCAATTATTTGGATTGGAAATTTATGGATTCATGCCACTAATTGAAAGAATATCAATTCAATTCAGTCAAATTCTGAAAAATGAAAAGATAATTTGGTCAATGAATGCTTCACAACGTGCAATTATTCAAAAACTAATTAATTCTCTCATATATGATAATAATCAATTGAATTTTACAAAGAATGAACTATTAGATGTATTATTTATTTTAGGATTATTTAAAAATGGCGAATTTATTGAGCTTAAAAGATCATTGACAAGTGATTTTATTAATTCCATTACCTTGAAAGAATTTCCTGCTGAATGGGAAAAAATTGAATCGCTGATCATGACATGCAAAGATTTTGGAAATGAAAATTACATTCTTGAATGCTTGAACAATTTCTGTATTGAATTTGTTGCTGTCAAAATGAAGACCACAGAGGGAAGTGCTGTTTTGTCTTCCCTTCCAATAGTTTTGCGAAATGCTACTGCTTTTTTCCCAAAATTGGTACTTGGTCAACCAACCCCAATCAACATTGAAGAAAAAATTGAAGTTAATCCACAAACATTAGAATCATTATTTAACGATAAGAAAACAAGTGATATTCAAATCAAAATGGGAGAAGACAAGTATTTATATTGTCACAAAACTGTTTTGAGCACCACTAGTACCTTCTTTGCTGCCCTATTTGAAAGTGGATCATCCTTTAGTGATTTTAATAATGGAATTTTCACACCAGATGAATCAGAAGATTTGGAATTATTGGAAATTATCATCAAATATTGTTATGGAATTTCATTCGACAATGAAAAAATTTCTGGATTGTTAGACATGGCAATGAAACATGAAATTAAATATTTAGTCGATTATTATTGTATTAATTTCACGCTCTCCATTCAAAATTACTTTTCCATTGTATCAACATGTGAACAGTATTTGGATTTACCTGTATTTGAAGGATTTTTCAAAGAAATTATTAGATTTGGAGTTACCAACAAGAAGCAACTCTTTACTGATTTGAGTGTTCTTTCTAAATTACCTGAAAAAGTTTGGCAGGTGATGTTCTTGAATTGGGCTCAGGATAATTGAGCTAATAACTTTAATGTTTATTTTTGTTCCTCTTTTTATAAATTGTGAACTATGAGAATTTCAAATTGTAAACACTGGACGATTCGAATCCTGAATATTATTGTTTACAACACTTGCTGAATTGAGCAAAAAGTTATTTGATTTTTCAAGTTGAAGATTATGAAGTTTTCAATGAATGATGAATTTATTAGAAAGGAATTTATTTGTCATAAAGATAAACGACCTATCCTTTCCAGCTCACAAAAATCGTCAAAAGTCAACCCAATTTTCAACTCAAAAAAAAACCAGCACAACCAAACTGCAGCAAAATCTGTTGGACATATTTCTAATTACCCAAAAGCTGTAATTGATAAAAGATGAATCCACATCAACAAACACAAAATACTGAACAAAGTGAATCAGTAAATTACTATTACAATTCGAACAGTGATGCAAATACCACAAGTAATTCCATTGCTAGTAAGACAAATCTCTTTATGTATGGTGGAGGTACATTGCTATTACTCCTTTCATTGGCATTGTTTGGAATTGGTGCAGTTCTGTATGGAGTTGTAAATTCAATTTCTGTTTCGTATGTCCATCAAGGATGTTGTAATGTTACTGTTTCTAGTGGTTGCTCTAGTTATGATGATTGTAGCTATGGTGTTTCTTTTCCAATACTGGGAAGTGCAAAACTTCAACAAGATCCTAAAAAAGGATTTGGATTAACTTGTTCTGCTGCAGAAAACCAAATTATGACAACCACCTTAGTCAAGAAATACTCTAGCTCCAACACCTTGCCAACAACAACCACAAATATTGATTGTTACACTGATAAGAATGAAAAATTTGTATCCCTTGAACCGTACAGTGAATTGTATACATTGTACATAAGTGGTGGAATTATTTGTTTAGCCGCACCAATTCTATTTTTTGTAATTAAGGTTGGCTTTATGTAAAGTGGTAAATGAATTTTTCACTTCAACACTTTTCAATCATCCACAATTTTCTGATTTTCAAATTGTTTGTTGTGTGTCATAATTATCGCACGATGAGCTGTTCCAATTTTATTCCTTTCCATAAAAGAAAACCATAAAACAGTAAAGACGGAAAAATCAAAATCTTCAGGGTTTCAACGAAATAATTGGCATGGTACTTCTACAATAATACTAATAAAAGTTTATTAATGTTTCAAGATGATTGACGATACTTGATGATTTATTTGAAGAAACTGCAGTTTACAAAATTGTAAAAAGCTTTTATACTGGTAGTTTGGAATATTCTCTAGACGATGAAGCCCTCTCACTCTTGATTTTCTTCACAATAATACATGATTCAAGTCTCTATCTTCACATTTAAAACCTGAAATTCAAATATTTCATCTGATAATTGTTTTAAACTTTTTGGACAATGATATCCTGGAACACCTGTTCAAGTTGAGTTTGTGTGTAATCTTCACAGTAACGGAACGGTAGCTTTCAATATTACTATTAGAATTAAGGTAAACAGGCCTTACCTTAAAGTTTAGAAATTCTATCAGCATAAACCCCTAAATAATTCATTCTTATCAGGAAGAAATCATCTGAATAGACTTCTGAATATCCAACTTCCCGTACCAATTCCATCTTGAATTCAAAGTCATTCTTCAGCAAGTCTTGAATATTTGCAAATTCTAGTGCCTTGTCAGTTTGTTTCAGAGCTTCCAATACTATTTTCTTATCAACTTTCAACCTATCTGATGCATACTTGAGAGAAGAGCCATTCTGTTTTACAGCCACCATTACCAATTCCTTATCATTCCTCACTTTAAAGGAACAGAATTTTACCATACTGCCATTCTTTTTGAGAGCTTCCAAAATAATTTCATTGTCTTGCTGAAGGGCTACAGATGCATATTTAAATGCCCATGGATTTTGTTTAACTGCCTCTAGTACAATCTCTTTGTCATTCTTCAATCTGTCAGAAGCAAACATTAAGTAATGTCCTTCCTTTTTGACAGCTTGTAGAATTGTGAATCGATCATCCTTTTGTTCATCAGTGACTGAAGATAGAGAGATATCCATCATTAGTTCCATAAGTTCAATATCATTCTCGTTCATCTCGTCAAAAAATGATACTCTGAATTGATTGTCACTTGCCAAAGTATTGAAATTATTGAAGGTGATGAATATTTGGGAATGAAGAATTGTCGTTTTTGGTTGATCCCATATAACTATTGGTTGTATTGCTAAAGCTAAATCAATCAATTCACGATCGTGTCTTAGATCAAATGATGCATATTCAAGAGATGAGGGTTTTTGTTTCACAGCCTCAGAAACAACCTCCTTGTCATTTCTCAATTTGAATGATGCAAATTGGAGTGCTATTCCATTTTGTTTGACAGATTCCAAAACTACCTCCCTGTCATTTTGCATTAAATTTGATAAATATCTGAGAACATAACCATCTTGCCGAACTGCATCCAACACGATTGACTTGTCATTTCTCAGCTCTTCATTTGTAAATGTAACAGCTCTTCCATAATATTTGACAGCTCTCTTAATGAAATCTCTATTGTTTTTCAATTCTTGTGAAACATGCGTCAGAATCCAACCATTTTCTTTAACACAATCCAATACAAATGCTTCATTTCTTTTAAGTTCTTCATCAATGTGATGAAAAACTTCGCCATTTCTCTTCACTGCTCGTAAAATAAACTCCGTATCCTTCTTAAACTCTGGGTTAGCCCATTCGAAAGCAGTTTCGTTTTGTGCCAATGCCTCCAAAACTACGTGAGGATCAGATTTTAGATTATCAGATGCAAACCTGAGGAAATTTCCTTTTCTAGAAACACATTCCAAAACCACTTGTTTATTGTTTGCAAATTCTATGGGAATGAATTGGGTGAAGTTTCGTGTAGGAGCTACCTGCATTTTTTTTGATTGAATCTCAACAAAGACAGAACTGTTGAGAACTCAGTTTGATTGGTTACATAGATGTTACACAATGTTGCAATAATTACTTTATTTGACTGGTTTTCAATGTTAGAAAGTTTAGTTTGCTTTATTCTCGAATTTTGTCAGAGAGAGAAAGGATTCGATTTTTGACATTCTTGAGAAAGTTTCAGCATTTATTCATGTTTCATTTCAATCAACAATTATTAGGAGTGTTTGTTGCAGCAGTACCACTCTTTCTAATGGAAAGTAGTGCTCTCACAACCAACCATACAGGTGGAATTGACACAACTACAGCGACTGGAATTGCCATAAACGCAAAGAAGGCATAATAATTATTGTTACAATTATCACATATTAAGGCAGTTTTGCAATCATTACCAGTGTAAGAAGATGAACATGATGTACAATTAGCTCCTGTCCAATATCCATCGTTGGCATTTGACTTGCATTCACATTTATCAAGTGAAACACATGTACCATGTCCTCCACAAACAGTTGTGCCATCTGGAGTACCAAAACATTTCAATTGATCCATTGTAATTGTACCATTATTGTTTGTATTTGTCAAATTCGTATTGGTTGTATTATTTTGAGAAATAGTGGAATTTAAAGTTGTTCCATTATTAACTAGAGTAGTATTATCAATTATGGTAGTGTTGTTTGAAACAACTATTGTAGTATTATTATTAACAGTAGTATTATTTGTAGCAGTACTATTATTTACAATAGTAGTATTATCAGTAGTAGTGTTTGAAACAATTGTTGTAGTATTATTGTTGTCAATAATGGTAGAATTGTTAGTAGTAGTGGTATTGGAATAGATTGAACTATTAACAGTTGAAGAATTTGTTACTGAAATAATGATTTCAGAATTGTTGTAAAATAGGGAACAATTCAAACCACTCCAATTATTCTCACAAGTGCAATTATTGAAAGTAGAGCAAACTCCGTGGCCATTACAAACCATTGGATCGGTACTATTTGAAAGTACATCAAAACACATTGTGGTGGAACAATTTGAACCGAACCATCCACTGCTACATGAACAATTGTTCATTGATGAACATTGGCCATTACCAGAACACACCAAAGTCTCATTAAATGTAATACCATAACAGGTAATGACTGGTTCAGGTGCTGAATTTAAGGCTGTCTCACAAAATGTTCCATTATAATCAGAGGTACAATTACAAATGTTTGGTGCTTGACATACACCATGACCATTACAAGCTCTTGGATCACTTGCATTGACACCATTACATGCAACAGTCTCACATACTGAGCCAATATAACCTGATTCACAGGAGCAAACATCTGTAGAATTACATATTCCATGTCCACTGCAAACTAATGGATCACTAGCTAATATTCCATTGCATAGACGAGTTGTGGAAATTAGTCGTAAGTAATTATTTCCAGTATCTGAAATGAGCACCTCTCCAGTGGCAGAACGAACCGAAACAAAATAAGGACCATTAAGCTTGGCACTCGTTGCTTCCATGTTATCACCTCTATCACTTGTACCACCTGCAATCGTTATAATTGTGCCATTTGACAATATTTTACGAATTCGATGATTATTGGTATCAGCAAGATAAACTTCACCATTCGAATCAATTGCCATTCCATAAACAACTGAAAATTTGGCATTCAAAGCATCACCATTATCCCCGCTATATCCACTCACTCCATTTCCAGCAATGCTTACAATAGTTCCATTTGATAACACCTTTCTAATCCTATAATTAAGAGTATCACCAAAATACAGTTCAGATTCAGAACTCATAGCCATACTGTAAACGTTCCTTATTTTGGCATTTGTAGCATCAATTCCATCTCCATTATAACCTGAAGAACCAGTTCCTACAGCTGTAACAATCGTTCCATTTGTTAAAATCTTTCTAATCCTATAATTATTACTATCAGCAATATAGAGCTCACCACTTTTAGAATCAACAACAATGGATTGTTTAATTTTGCACTTCTTGCATCGATACCATCTCCATTATAACCTGAGACACCAGTTCCTGCAATGATAACCATGGTTCCATTATTAAGAATTTTACGAATGACATGGTTATACGAATCTGCCACAAGTAATTGACCATCGAGATCAGTTGCAATCGAATTAGGTAATGCTAATTGAGTATCTGTTGCCAGCCGACCACCTCCATTATTACCATAATTTCCTGTACCTGCAATAGAGTCAATCATTCCATTCTTTGAAATTCTACTAATTCTATTACCTTGTGTTTCGGCAACATAAATATCTCCATTCGAATTAAAAAGAGTTCCTCTAGGATTTGTCAATGGAGTGTTAGTTGCCGTAATACCTGCACAATAAGATGCACTTCCATCACCAGCTAGTGGTGTGATAGTTCCATTGGTTAATACTCTACGAATACTGTGTCTTCCTGAATCTGAAATAATCATTTCTCCATTAGGGGCAATCAAAATACCTGATGGAATATTCAAGTTGGCACTTGTTGCATCTTGATAATCACCATTGTAACCACTTATGCCAGTTCCAGCAATTGTAATAATTGTACCATTATTGAAAACGTTACGAATCTATCAGCAATATAAATTTCACCCAATGAATTAATGGCAGTGAATATTGGACCAAACAATGCAGCTGCTCGACCATCATGTTTGGAAGAATTAAAATTGACTGTGAAATCAAAAGTTAACTGTTTTTATTTAGTTACCACCTCTCAATCTCAAGACCAAGTGAAGGGTTGATTCCTTTTGAATGTTATAGTCAGAAAGGGTTCTACCATCTTCCAATTGCTTACCAGCAAAGATAAGTCTTTGTTGATCTGGTGGAATACCTTCCTTATCTTGAATCTTGCTCTTAACATTTTCAATAGTATCATTAGATTCGACTTCAAGGGTAATTGTCTTACCAGTGAGAGTCTTGACGAAGATTTGCATACCACCTCTAAGTCTCAAAACCAAGTGGAGAGTGGATTCCTTTTGAATATTGTAATCAGACAAAGTTCTACCATCTTCCAATTGCTTACCAGCAAAGATAAGTCTTTGTTGATCTGGTGGAATACCTTCCTTATCTTGAATCTTGCTCTTAACATTTTCAATAGTATCATTAGATTCGACTTCAAGGGTAATTGTCTTACCAGTGAGAGTCTTGACGAAGATTTGCATACCACCTCTAAGTCTCAAAACCAAGTGGAGAGTGGATTCCTTTTGAATATTGTAATCAGACAAAGTTCTACCATCTTCCAATTGCTTACCAGCGAAAGATCAATCTTTGTTGATCTGGAGGGATACCTTCCTTATCTTGAATCTTTGACTTGACATTTTCAATGGTGTCGTTTGATTCAACTTCCAGAGTGATTGTCTTACCAGTCAAAGTCTTGACAAAATTTGCATACCACCTCTCAATCTCAAAACCAAATGCAAAGTAGATTCCTTTTGAATGTTATAGTCTGAGAGGGTTCTACCATCTTCCAATTGCTTACCAGCAAAGATCAATCTTTGTTGATCTGGAGGGATACCTTCCTTATCTTGAATCTTGCTCTTAACATTTTCAATGGTGTCGTTTGATTCAACTTCCAAGGTAATAGTTTTACCGGTCAAAGTTTTAACGAAGATTTGCATCTTTAGTATACAATAAGCAGTTATTTGATTTTTTTTGATTTGTTGTAGTGACGATCAATGATGGGTACTTGTATTAATAGGTTATTGGACGTTAAAAATAGAATTAATGGCGGTTTGCTGTTACAACGTGAGTTCATCCTCGCTTCAGCACGTTTAGATTGAAGAGATTCAACTCCACATCCATATTCGCTTTCAATCCATTAATACACTATTGCCATTTTACACAACCAATCAACTTTTAACATCATCAACCTCATTACTTCAATCGATTGGATGAGAGAGATATGGTAAGGTAATAATCCATTTTCCTTCCAATGCTGTTGTATTAGATATGATACCAATTAGTTACTAACTGAACAAGTTTAATCGCCACTCAAATTTAAAATCTTATTCTTGATGGCAGTATCGATAGCATTCAAATATTGAGACAAATCTACAGAGCCATTAATGTGATTAAGATAGAAAGCATGAGAAAGGAATGGAAGTTTTCTCAGAGATCTTCCACTCAAACCCTCACAACTCTCTGCAATTTCTTTCAGCTTTAATGCATAGGAATTTTCTGGTGCCTCCTTATCTGTCCATTTTGGTATTATTACATTTGGTTTGATAACTGAAACTCTCATCAACTCTACAAGGCATGATCTCAAAATTGAATATCTTCCCTTAGCGGAAGGTGGTCCAATATATTGCTTAATATCTGCTCGATCAACAAATGCCAAATCAATTGCCTCTGTAATGTTTGATGTTGTTAAAATGAGGACATTCTTATACCTCTTCAATTGATCCAATTGTGTTAATAGAGCATTTACAACTCTGATACTATCTGAAGGCTCACTTCCTGAAAGAGCACTCTTTCTGGCAGCCGTCAGTGATTCAACTTCGTCCATCAAAACACATACAAATGATTCCTCATCTTCTACAATTTCGAATATTTTCTTGAATAATTTCATTACTAGTTTTCCACTTTCACTAAACCATTTTGAGAATAAACTGTGTGAATTAATTTCTATTAATGTACCTCCTGATGGATATCTGTGTGACATTCTAATTGCCAGTTTCTGGGCCAATCCTTTACATAAAGATGTCTTTTATACACGAGTTAATTTATCAATAAATCATAAAACTAACCTTTCCTAATAATAATTGTCAAAACACATTTGAAAAATAATGTAAAACAAACCTGTTCCTAATTAATGTGTTAAAAATTCAATTAAATTCAAAATACAAACCTGGAGGTCCATAGAGTAACACAACTCTATTCCAACTAATTAAATTTTGGTCAACACCCAAATCAGAAAAACGCATTGTTGTTGCAGCATATTCCAATAAATTATATTTTACATTTTCATCAAAAATCAAACTTTCCCACAATCCATCAAATGAATCATTAGGAAGTGTCGATTGTTTACAAGCAGTAACCTCTTCAACATCACCTCCCTCATCTGTTGTTTCCTCTATTGGTTCTTCATCAGTAGATTTAAAAACATGAATTATAAAAGTTACGTCTTGGTTAAATAGAATTGGTCCATTGTAGGCTGGATGTTGTTCCAAATCCACAATTTTAATTTGTTTAACATGTTTTACAATTAATTCTTCCCTTTCCGAAAGTTGGTGTTGTTGATTATTCTCGGAAGATAATGAAGATAATTGTATTGGAATGATTCCGTCCTGTATAATTGGCCTCCTATTGATAATCATCTCATGTACAGCATCTTGAATAAGTTTAGGTTTGACAGTACTTTGTTGTTTTAGACAAACTATATAATTGTTAGCCAGCCTTTAAAATGATGACAATTTTCACTTTACTCACCTTCAATATGAACTGGTGGAAGACTTGCTTGCATTTTATTTAATTTTACAAAACAAGTTCAGCCTGGATTGAAATTTGAGGAAGACAGATATTGTGTGTGAATTGTATAGAGACTGATTTATTGACTTGTTTCTCCTTCATTCAGTATATCAAATAAATTAAAGTTGACCTTGTATCTTGAAGTGGGATTGGGTGTTTCTATTGATTTTTGATTCATCATTTCGCTCATTGTTATAGTAGATGGCAATGAAAGAGTATTCATGTCTAGTATTGAGTGGCTCAGACTCAATTTGGATTGATTGGTTTTCTTTTGTTGCTTTACGACTGGCTCTGGTTCCTTTCTAAAATTTTGTTCAATATACTGTTCTGCCTCTGAATTCAACTCATTGTAATTGGTTTTGACTCTCAGTATTTTACCGTCAATATCACCAGCAAATATTTCATCTTTTTCTTCATCAAACGAAACTGTAGAGAATTCTGCCTTCTTATCTTCAAATCTGAATAATATATCCTGAGAACCCTTTTCTGCATTAAATCTCCAAACTTCAACTCTTCCCTCTTTAAACCAACTCATAAGTCTTCCATTTCCAGCATAACACATTCCTAGAACTGCACCTGTGTCACTCTCCAAAGAAGCTAATTTCTCCCTAGTATTTACATTCCACAAACCAATTGTCTGGTCTTCACTTGCAGTGAAGAGAAAGTTACCATCAAGAACCATTGACACAACAGCACTCTTGTGACCACTTTCCTCATTGTTTTTCCTTTTAGCTTTGATTTCACCAACCAGAGGAATGTCGTCTTCAATTGCCCAAAATCGAATCATACCATCATTTCCTCCCGTGATGACAGTCTTATCCATAGGATTGAAAACTAGGCATAGAATTTCTCTATTGTGAGCATTTTGTTTCACTTTGAAAACAGGATTCTGCTTTTCAAATAAAAACCTAGATAAATCGCAGACAGCAAATGACCCATCAAAACTTGCCGTCACTAATACTAGACATTCTTTCTTCTCACCTCCAAAGAACTTATTGTTTGTTAATCTTCTTGGAGAAAAAATTGTGGGTTTAGATCGGTCCAAAGAAACATTGGCCTTAATGATATTATACACGGAGTTTTGATGTAGTTTAATATCTACGTACTCCCTTCCTCTTTCCAAATTCCATAGTGTGATGTGACCACTATCATGTCCAGTACATCCAATGCCATCATCCACATAAATGAAAGATGTAATTTCTGTTTTGTCACCTTTTGGAGTGTATTTGATATTATCGAGAGGTTTCATGTCAAACTTTGAAACTTCCCATATAACAATTTTGTTATCAGAACCTGCAGTGATGAGACGAGCAGTTGCTGTCCTTTTAGTATTCAGCCCAATCCCAACAATTGCATCAGTGTGATATTTGTGTTCCTTATGAGGAATATTTCTTTCTATCGAAAATGTTTGAACTCCATTCCTTCCTGAAACAATTATCTTTTTAGTAAAGAAAGATAAACATGTTGGTTCCTTTCCAAAATAAAATGATAACGATGTTTCACCAGTTCTATACTGGTAAATATCTACCTTTCCAGATTCTGTAACTGTTATCAACTCCTCATGTTCGTCATCCCAATCCATTCCACAAATTCTTTCATCTCTCGTAAATTTGCTGAATACTGTTTTTCCACTGTAATCTGTAAATTTAACTACATTGTCAAAACCAGTTGACACCATCATATTGCTTCCTTGCAACATTAAGATGTTGGTTATACCCTTATCTCTCATTTTTAATTTGTACATTAACTTGACATCCACTATTGATTTTCTATCTCTTAATTCTCCAATTGTTTTATATACATAACAAGTTCCCTTCATCGTTCCTACTACTATTTCTCCTTGTTCTCCTGATAAGTCCTCGGGAGAAGCCCACAATGCACTAATCCATGCATCGCAATCTGTCAATGTTTTAAAACATGAAAACCAAGGTATTAAATTGAGTTTCTTCCTCTCTCTATCTGGTTTCCAAATTTTTACTAACATATCCGAACTTCCAGATATTATCAAATCGAAATGAAATGCCAGACTTGTTACAGGTTTTACATGAGAAAACATTGCTGTTAAGATTTCATACCGTTATTCAAATATTCAAGTTACTACCTACTCTGAAGGCATGAATTCTCTGCAAGATATTTTCCAAAAGGATCAAATACTAAGCAAGTTTTTTAATTTAATTTGGTACAAAATCCTTACCTTTCATTGAATGGTCAACACAACCAGTTACTATTAACTCGAGAAATGGATGATACATTATACAAAGAACAGCTGCTGAGTGGGTTCCGAGCTTGACATGTTTTCCTACTACTTTTTCATCCCCCACTGGATTACTGTCATAGTTCCAATATACAACCTCTCCTCTTGCTGATGTTGTGAGAGTAATCATTAAATCATGCTATTCAACATATCTACATACCATTTCCTGCAAATATTATTAGTTTGCCATCCCTCTCAACACACGTATGACAAAGAAACCTAGGGAATTGTTGATTTGCTCTCTTTCCGAAATGTTGTGGTTGAGAATTGGGAAGAGTAAACTGTATTAATCCATAAAAACAATATAATAATCGTTAAATTTGTGATGATGCTTACATTCTTCCCCTGAGCAATATTCATTTTTTTCAAGTTGGAAAATCTTTTTTTAATCAGTAGTTGGAATTGGCGGCAAGAATCTAGCAGCAATTTAATAAGGCAAAAATACCGCCAAGATCCAATCACCAAAAAAATCAAATCTTTATTCATAAAGGAAGTTCTCTATCGATACATGCTTGAATGGATTGCATGGCCAAAAGGGTTTAAAGAAATGTATTAGTGGTCCAAAAATTTTAAATCCCATGGCCATGCAAGCATGTACCTGCAAAATTACGACCATGAGATGTTTTGTTAATTCTTTTTAGAATAGTCGTAGTATGACCAAACTAAACTTGGATTTAGAGCTTCTTTAGCTTTGAGGAGGTTCATCTTTTTCTGTTTTTCAATCTTTTTGAAATATTTCTGAGCTAGAAATATTGAATGTAAGTAAGCATGCATGCATGGAGTAGAATATATTGGGATGGTTTGGAAAGATGTATTAAGTGGTCAGCATGAGTAAATGTTGAAATAAAATACTTACCATGAGAAGCTACTTGTGATCTCACTCTGCTTTTAATATACTTATTGGCAATGAGTTCCCAATTTCTTCCAGCCTCTTTCAAACCAAGTAAAAACATCTCATGTTCTTCCTTACTCCAAGTTCCGTGATTAATTTGCACATCTCCAGTTTCTGAGGTTGTAATTTTCTTATAGGGAGAGCATCTCATCATGGTTTCTTCTAATGTTACATCCTCAATTGATTCATCAGAATCCTCCTCATTGTGTAAAGGGCTAGATGAATCCTCTTCATACAAATTTCCCTGTTGAGTTGGAGATGATTTCTTACCAGTTTCAGTATCCAATTTTTTCAATTGTTTTGTTGGCAGATGAAAATCTTGAGTAGTAGAATTTAAAGAATTACTAGATGCATGACCAACTCGTGAAGATGTAATGAATGTATCATTAATCTTTGGTTTTGCTATTCTACTACTAGTAGTATTAACATTGGAGATTGGAAATTGAACCATTGAAGGTGATGGAACTACATGCAAAATTGGAGAATGCAATAATGGAGAGGTAGGGAGTACAGAAGCATGCATTCTCGTATTTGCTCCATTTTGAAGATGACTGGCAATAGATGCATTCGGTGGATGATGAATGTGTGTAGATGATGAGGAAGAAGCCAAAGATGATGAGGATGGAATTGAAGGAAATACAGTTGTGGGTTGGTGTACTCCAGAATCCACAACATTAATGGCTTCGTAATTGGTGGAAAGTGGATAGGATGGCTCAAAGATTTTCTTTGACTGGACAAAAGTGGACGTTCTTGGTTCGATGGCATCGTTCATAGGATGCTTGTGTGACAACATTTGGGAGGTCTTGTTATGATCAATGACAGCTAGCTTGCTGTTGGGTTTGAAAATTGTTGACATGCATACTAATGGATCTAGGGATGGTTCGTATAAAGTAAATTGTGGCTCAATACATGACAAGTATGCATGTATTGGTGGTTTTTGTGATGGATACTCTGGTGCCATGTGAATGATGTCTTGATTATTGAAAGAGAATGGTGGTAGTGTTTGATGTTCTTCATGTACATTGGATGAAAATTGTTTCTCACCATTTGAAGGTTCTTGTTCTTCTTGTTGTTGGGGAGGATAATCTTCAAGCTTAGGATTAATGGGATTATTATTATGCTGCAGTGGATAATTGGCACATGTGACGGCAGTTGTGCAACTATTACTTGATGTGTTGTTGGAGGTGATGATGGGTGTTTGAGCAATATCTTGTATCACAGAACACTTCATGTTGTTGTTGTTCTTGTAATTGTTTAAAGTAGTTGGATGATGAGAAGTGGTTTGCTGCTCAGGTTTGTTATAGGATGGTGGTGATGCATTCAACATGGTCAATGATTCTATGGCTAGCTGCTATTGTTGTTGAGTATAATTATTGGTGGATATATAAAGAGATGATGAAGGCTTTCAGATTAAATCTTGGACTAAATACTTGATGATGGTAGTATCTTAGCACACAAGTATTTGTAGTAAAATTTGATAAATAGTAAAATTTGTTGATGGATGGCAGAGAAGCTTTGTCTATTTTGAAAATATTGGAGGGCGATATCACAAATGAAAAGAAATTATGCAAATACCAATACCAGAATCAGATGGTTGGAAGATTTGCTGGTAATATTAATGTAGTAGTGCCAAAGATTTCTTCCTTCTCTTCAAAGAAGAGGAGCATCAATAAAGCTAGAAGGTCCACTGTTGTTGATTTTTAATGATGAAAGACAAAAAGAATCGGCACGAACATCCAACAATGCAGCCAACCAAAAAACAACAATGGCGACTCCTTAGAGAATGTGATTTTTTGCAATCATGAAACTGTTTCGCATCAATTTCGCACCACACGCCCAATAAGTATTCATGATCTTATTAATGTTATGAGAGAATCCACGATTTTTGTACCAAAAACAATTAATGGCTGAGGAAAGTTCAATGAATGTGCCTTTTTCTTAGTGCCATTAGTTAGTGAAATGACGTACTGCATTTGTGTTGTTGGCCAATAATTACGCTGAAACCTCCGCTCTCTAATCACCATAAAGGTAAGAGCTAGCATTGTTTCAAGGGGCACCCTTGTTGTTTGTATCCCAAATCTCAATATATAACTTATGGCGTTATCTGTGGATTGCTCCCAAAACTCACATACAATGGATTATTGTTGCAAACAACGAACCAAACAACATCTATGAAAATAATGAGGATGTGCTTTTGTTGTGTCACCGGGCCATTCTCAAACAAGCTAATTTCTCGCATGCTCAAATATGTCAATCATGCAACAATTTCGTAATTGTGCAACTGTAAATGCTGATCAGCACAAACTTTTGCTAAGTACTTTGAATGCCAAATAAAGACATGGTCTCCTTATGTCCTCAATAATTTCAATTTCCCTTACCGTTTTGCATATATAATCGAGTTCAAATTTATCAACATCAGGTATTTATTTTCATTATGAATGTAAGCCGTCATAGCTCAGTTGGATAGAGCACAGGACTTCTAATCCTGGGGTCGTGGGTTCGAGCCCCATTGTCGGTAAATCTTTTTGTTTTTTTCACAATTTTAATAATTATTATTTTAGTTTTTGTTTAAATAGTATTAGTCAAAATTAAATGTTATTAAATGTGATTATTAATGTCTATTGAAAACAGATCAATCATTGCATTAAACAGTTGACCATCCTTCAAATTCTTCATTGTAAAATATCCTTTCATAAAGCCAATCTCCTCCTCAGTTTCTGTACATGAATTGTAAGTAAACACTGATCCTGGTGTAACTGTTGGATACAATCCAACAACACCTGGTCCATCCACAACTTCAGGAGTCTCATTTTGCACATCAGAAGTTAAATAAATCTCCCAATGTCTACTCACTAATTTACACGAATTCTGAGTGCTTTCATTCTTGTCCATTGTAATCTTAATTCTATAGGAAAAGTAATAGTGTACTTCTTCAGGTGAGTATCGAGAAAGTTCTGGAACGAGTAGAGACTGACAGTAAATCTTAACTCCATTCGTTGTAGTTTCTGAACCAAAATTCTTGGTTGGGAATCTATTAATGCTTCCATCAGGCTCAAAATCAAACAAATTGAGTATTGTCAAATTATTGACATAGGTTTCGAACCAATTGGAGAATGAATCTGAGAAAATCATTGGGTAATTGTTACCACTCATTTGATAGATAGTACCCTTCTTAATTGAAACTTCCAAAACATCATCTGTAATATCTTGAGAGGCACACAACACTGCACAGTAAGAGTTCAATATGATTGGATATGAACTTGCAAGGCAAATATTGTTTGATTTTTTCAACATTTCTGAATAGTGCATCAAATTGTCAAATCCCAATAATGGTAAACGAGCTTGATAATCATAAAATCCATATCCTCCAAAGAAGGCATAATTCTTATTTTTCAAATCTAATTGACCATCTGTTAACAAGTAAAGTTGAGTGTATTCGAAACATGTTCCAATTTCACAAAGCTTAATCTTCTTTGCCTCGATAGAATCCAATAAATTATGACCCTCCGAGAATGAAATACTATTAGCAATGAGTGGAGAATGAACAGAAAGATAAACCTCCATTTGATTCAACAATTTTCTCATTTTACAATGCTTCTTGCATCCATCCTCAATATCAATATTCAATTCGCCAATATACATTTCATAATAATATCTGAATAACAATTTAAATACATCTTCTTGTTCCAATCCTCCTCCAATTTTAGTAAATAATAATTCAATTGTTTCCGACCATCTTTTCAAAATATTATTAATTCCATAATGTTTGTATTTGGACACAACAATGCACCGATCATTTTGTCTAATAATTTTCTCTTCATCTTCTTGTTCAAAGGCTTTGAAACAATCATTCGGAATGTTTTCAAATAATTGTTCAAGTTTCAAGCCAGATCCGATTACAATCTTATTTGCATCTTGAATCACAATATTAGGAAGTGAAAAGTAGGATTGGCACTTGCTCTTCCAAACTATTTGGCTCCTCTCAATTTGATGCAATACGGAATGAACAGAGGAAATTTGTGTCAAATCCCTCACGTTCATATATTCGAAACAGTGAGTTAGAATTTCCGATGGTAATTGTAGCAGTGGAGCAAGATTAGTACTTGTTAAGTCATCACTCATTTCAACTTTTTGTTTTTTAGCAGAGGGAAGTAAATCAATCTTATCTGGCACCATTTTTTTCTGTTTGAGAATCTTGAGGATTCTTTTGTTCTTTTTAAATAAATTGAATGCGTTATAAATATCAATAATAATAATTGAAAATTAGAAAGGAAAATGGCTTTATTTTATCAATTAAAAGATTTTTTTTATTGAGGGTTTGATTTTGTAAAGAATTTTGTAAAGTAGGTTTTTGTTCCCTTTTACTATCAATCCCAATATGCCAAGTTGCATCTACGTGAACATTAAGCATGAATTTCAAATTGATAACTACGAACGTGCATGAAATACTAAGGAGATAATACTAATTGGTAAGTACGAAGATTTTTCCAATATTGGATTATTGGACAGTTCATGACAGTTTTCAAAAAAGTGGCGTATTACAAGTATGTCAACTAAATAGACAAAATAGTGCAACTATAGCTCTCCTCCTTATATATTTTCTCTTACTCTATTTCTTCTTTAGAGCTCTTTGATTCGGATATTTCCAACTCTTGTTCACTTGCTGTTTGTGGAGGTGATTGTGATATTTGCTGTTCATTAATGACAATGTTATCAGATATTTGAGATTGTTGTACTGATGGCTGATTTTCCATCTTGTTGTTGTTGTTAAATTGTTCAAAGAATGGAGAACATAATTTCATGCTCAATTCCCATAATTTTTCTCGTTCTTCCTTAATATATGCTATTGGATGATCCATATCTTCCTTATCTTCTGAAAAATAGACACCAGAGCAGGTAATGGCTGGATCAACTGCCAATCTCAGTTCATTAAAGGCTCCTTTAGCAATTGGAATCCCTTGGAATGCATGAACCATTTTATAAGCACCGTATTTAAGCCATCCAAGTAGTGAATCTCTTTCATTATCGAGTGCCTTCTCTGGAAGATTGGTCATCATCGTGCCAGGATGAAGCATATTCACTGCCAATTTCTTATTTTCCTCAATGACCCATTTCTGATGCAAATTCAATCCATGCATGGTGCAGAATAGTTTGTTGTAGGCATAGGTAGGTGTTGTGGTCTTATAGGATTGTTCCTTTTGAATCATGTCCATCCACTTGATATCTTCCAAGTGTTTCAACGATTTTGGAAACATCATCTTGGCCACATTTGATGAAACAATAATAATTCTGGCGTTTTCATTCAAATAATCTTTCAGCAAGTGATTCATGAGAAAGTGTCCCAAGTGACACACTGAAAATGTTGTTGAAACTTGTTGTGCTTGAGTTTTTTCCTTTGAAACTACCAATCCAGCATTATTAATAATCACATCAATCTTTTCCGAATTAAATTCATTCGGAAGAATTTCCCTAACCAATTTCACACAACCCTCAACAACCAATTCCAAATTTGATAAATCCATTCCCAATCCAACAATTTTTCCAATCTTGCTTTCATTCACTTGTTTGTATTGTTCCAAAGTTTTACTAATAATTGTCTTGATGGCACTGTCGGCTCTTTCCTGTGTCGAACTGGTAATTATCACATTAAATCCCAAAGATAACAATTGCTTGGAGAGGTCGTATCCGATACCTGTTGTACCTCCCGTCAAGAGAATAGTTTTTTGAGAGGAAAAATCCTGATGATTTCTTAATTGGATGAGAAGGGTTGCTGCATCGAATGCTTTCATTTTTTTGTGTTTGGATTTTACAATAAAGATTTTAAGAGTTTTGGATTTGAAAGGAAATGGTTGACAAGAGATGTTTATTCATCCTTTTGGGATTGGTAATCATCGTCCTCAATTGATTTCCTCTCAACGACTTCATTCGAGTCGATATTAAGAGAGGTTTTTGTTGTGGTTGCAAGATCGTGTATATCAACAATTGCGATACCATCTGATGAAGGAGTAGATGGCTTGGAGTCGTGACTATGTCCATGATGAAGCCATTTGACCAAGTCCTTCTTTGTAATGATACCGACAAGCTTACTATTGTGCAAAACAAGGCAATATCTAACTCCCATAGCTCTAAACATATTGTAAAGTCTATCACCTGGCATTTGTGTTGGGACTTGGATTGGAATTTCATCTAAAAAGCTTGAAAGGTCAATCTTGTTAATAAGTGAAATTTGTCTTTCTGATTTGTGAAGATCTGAAAAGACAATTTCAGTCTGGTCATTGATTCTTCTATCATTTGTTAAAAGGGCGTCTTGAAGAGCTGCTTGGGTAATAAATCCAAGAACACGTCTATCATCAGAATTATCCACAATTGGGAATCCATATAACTTAAGTCCTTCTCTCAAAAGAGATTGTCTCACCTCACCAACTGTTGCTCCCTCAACAAAAATAACTTTAAGCTTGTGAGTTGTCATGATATGTTTTGCTGTATCATCTGTATCCACTTCATCATTGTGTAAGAATGGATATTGATTCATTTCAATATTTAGTTCATAAATGGATTCCCTATTGAAAGCATCACCAACCCATTTGGCGAACATTACAGAAAGCATAATAGGAACAAGGTATTCCAAACCACCAGTCAATTCAAACATAATAACTGCAAGGGATACCGTAATTCTACAAACACCTCCCAACATGGTTGCAGCTCCAATAACAGCATACATACCAGGCACAACACAACTACCTTCACCACCAGCATAACATTCTTGGAAGAATGGAGAATCAGGGAAAGTCAATTGCACATATTTCATAATACTACCAACTAGTGTACCATAACAAGCACCTATAGCCAATGAAGGGACAAGAACACCTGATGGAATCTTGATACCAACAGTCAAGGATAAAAGAATAAATCTCAATACAAATGAAATCATCAATTTGCCCATAGCCCAGAAATTTGTTGGATCACACAACTCGACAAAGATGGAATCGGCTGAAGAATTTTCAGTACAAGTATTTTCAAATAATCTGGCAATAAGATCAGACATTGGCATTCTTGAGTATTCGTTCCAATAGCAAAGCACTGAGGTGAGGATTGTCAATCCAATTGTTTCCAGGATTGGCCATTTTCCAAAATACTTTTTACGAACATTCTTAATAAATGAAATATTGAGCTTGGTAAAGAGAGCTCCAAGCAATCCACCAACAATACCCAAGAAAATGAAGGCAACTGAACTATCATTAGAATGAAATTGATTCAAGAAACTTACTCAATTCGAACCATTTCCAATTTACGTGGTATGAAATGCTGTACAAGACAATTTTACCAGATGGTCTTGGATTAATAATTTGCAAGGTCAAAGCTCCAATAACACAGGCAAAGAAAGTTCTAAAGAGCGTCTTTGGAGGGAAATAGGATGACAATTCCTCAAGTGAAAACAAAGTACCACCAGCTGGAGTACCGAAAGCACACGCCACGCCTGCAGCACAACTTGCACTAATCATTTCTCTCTTTTTGGCTTCATTATTTCTGTATTTTGAGAAAATTCTTGAAAAGACGTTACCAACACATCCACCAACCTAAACAAAAAATCAATTCGAAAGTTCAACAAATATATACTTACATGAACCATTGGACCTTCTTTACCCAAAGTTAATCCAGAACCAACAGCAAGGACCAACCCAATAATTTTAACAATTAAAGTCATAATACCTAAACAACCCTTGATGACAAATCCACCCAAAATTGTTTTCACTTCTGGAATTCCCGAACCTGCAGCCCAAGGAGCCAGACTCTTCACAAACCATGCACTCAAAGTGGCCATGCACACTGCAATGAATATATAGGCAAAATAGTCAAAAGCATAGGCGCCATTAGTTTCATAAATACCAAATATTTCACTCCAAGTTTTCCAGTCTTCACACTTGATACCAACTTGTTGATGTGAGATAATCGCATGTCATCTGTGTACTTACCTGGCACTTCCACGCAACATCTTGTCTGTGTGGCCAAGAAATAATTCACACAAACTCCTTCTTTAAATCCGGCCAACCATTCCATACCCTTATCCACAATACTAGCAAATATACCAATCCAAGCACCTATCAGGAATGTCATAATCCACCCCTGTGATGCATAGTATCCTTTATGAAGAGTTGCCCAAATTCCTGTCTAAATAAATAAATAATAATAATATTTGAATTTAAATTTTCAGCAAATATATTTTCAAGTGAATATCACATACTTTTGAATAGAGTTTTGCTCTGTTTTTTCGTTCCTTTTTAATATCGGCTCTCCAATCTATAGTACTGATATTTTCATTATCGTGATAGGGATTTTTAGGAGGTTCTGGATTTGTGGTGGTTAACAATGACATCCGAATTTGATCCTTCTCCTCATCAGTGGAGAATGATCCAATAAATGACATATTTAATTATATTGATGATAATAAATTATCTTCCTAAATGATGATATTCAATGTTGCTTCCTATGATTTTTATAATCAAAATTTCTTTAAATCAACAACAATCCAAAGCGCGGGAACCTGAGAGAAAGATTTATTGTGATTTTTTTTGCTGATGGAACGAATTGGAAAATTAGCGAGCAAATCAGAGAATCTTTCAGAGGCAACTTCTTGGTTTTTCACTGTAGTGAGGAAGCTGGGAGTCAATTCAAAGGAGTTGCCCTCAGGAGTTGAACGATTTGGTCGTGTGGACAAATTGGAGAGGATGCACTTTTATGGAGTTTATTAAGACTGAAATTGTTAGTAGAAATCTTCATTTTCCAATTGTTTAAGCTTTTTACAGAAGGCATCTCGTTTTTGAATTTGAGTATTGGTCTCTGAGGTGAGTGTTTGTAATTCATCTTGCATTTGTGAGATGGCTAATTCGAGTTCTTCTCTTTCTTGCAACTTCTCTGCCATTGAGGTTTGGTGGTAATCGATTTGAGAACGAATTTGCTTCTCCTTTTGTTCCTTTTGTTGCTGTTGTTTGAAATGATCTTGCTTCTTCTTTTCCTCTTTCTTAATGTTATTGGAAACTGTCTGAATCTCTGAATGGATCAATTGGTGTTTCTTTGCTTCTTTTTGAATGTGGGAATCTTGTTCTTGAATTTTAGCCCTTAGATCATTGATTTGTTTCTCAATTGTTTTGATTTGTTTTCCTTCCGAAGTTTCACTTGTAAAGAAATCATTTACCTCTTGAATATGTTTCTGATATTGCTTGATTTCCTCCTCCTTTAAAGATTCAAATAATTTACATTGATCATGAAGGAAATCAGCCCTCTTTTGAACTGAGAGTGCAACACTTGTTTCGGCATTAATTTGTTGATTTAGATTGGAGATTTCATCCTCCAATTTATCGATCATATTTTGGAGAGTTAGATTATCGAAAGATAACATTCGTTTCTTTCTTGTTAATTCATCCAAATCTTCCTCATCTTGAAAATTTAATTAATTATCCAAATAATGCGATTTAAATGTTGTTAAAAAGAAAAACCTACATTCCTTTACAAGTGATAATAAATCATCATTTTCTCGTACCAAGCCTAATAATTGTTGATGTTCTTCCTCTTGAAGCCTTGTCAATTCTTCAATTTGTATGGTGAGAACAGTTTCCATGATTTGAATTGAGTTGTTTTTTTTATTAAATAAAATAAAGCCTTAATTGACTTCACGCATGCCTGCCATTGACTACTATAATGAAAGCGAGAATCCTTACATGAGAAAATTAGGCTAATGATAAATCAATTTAATTTTTTTAAAATTTTATTACTTAATAATTTAGTGATGATTATTGATCCAAATCTTCATATTGAGCCTTTTGCTTATCCTTCAATTGAACAATGTAATAGACAAGACAACAGATTAAAATGATGGAAACGACAACAGTGGCAGCTTCAACACCAATGAACAAGTACAAACTGACAACCTTTTCAACTTCTGGAGCTTCATAAGCATCTTCATAGATATCAGAAACACCCATGACAAGTTCATTGACAACACCGTTACCAGAAAAGTTAACTTGCAATTTTTCAGTACAAGTAGCATCAACAGTAGCAACATCTGGATTGGCCATCTTTAAAAAGTTGATCAAAATTTGCATACCACATGGAATGGTTTGATTGGAAGCTGAACCATCAAAGAAAGTCATGTGACCAGTCTTTGGAACAGTAATCAAAGCACGTGGACCTTGAATAGCCTTGAGTTGGTTTTGGGCTGACCACAATGGTGTTTCAGCATCGAATTCACCATTAATCAAGAGAGTTGGAACAGTGGTAGTAATGGTCTTATTGTAAAAGTTAGCATTAACAGTGTATGGGGTCCATGAGGTAATTTCCTTGAGATTAGCCCAATAAACAGAATCTCCCAAACCAATGCTAGTGAAATTATTGTATTGAACCTTCAATTCTTCAAGAGAAATTTCGGAATTGTACAATTCGCCGAAAATAAGATTGGCAGTAGCAAGAGGGGAGGCCAATGGAATGGAGGTCAAATTGGAGAAGGCAGCCTTTTGAGCAACATAATAATCTCTAATGTGGAGAATGGTTGCAACATCCAAATCTTCATCACATCTATTCATACGATAGAGGAGAGCTGGAATGAAAACTTTGGTATCTGAGCCGAGCAACAAGAAGGCCAAAATTGCCTTGAATTGATCAGCTGGAATACCTTCCTTAATAGCCTTACAGGTATTATTGTGATAAACCTTTTCAATGGTATCATGGAAGTATTTGATTGGATCAACGTTACCAATCTTTTGAGCACAGAGATTATCAGTACCATTACAGAGCTTTAAGAATTCAATACCAACTTGATTGGTAATTTCATCAGCATAAGACAAGGCCAACAATCCACCATAGCTATTTTGACCAGTTGTGTCAATAATACTATCCAAAATTGATCCCTTAAGAATGTTCAATCCATTTTGTTCAACAAGCTTCAACAAACGAGAAACGACAAGACTTCCGTAACCAAGACCATAAACATAGGTTTCTTGTTGAGTATTCATCTTTTGAATCAAAGCAGCAATATCGTAGGCAACATTGACTGATGAATAGAATTGCTTTTGAGCACCATATTCAGCATCGAAGGCACTGTAACAATTCTTCCATTCACTTGATGAAATTGAAATACCACCAGAACTTCCTGGAGTTTCAGCTTGAGAAGCATCACATCCGAGTCTAGAACTTCTTCCATTACCTCTAGTATCGAGAGTATAAATATCAAAATCAGAACCCAACAATTTAGAAACGAGTTCAATAGAGACTTCAACATTTGATGCATCGGATTCAATTGGACCGACCATCCATAGAGCTCTCTTGGCATCCTTGTTTTCAGTGGATCTCACTCGTTTAACAAAAACGTCAATGGCACTTCCTTGTGGTTGATCTGGATTCAATGGGAGACTAACAACTGAACATTCAGCAGTAGTTCTAACAAGGAGATTGTTTTTAGTATCTAAATTATTATTAGTGATGATGAATTATTGATTATTATTATTGATTTTGTTATTGTTGTCGTTGTTAAAAAAAGATTTTTTGTGAATTTTAACACTCATCACACACTTGAGAGAAACTTACTGTATTGATTGATAGCATTAATGACGTCTCTAGCACGTGGTGAAAAGGTAGAAGCTTTCAAAGTTGTTGTATTTGAAGAAACTTGAATATTAGTAAAAAGTGGGCAAGGATAAAATTGTTGAGCATTGATAAAATTTAAGAGGGTAGCAACAATAACCATCATCAACACGACCGACACACGGATCGATGATGAAGATCTATTCAATAACAAAGACATCCCAATGTTGTTGTTTTTTGTTATGTTGAAAAGAAGTTTGATATTTTGATATTTTTTCTCTTTCGTTCCTCGCTTTTTAAAAATCAAACAGAAGAACCTTCGGCCGAGGTGGATGAGCATCTTGAACAAATGCGTCCAACTCCGGTTTCAATAATTACGCATTATTAAAATTTCAAAATGATGGAGTAACAGCAAGAACATTCATTGCTTTATGACTAACTGTTCTTGTAGAATGTTGAGAAAGCGAAAGGGTTTCAGAATAATTTGATTGGGCAATTAATTGGATCATTTTTACAATATGTTGAAAGAAACCCAAAGGCTTATCTTGTCGAAATTGTCTTATTTGTAAGTGAGGATGGAATCATTAAAAATCAATAAATATTTAAAGACATAAATTGATTTTATTTTAAAATCTATTGTCAATCCAAACTAACTGCTATTATTCACCAATAAGAATATATTTAAATTCAGGTGCAATTACCTTGTCCAAATGTTTCTCCAAATAATTTTCCTTAAATTCCCTTGTAATAAATCTGAAGTTTACCCCTGTCGTTGAATCCGAGGTGCTTTTATCGGAATTCAAATTGACTGATTCTTCTTCAATTTGTTGTGGTGGAGGCATTGGAATGATTTGTTGATCTGTCTTCCAGGAAAATAGACAAGCTCCTGTTGACTCTTCGTAGGGATTTAATTCAATGAGTTTGATATAATCACCAGTTGGAATCAAATCTTCATTCCATTGATTGGTTTTCTCAATATCTGAGAAGAATCTTGGATAAATTACAAAATCTGCAACCATATGTTTAAAAATCATGTGCTTGTCTAGATTTTCCTTCAGATATTTTACACTCTTTTCAATCAATTGTTGAATCTGGTTATGGTATTGTTCAATTTCTTCCACGTGGACGAAATGATTGTACTGACTAATTGCAGCCAATTTTCCATTTACAATAAATGTTCTAAATTCCAATCTAATATCAATGGTTGTATCCCACCTTCTCAATGCAATCTTATTGAGTGGACTCTTCTCATTCCAAAATTCAACATATGTTTCAATTAGGTCCATATTCACTCTTGAGGATCTTAATAATAATTCTAAAACTTCATCTGATGATGAAATTTTCAAGAATTCAGTTGCAGCCCTTGTAAAAGAAACAACTCTATTGGAATTATCGAGTTGAGCTTCCTCAGATGGATAGTGTTCCTTCAAATCTTTATGGAATAATTCCATTACATATTTTCCATTCAATTTTGTAACATCTGCACGAACCAGTTAATTATATTTTCCCCAATTGTTTAATTTGTTGACTTACCCTTTGGAGATCTTGATGATAGCTTGAAAAAGAGAGGTTCTCTTCTCTCCTCATCCTTCCACAAAGAACACTCATCAATTTCATGCATCAATTTTTGAATGTTTTCATCCAATTTCAATTCAATTTTCAAAGATTCAACAATTTCTCTTTCCTTTTTCTCAATTTCATCATTTGACATTTTCATCAATTGTAATTGCTTAGTTTTTGCAGAGAATTCCTCATGAATTTTAATCAATTTTAAAGCACACTCCCTCTGAATATCAATAAACACAGTGTCATAGGTAATTTCTCTCGGAATGAAAGGAACCCACTGATCCAATTGTGCCAAGATTTGATTTTCACGATAATTGTCGAGAATTGCTTTTTGTTCAGAGAACCAACTTGAAGAAAGGGATTGTTTGAAGGAGAGTGAACTTTTCTCGATAGGTTTTTGAACTCGGTTCAGTTTGAAGTTTTGGAGGTCTTGTGGGTTGATCATTTTTTTGTTTGTTTTGGATGAACATAATTTCAATTTGACATAAATTTAAGTGTTGCTTGTTTCAATGAACAGAGAACTTGCATAATGTTTGAATTTCAGTTTGACCAGTTCATATCAAAGTATGTTAAATAAAACTTGTAAAAAGTTAATAAGTGAGTATTAACACAATTTAACTTGTTCATTTACAGTTCTATTAGACATTTAAAAATCACACCGTTACATCTGACATTTGTCACTTGCGCGCCAATATTTTTCGTTACACAAAACACTTTGCAAAATAATCCAAACAAAAAAAAAGCGACAAATCTCCTGAACTCAAAGTCAAAGTACACACAATTTGATTTTGATCATCTCCAACACTCAAGGTAGGTTAATCAACATTCTCCGAGATGCTAAATCATTGAATCAATATCGTTCATCACGACAATTTTCCAATCAATTTTAAAAAACTCCAAAATCTTGGAAACTTTCTATGAAAAGAAGGAAAAAACGTTTCAAAAAAATCAACGAAGAAAACAAACTCTAGATTCTCATCACCACGAAATCTTTGTAGTTGAAGAAGAAGGAATTTTTAAACACACATCTCTGATTTAATAATTATTCAAACTTAAACAATGTCTGATATTGCCACTATCGAACCTAGTGCTACACCATCCACTCCTAAAAAGTCATCACCAAAGGCTTCATGTTCTTCTACTCCTTCAAATAGTAGTAAACCAAATGGTGAAGCTATCAATGTTTCCACTCCAAATTCAGCACTCCACTTGTCTAATCAATATGGTTTTCCATTGAATTATAATGGTCAAATTCAACTCATCTTTGGTAATATGTTTGCTGGTAAAACCTCGGAATTGTTGAGAAGATTACGTAGATATCAATATGCTCAAAAGGAAACCGTATTGGTAAAGTACATCAATGATGACCGTTACAGTAAGGAAAATGTGTCAACACACGACTTGGTTCAACAAAAAGCTATTCCGACAGATCGTCTCGAAAAGATTGCTTCACAATTGCTTGGTTATCATGTTATTGGTATTGATGAAGGTCAATTCTTCCCTGATTTGGTTGAATTCTGTGAAGCTGCTGCTAATGGAGGTAAAATTGTAATTGTTAGTGCTTTGGATGGTACTTTCCAAAGAAAACAATTTGGAAATGTTCTTTCATTGGTTCCAATGGCTGAAAGTGTTGTGAAACTTAAGGCTGTTTGTATGGTTTGTGGTAAAGATGCTGCCTTCTCTAAACGTATCACTGATGAACAACAAACTGAAGTTATTGGTGGATCTGATAAGTATATTGCCACTTGTAGAAAGTGTTATATGACTAGAAATACTCCATATTCAAAGAAGAGTAAGAGCGTTTTCCAAGATTCCATGTTAGAAGAACATGAAGAATGCTCTGATTATTCTGAACATTGTGAAATTTTCTCTCCTCAAAAACACTAAGCATTCTGTTACAAAAATTGTTGAGCTAGTTCTCAATCTAGGTAGTTACAACCAGTAACGCTCTCTAATGGTAATGCACAAGTTGTATGTGTGCTCAATCCAACCTAACAACCCACAATATTAAAACATTATTTATTTTAAATCAATTCGGTTTTATTTAATTTCGCCTCTTTGCTAAAATTATATTATTTGCGATATTTAAATGTGCAAAACAAAATCATTCAATTATACTAACAAAAACAAATGAATCAACAACCAAACAATCAAGATAGAGAAATTGCCAAGACTGAAACATGTCCATGCCCTGAGCAAGATAAAAAACCATTTGACATCTCACAGAAGAAACAGTGTGAGGGAACAAAGAAAGTTTGTGATGAGAATGGATGCAGAGATGTTCCTTGTTTGTATTTTGCTAGTTAAACTCGCGTTTTATAAGGTTTAAGGCCACTCCCAATAACATTGTAAATAAAATGTACTATTATATTTCAAAAATATTACAACCTTGAAGGTCTATAGCTTGTCAATTTCTCTCGCATTTTCAATAACGTTCCAATAGAAGGAATAAAATACAGCGAGCCTAAAATATTAGTGGAAAATCTCATAATATGATCATTGTGACCTTGTGGAGTGGCATATTCGCCCTTTCCAACCATGCTCTCCAATTGATGAATGAAGGTTTTTCCAGAGTTTGCATACGAAATGAAGAATAATCCATGTTGTGATGAATTTCCAAAGCTCATTGATTGCCTCACAACCTCAATTTCATCTCCGTCCTTTTCTAAAGTGACACGAGCCACATGGGAAGTTTCTGGCTTATTTTCCAACTCGATGCTATCCTCTTTCGTTCTTCCAATATCATTCTCTTGTTCTTTCAATGAAAGTGAATTGAAAAATTTGAGATTGTGAACCCATTTCTGAGCCAAGAGGAAACTATCCTTTTCATTGGTGAGGGTTGCCTCAATTTTCTCTTCCATTTCTTTTGGATTTTCAGTTCCATCCTCGAATCCACTCAAATCTCTTCCAAGACCAGATTTCTTATTTCTTCTATGGAGGAATGCATAGGTTTCATCCTGAATTTTCTTTATCAATGGAGAAATAAATTCATGATTTGCAAAATCCTGAGTAGCTCTAAAACAATTGTCCATATTTACAGATTTAATGTGAAGAAATAAATCTCCACCAGTATTTGGAAAACCACCAAATTTACCCTTCAAATCTTTAGGATATTGTGGAAATATTTCTGCCTGCATATATTCTCTTACATAATCCAGTGAATTATCTTGTATATTTCCTAAAATTGAATTGGTCAACTCATATCCAAATCCAACAGCAAACTGTGTGCATTTTTCTTTATTCCACCTCTCCATAATCTGCAAACAAGCTTCCACTAATTTAAAATAAATTTTCATAGCCTTCCCATTTGATGAACTCTTCAGCTCATCCTTCAATTCAATCGTAACAAAACAAGCATGATCCGAGATTGGAGTTAATATCGTCGATTGGCAATGTTTCTCACCATGCCGATGATGGTGATGATTCTCATGGTGTGCGTGATGATGATGGTGATGATTATGCAAGTGATGCAGTGAGGACATTTTTTTTCTACTTGATTTTTATGTTTGAGGAAAACTTCAAAATTTCCCGCCTCTGTAATCCTCTTCAATATTCAATTATAACTTTATGTTAATCTTAATAAATATTATTAAATCAATTCATCAAACCTTTGATATTTATTGTAAACTTGCAAGTTCATCTTTAAAAAAATGTCTCAATACAACAACACTAACACATTCCATCCACAACCAACAAATACAACAATAACTTCAGCACCACTCACGAGAGGAATTCGCTCCATTTCTAATTGTCCAGACGTGATAGAGGCTCTTGTTCAAGTGTTGGCTCATCTCGATCCTGTGGTAGAACAATATTTATTCAAACAACAACATGATGATCATCAGATCAAATCGGATGAAAGATCGGAACTTGGGGTAGCCTTTGATAGGGTATGTAGGAGTGTGTGGAGTCTTGATCAAGGTAGTAGTGAACCTGTTGATGGTTCAGCTTTGGGTGGGTTATTTCCTATGGAAAGTGGTATCTCCCTTGATTTTGTGGAGGCTTTGAATATTGTGGTCGATGCTTGTCGTGGGAATTTTAATTTTTGTAAAGGAATGACATCTAATTGGATAAGAAGTGATGATTGTCCAATATGTGGTTGTAAATCTGCAAGCGAAAGAAAGGAAGAGTTTTGTTCAATCAAGGTGCCAAGTAATCAGTGGAAAGAGTTTGAAAAAAGTGGAGTGTTGAATCTGAAGGAGGTAGAAACAATTGAAGGATATCATTGTGATGTGTGTTCATTTAGTAAGCCTGCTGAAATTTCTCGTTCCATCAGTCAAGCTCCACAAATATTGATTTTACAAATGGATCGTTTCTGTTTCGATTATGAAACATTTAATGTTGTTAAAAAGAATGATTTTTACAAGGTTTATCTTAATCAACAATTGAAACTATTGATGGAAAATAATTCTTTGGAATCCTATGAATTGGTTGCTGTAGTGAATCATTATGGATTGCAGACATCAGGTTCTTATGGAGGATTCTTTTTAAATCCAACCAATAGAAGATGGTACAAAGTAGCTTGCCCAAATCAGGTTCCAACTCTTGTTGAAGACTTTAGTACAATCAACAATGTCTCAAATTATGTTTATTTCTTTAAGAAGGCAGCTGAAAAGAAATCATGGCAATCTACTGCCTTGTCCAGCCAGTCTGTATCAGATATTTCATTTTCCTTCACGAATGAAGAAGACTGTGAAATGTAAATTCTTCTTGAACTGTTGTCGACCATTATAAGCTGTGAAAATCTTGAATTCTCCCTTTCCATCATCGTTTGGAAACCAAACTAATCTGGATTGTTCTGGATTTTCAACATCCCCAATAAATTCTCTTGTCCAATTCAGAGTTTACGAATTTATCCATCATTCCAACCATATTCCAAATGCCAAATGTGAAATTATTAATGATATGGTGAATAATACACAACAGGAGAAAATGAATTTCCAATTTTTATTAGAATTTTAATTTAAAAAAAATGAAGCGGTCAGTAACTAATGAAGGCCATCAAAAGAACAAGAAAAAGAAAAGCACTTATTCCAATTCTTCATCATTTAAATTTGTTGATTTGCCTTCCGAAATGATTGGTAACATTCTTGATTATTCACTCATAAGTGATGGATTATCACTCGTCACTACATGTAAACAATTCCACAACGATCACTACAACGAACATTTATTGTTCTCTCCATGCAAGTATATGAAATTAATGGCAAATATGACACCTTATCAATTGAAACTGCACCATAAAGCAGCAACTCATATGAAAGATCAAATGAGAGCCAAAGAGATTTATGAGAATGAAAAGAAGAAATTCAAATGCATGTTGAAATTAATTAAAAAAGAAATTGGAAAGAAAACAGCACGTGAATTGAAAAAAAAACTTTTCAAGAAAGTGATTTATAACAAAATAGATGCACAAGACACCAGAAGAGAAATAACAATTGGAGAATGTTCTATCATTCATGAATCAAGTTTTGAGTCAAATATTCAAAGTTATGAAAGTATTGATGCACAGGTTTGGTATTCATGTAAAATTGTTAAGGATAATGAGGTTTATGAAATAGTTGACAACTGTTCATGGTTATGTGACAGTCAAGGAACGTGCACTACTGATGATCTAAATGAGCTATTAACTATTGATCATAATATAGATTCTAAATTAGTGTTAGCTTGCTTGCTCATGACAGCTCCTCTACTGAGCTGGTCAGTTGTGAAGAATGAATATCCAACTTCATTTTCTTCGAATAAGCCACCTGAAATATATTTTAGTGGTTCGATTACTTTAACCAAGCAATCAGCTTCTATTAATGATATCGTGCAACAAGTGTTCAATTGGGCCATATAAATAGTAAATGCTTATTCATTGTTGGGTGTTGAAAACTTATTCACTGTTGTGATGGTTGTATATTATTGACAATTTCTTCTTTTGAGTGAAAGGATTGTACGGGCATAAATTTTTGCACTACTATTGAATAGTTGCGTATTGATTAGTGATTCTATTGAGTTATCAACACATTGATGCCAAACATTGGAGTAAACTTCCTAAGATAATCAACATATTCATCATGCACACAAATTCCAAAATCCAATTCTCAATATTCGACACTTCATTAAATTCATCCCATTCCGTTTCTTCCGTTTTAAAAGCAAAATCCCTAAATAAATGTCTCGTACTCGCCACTCGATACCAGGAAATTAAAAAGCAATTGGAAATAATTTGTCTTAATTTTCTTGTAATATTGCAACATTTTACAATGAGTATTTTAAAGATCTTCATATTGTAAAGATTCATCACAACCAGCATTTTGTGTTATTTTTAAATCAAAAAAAAGATAAAAAGTATTTAAGATCGGAATTGATTACATTTAACAATTTTCATAAAGAGATATTTATTCTCAATTAATATCAAATCATATCCACCTTTAGATTAATATTTCAATGATCAACACCATTATTAACAACTCTCATCAAAAAACAACATTAAATTCCTTAATCTCCATCATCAAACATACTTCTCTCCCTTAGAAATATGATCATCCACTCACCAAACATGGTCCCTATCTTCTCCAAACATGTCCACCTCCATTACTCTTCCCATATGTTAATACGTTAATATTAACGAGTTTGCAAGTTCTTGAAAGTGCTTCACAAGATTGAATCTTGTGATCCGCAAACCTTTTTGCTTTCAACACGTTCCATTTCCAGACCATCATCAAAAAAAAAACTTTCCACATCAAGTTGCTAATTTTCTATATTTTGCCTTTAAAGAAATCTGAGCAGGAAATTAAGTGATTGGTTTAATTTTAGAGGTCTTCCCGTTGGTTGTGTCACTTCCGAAAGTTTTTATTGTTATTAATCATCATCATCATCATGATGACAAGAAATTCTAGTCCGCTAGAAGGAAGAGAGGAGAATGGTGGACAACAAGATGATTTGAATGTTGTGTCATCAGCATCATCATTAACAAACTCATCATCATTTAATGGAAAGGATGCACAGCAATATGTGGGAGGAGTTTATAATAATAGACCCTCACCTATTAGGTATACATCACATTTAGGAATGCCAAAACATCAAAGTCCAAATACTGTGGCGAATGCAAATAGCTCTTCTTCAAATAGTGGTGGAGATGTGAAGGAAGAGGTGAATCCACTAAAGAGAAGATATTGTGATAATGATGATATGTTATTCGAGGTGCAAGAGAAACAATTACAAACACAGAAATATTTAACAATAGTACCATATGAAATCACCAATCATGATAGCGGTCAATTATTGACCTGTGTGAGAGGAAATAGACTTCCCATGTTGGTGAACAAGTTGGTTGATGAGGTGAATGAATATTTGAAAACTAATTCAGAAGAGGATGAGGAGGAAAAGGTTGTGGATGTGTATGCAATCCAAACAATGTTTTTGAATACAATTATGAGAATTGATTTATTTAATAACGAAGTGGGTGTTTATGATAGTGTTAAAAATAGAGTATTTAAAGATTTGAAAATGGTAATGAGCCCTCCTGATTACTATCCGTTCAGTAAGTTTATTTTGAGTATGGACCTATTCACAATTTATCAGATTATCCAACATTTTATGGAAAGGAAACTGATGAAGAATCTATTACAAATTATAACAAATTAATGGAATCTGATGAGATGTTTGATTTGAGGAAAAGTTATCAAACAAAATATACCAAAGCTTGGACTAAGGAGGAAAGAAAGAAATTCCAAGAAGGTTTAAAATTATTTGGTTATGGACATGATAGTAATAAGAAGATTGCTGAACATATGGGCTCTTCAATTCACCCTAATCAAGTAGCTCACGAAAAACAAAAATTACAGCAACGTCACCAAAAGAAGAGAAAGAGAGCAAAGAAATAACTGTGGAATCAATTTTATGGTCTTTCGGCTAACATTTGATTAATGTTGAGAATAATGGAAGAGTAGACTGTGACTGATTCTAAATAGTTTTGAATGAGGATTCTTTCATTGTGACCGTGAATTCTTTGGAGATCTTCAGTCTTCTTTACGAGTCTCATTGGCAAATAGCCATATGCAAAATCACTCAACTTTCTATAATACTTGCTATCACTACCAGCAATAAATAAATAAGGTGAAACAATCACATCTGGTTGAATATGATTAATTGCTCTCTTTACAACTTCAAACTCTACACAATCAACACAAGATACAGAGGAAGCTTCTTGACAATCGATCATTAAAGGTGTGACGGTAATGTTTGGATGATTGACAACCTTTTCCAAGTGGCTCTTGACACTTTGCAAATTATCATACGGAGAGAATCTAGTATTGAGAATAAAGTTTGCCTTAGATGGCATTACATTACTTTGGACACCAGCAGCCACAATGGTTGGAGCAAAGCTAGTTCTAGCCAAAGCATTTGGTGGACCACCAATATAAGACAATGCAATACTCAAAGGATAGGCCAAAATATCAAGATTTGCAACAATGGCCTTCATGATATAACCTTCAGAGTGTGGAGCCAAACTGAGGAGAACATTATGAATGATTGGTTTAAGTAAATGGGCAGGCATTGGATTATTTTCAATTTCAAGGATGGCCTTTGACAATGTTCCAATACAGCTAGTTCTTCCTGGCATGGAAGCATGACCTGGATTACAATTGGCTTGAATGTCGAAATTACAATAGCCCTTTTCTGCAATGGCAACAAAGGCAATTGGAGAGGCAACACCTGGAAATTGTTGGTCAGCAATTTGACCTCCTTCATCCAAAACAAATGCAAATCTGACATTCTTCTTCAAAAAGTATGAAGTAACTTTGGCAGCTCCATGAACTCCTCCAATTTCTTCATCCATACCAATAACAACATAGGTATCTCTTTGAGGTTTAACCAATAAATTTTCTCTTCTCAATTGATTAAGAGCTTCCAAAATTTCATAAACTCCATTCTTATCATCCAATGTGCCTCTTCCATGCAAGAAACCATTCACTTGTTTACCACTAAATGGTGGATATTCCCATTTAGATTCATCATTGATTGGCACAACATCCACATGTCCAGTCAATAGAACTGGTTTCTTTTCCTTATCACTTCCTCTCCATACCCAAACTCTCGAAGCAAGAAAATCATCCTCTCCCTTAACTTCACTTTGAATAATATCTTGAGTAATTTCCTCCAAAACTCCCTCACTTTCAGAGAATAAAAGTGGGAAATCCTTCACCATTTGATCAAACAATTCATGGAAAAGTTGTTTATCCTTCTGATAATCAATAGTTGGTTTCTGAATAGCCCTAGCCAATCTCAACACTGCATCAGCCTGTTCCTCCTTGCTCCAATTTAATTTACTAAATTGTTCGGAAGCCTTTGATTGTTCAATTCTCTTTGAAAATTCCAAATCTCTTTCTTTAATAATTTTCATATTAAATGTATAGGTTCGGAATGCCATCAATCCAATCAACCCGATCGCAGCCAAGAATAATAATTTTAAAATCGATTTGATGAGTGAGCACGCAAGATTTGAAATGGCCATTTTTTTAAGATGAAAACGGAGTGAATGTTCGGACAATTGTGCAGATGGACATTTTATGCATGGTGAGATGAAAGTTGTTTTTTGAGTTTCTCCAAAGATTATATCAGAAACAGATTTGATATCATCTTCTGAGGTAGCATTAACAATATGATAGGAATCAAGTGTATTTCTATCTATTTTCTTGAAATATTGTGTAATGATCGAGTTGATAACTAGTTTAAGATAATGATTAGCAATTTCTGATCTTTCTAATTCTGGTAAAATATTCGAAACGAGTTCTCTATCATATTTCACTCCATTTTCCAATTTTTTACAAAGAATATCTGGTTTTACAAAGAGAATGATCTTACGAGAAGGAATAAACCATCTCGTATTCATAACCTCACCAATTAGGGATAGAGATTCGTCCATTCTTTGAACACTGTCATCTTCCATTATAGTTTGATTAAATTCTGAAAGAGAAACCATGTAAACTAATGTATGAACATCCTCAAAGAAATGAATCCAAATCTTTCTTGAATTTCTCCTTCCCACAACATCAATCACTTGAATTTCAGTGTTTCGTCTCGTAATAGTTTCGTATATTGAAATTCCTTTAGATGTGGAAGAAATCAATGAATAGGGAGAAAATATTTTCCCACGTTCAATTCTCAAAACTAATTCCTTAACATTTTCGTACATTGAAATTCCACCTCTACTCCACACCAATTCATAAAACTCTCTAAAAAAGGAAATTTTCCACAGATTGACCAATATTTCAACGCAATCTATTTTTTGCAATTCCATTTCTAAACAGTTGCTAGCATTATCTGTTGCACTTTCGAATAATAATCTCATCTCAGGTCGAATAATTTCTTTCAACAAGTAATTTCTCTCTTGCTCTCCCATCTCTTCCCAAATTCTCTCAACAACCAGCGAGCAGACAATTTGCAAATTATTTGCAAAGTTTGCTTCCATGTCGTCACGAAAAGTTGTTTCTATTCTTGTTTCGGTTTTTGCTGTTCTTGTTTCGGTTGTTGATACGAGTTGTAACATGTGAAATAATGTTGATTTGCCAGAATCGGAGGGACCTAGTAGGAGAACTTTTGAACATGGGCGATTTTTAATAATATTATAATTGGATTGTGTTAATGTGACATTTGGATTGGCGTTTGACTTGGTGTGTGATGGTTTTGTGCCCATTTTTTTAAAGTTGAATTGCTTTCAGATACCTACAAAGAATTGAATGAAAATTTATTGTAAAGGAGTAACAGAACTTTCGAATAAAAAATTGCCAATTACAATGTAATGTTTTTTCAAAGTTTCCAACAAGATTAATATAATCAAGGTCACTTCATGGACTTTGAGTTTCCAAATATCTTCCAGATTCGTCTCCTTTCGTTTCACAAACATCAAACCACAAAAAAAATGTCTGACTCACTTGCGATTGGCATTGGAGCTGGAGTTGGAGGATTCGCAGGTGTTAGCATTCTTCTCATTATCATCATTATTGCCATTGTACTATATCGGAGGAAAAGGAGACACCAGAGGAGAGGTTATATCGAGCAAGAAGGAGATTATTCGCATTATTATGCTGCCTCTGGTGAGACACTGCCAGGACATTTGCATTAATGTGGTTTTTCTGGAGAGTTGATGAATGTAATGATTTGAAATAATTCGAAAATGTGAAAAATATTACATTGTAAATGAAATAGAATTTGATTTTTTTTTAAATTTTGAATTGTTGTTTTTCGAATTGACAAGGTTACTATTTAAGGAAACTGTAAAAAAGGTCTGTATAAGTATTATTAAAATTGAAATCTATGATAGAACATACTTATCATTAAATCAATTGATGTAAAGCACTCTTAACTGAACACTAGGAAATTGGTCAAATTTCCAAATTGATTTGAAATCGAACAGTAATATGCAGAGCGCACAATAAGGAACACTAAGGGAAAGCAAAATCCCGTAGATGAGATTATGAAATAATAACATGTTGAAGATTTTGAATGAAAAAAAATAGGCGATATGAATGCATCGAAAATTCTACGACTTTGCTTTGTGATAAGTGTGTGGATGCTACTGCTTAATAATCAGCTTGTTAAGGGTTGTTTGTTCGGCCAAGTCATTAAAGAAACACTCGATGGTTCTTGTCAATATACCTATCAACACTATGGTTCTAATATTGGTTTTGTCGTGTCCTCCGATTTTGGCAAATATCAATACAAGTTAGAGCATATTGATAAGTGTGATGATTATTGCAAAAAGCTATATGCAAAGACTCAATTATTTATAATGGATGCACTTGTCTTTTCTTTGGTTGATTTTGATCCAAACTCAGCTCATAGAGATGAAGGTTGGACACTAACCTTCTCCTATTATAATCTGGGTCCCATGTGGGATATTGATCCAACCAAATTGACAATCAATATTACTACAAAGGATGGACTTGAAAAAATCCCTGAAATTAATATACCTGCTCAAGGAAATCAGTGGTATTCTCTGGTTAAGTTTAATGATTTTTTGAGAGATGGTATTCAAGAATTTAGAATTTCTCTAATTTCTCTGACTGGTCTTATTCCATTGAATGCAAATCTAGATCAAGAATATGATCTTGATTACCCTAGGTCTGTTAACTTTGTTGGAGACAAAAACAAAGTTCAAATGAATATTCTGGAATTATCTGGATTGCCTACTAGAATTACTCTTTATAACGAGCAGCCTAACCAACTATTGAATTTTGCATGTTTCAAAAATAATGTCTATAACACAATGGGGAATTATAGATGGGAATCTAGTGGATCAATTTCAGATGTTTTAACTACCGTAACTCTTTCAAATATGACAACAGATGTCTTTGGAAATTTGGTGAGTGTGAATGCGACAACTCTTGAATTGAATCTTGAAAATCCAAATTCTCTTTATGATAGCCTAACATCAACTCATTCTAAATATCTTGGCGGTTCTTCAGTTGCTAGCACTCTTACATTACAAGATGGTAATATATTGAGAATTATGGCAGTTGACAAGGCATTCAGACAGCACTGCATTACTCCAAATCAACAAGTGATTGGATCAATGAAATTTGGACAAGTAATCTCTTACCGAGTCCAAATATATCCTCAGCCATTTAGCAGTATTGGACAAGTCAACCTCAACATCTCTACATACACAAGTGTTCTATTCCTTCAAACCACTCACTATGATGCAGACAGTTCTCAATTATGTTCATTAGCAGATCATGTGGATTTTGAAACTGAAGTCACCATCAAAGGAATGGATGTACATCAACCACTTTCGATTTCCAATGCAAAAAGAAACCACTTGATCGCCATGAATTTATTCTTTATTTGTAAGGCAGAGGAAGGTTGCAATTTTGATTTTACTCTTTCTGGAGGAACATCTCACAACCCAATTGATGAGACAACCATTATTATTGTGTCAAGCATTGCAGGAATTGCCTTGATTTTAAACATTATTGCCTTACTCGTAATGGTAGTAGTAGTTTATTTGACTATTAAACGAAGAAAGGTCTATGTCAGTATTCAATAAACAGTATTTCTTCTAACAAGCTTCAACCAACATGAAACTCTTCACATTTAATCCATGTAAATCAGGAAAAGAATCTTTCTCAAAATGAGAAGAACCTCGTTTCAGAAATTCTCAGTATCCACTGTTTAGTGGAAATTGGATGAACTTGGCGCCAATAAAAAACGCTGGATAAAAAAATTTGACAAAAATCAGAAAAAAAAATTTGGTAAACACAGTTTAAATAATAATAATGGTAGGTTGATAATGGTAATTTTCAAGGTAGATAATGATGGATAATTTGATGATTTGTGTTTATTATTATTTTTGTAGGCATCTAGATCCTCTTCATCTTCATCAAAGGATAATTCGGGTAGATTCTCTGAATTTGTTGCCCTCTGTAAAGACATTGAAGAGGTATCGGCTCACACTGAAAAGAGTCAAGTGATGAAGGAGTTTCTATCCGATTTCAAGGGAGATGTTTATTTGTTGTATAAATTATTATTTGCAAAGGAAAATCAGAGAAAGTTTAATTTAAAAGATAAGAAACTTGTTGATGTTTGTGCAAGTGCATTCGGAGAAGATCTTGATGAAATGATTGATCACATGGATTCTAAAGGAGATGTTTCTGAAACTTTAAAGAAATATTTAGTGAGAAGTGATCATGCAAGAGATAAAGGAATTGTTACTTTGAAACAGGTTGATGATTTCCTTGAAGAATTAACACAATTATCAAAGAAAGAAGATCAAATTCGTGCTTTTAAGAAATTTGTAAATGATAAGTTAACTGGAGATGAATTGAAATTTATATGTAGAATAATTTGTAAAGATTTAAAGATTAGAGCTGGACCAAAATATTTATTAGCAGCACTTCATTCTGATGCTTATCAATCCTATATTTTAACACATGATTTGAAACAAATTGTAAATGTTATAACTAGTGGAAGTGATTTAAAAAATTTATCAATGACAGCTCAATCACTTTTAGATATTGATGCATTGATTAAAGATGCAGATAGTGATGATGAAGGTACAAATTTTGATATGATGAATATATCAGATGATGAAGATGATAAAAAGAAGAAATCATCCAAAGCAACTTCTTCCAATGATAAAAAGAAGACAATTGATAAAAAGAAGAGTAGTAAATCATCAGATAATTCTGATAAGGATGATGATTCTGGAGATGAAACAGATATTGGTGAAAATGTGGATGATATTGAGGAAAAACCTGAAGAACTTGTAGATGAAGAATCAGAGGATGATTCTAAAAAGAAAAAGAAGAATAAGAAGGCTCCTAAGAAGATTAAAATATCAACCAAGATGAAACTTTTCCATCCTGTCAAACCAATGCTTGCTCGTCCAAGTAAGACTTATGATGATGTTATTGCTCGTTGTCCAAATGGTTTTTATTCTGAACTTAAATATGATGGTGAAAGAATTCAAATTCACTATGATAGAAAAAATGATGAAATCAAATATTTTAGTAGAAATTTGAAAGATGTTCAAGAGTATAAGATCAAATCTGTAAAAAAGTATATTTCTAAAGCTATTAAGGAAAAGGTTGAATCTGTAATTTTAGATGGTGAAATTTTAATGATGGATACAAAGACAAATAAGATTCTTCCATTTGGTACACTTGGTAAAAATGTTAGACAAGATCACAAAGATGCTGTAACAACTATATTTTTATTTGATATATTGTATTATAATGGTAAATCACTCCTTTCAGTTCCTTTATATAAGAGAAAGGCATTAATGACTAAAATTGTAAATCCAATCAAACATAGAGTAATGTTAGGTGAATATTTGGTTGTAAAGGGTTCAAAACAAACAAGAGAAGCTATTGTTTCTGCTGAAATGAGTGCAATGATTAAGAAGGGTGAAGAAGGTTTAGTGGTATGTATTATTTTCAAATTTATTATTAATTTTTTTATTAACAATTTTACATATTAGTTAAAAGATTTATGTTCTCCATATGAACCTAATGCTAGACATTGGCTTAAAATGAAAAAAGATTACTTGAAAGGTATGGCAGATAGTGTAGATCTTGTTGTTCTAGGAGCTTATCTTGGTACAGGTAGTAAAGGTGGTTTAATGTCTGTATTCATGATGGGTTCTTTTGACAAGAAATTAGGAAAGTGGAGAATTATTTGTAAATGTGGTAACGGACACGATGATCAAACTATTGAAACATTGAATGAAGAATTGAAATCAAATATGAAAAGAATCAGTAAGGATCCTTCATTGGTTCCAGATGATATTGATATTCATACTAATGCTCTTGTACCTGATTTTATTGTTAAAGATCCAAAAAAGAGTGTTGTTTGGGAAATTCAAGGAGCTGAATTTTCAGTTTCCTCAAGAAAAGACAGACCAATTTCTGTCAGATTCCCTAGAGTTACAAAAATTAGAGATGATAAGGATGTTTTAGATCATACCAATTATCAAGAAATTATCAAATTGAAAAATGAAAGTAATAGAAAAGGTTTAGTGCCTATTTTTGGAGATGCTGATGCAGGAGATGATTCTGATGAAAGTGTAGATGTAAAAGATAAAAAGAAACGTTCCAGAGCTAAAAAATCAAAATCTGATGATGAAGAAGATGAATCAGATTCAAGCTCAAAGAAAAAGAAAAATTCAAGAAAGAAGAAGATAAATTCCTCAGATGATGAAGATGATGAGGATGATAAAAAGTCAGCTAAAAAGGCTAATGATAAGAAAAAATCAAAATCCTCAGATAATTCTGATGGTGAAGATGATGATCCAAAAGCAAAGAAAGCTAAAAAGTCAACTATTGGTATCAAATTATCTGATATTGATACTATTAATGACTCTTCTACTCCAGAACAAATCTATTACATTTATGGTGATTTTATGAAAATGCCAATGAATAAGGAAGAAAAACTAATTTCACATTGTGTAGATGACTCTAGTAGATGGTCAGATAAAGGATCAATGGGAAATATTGAACTCTTGTATGGTGAAGATATTAAGAAGGCTTACACTGATGATATGAACATAATTGGTGATGCTCAAATTGTTGTAGCATTACCAAATCATTTATGTAATATGGTATGTCTTCAATTTGTCAAGAAAGGATCTGCACCAAAAGTTGACTATCATGCTTTGGATGAATGTTTAAAGAAATGTGCTACCTACATGAATCAAAAAAAGATTGGTACATTCCATTTATATAGATTGCATCACGCCATTTCTGGTTTGGATTGGAATAGAGTTGAACAACTTTTGAAGGAAAATCTTTCAAACAAGGGATTTGCTGTTTTCATCTATACAAAGGATAGAGATGATAAGGATAGAGTTAATGAATCAAAAAATAAGTTG